AGCTCCGGTATACATAAATCTTTTATCTCCGTCATAAAAAAACGGAAACGCAACGTGAACAAATACGCGATAAAGCTCGCGATTCGCCTCGTATATGTCGGTCGACTAAACGTCAAAGCAACTACATACATATATTTAGTCATTTTCATTCATATTACTTTACAATAAGTTTCCTAAATACGTTTTTATAATAGAGACAGATAAGAATATCTTTTTGTAAATCATATTTCTTTTTGCATATTTTTCCTCTTTTATAAAATTATATATATATATATTTCTCTCCCCCATCTCTTTCTTTATAAAAACGAATACAGCTGATAGCAAGTATTTCTTTTTGACGAACCTTTAAAAATATAATTAATTTTATATGCGATATACATTTTCACAGGTGAGTTACAAAAAAATAAAAAAAAATACTATCCTGTTCGAAAGTGTGTCACGGTGTTTCTGAAAAAGGCTGGAAACCGCCGCGATAGTGTTTATCGAATGAGTCGTCGTTTGCGTTTGTGTGCGAGACATCGCTTTCTTTTTCACTGAACGCGGGCTATAACTTGGTCGACTCGAGAGTGTCAACTTTCCGTTAGCCAGTCGCGGCACGTCCGGATACGTATTAGAAATCTCACGTGGTGGTCTTCGTTGTTCGATCGAAAACGCGTCCGACTTTCGCAAGGACCCGGGCGCGGTCCAAAATTTCGCGCGTGCGAAAAAAAAATTGTTGCGCGGAGACACGCGATGTGATGTTCCGAGGTCGCGGGGCAGATAAAAAATGGGTAAAAGGCGATAATATGTTTTTTCGTCCAATACCCGCAGATAAGGTTATCGCGTTTGAATCGCAAGTGGTTTCCTCGCTTGTAAACCCGCACGGCCTATTCCGCTTAATTAAGCGTGTGACTGAAAAAAAAAGTTTTTTTTTCAACCTCGCATCCATCTGAGCTTTCGCGATTTTTCTCTCTCTCTTTTTTTCCAATTTCAATATTTGATTATACATCCATCTCGTTTTCAGCAAAGGAAACTGTAATGCTGTTACAAAGATATATAGAGAGGACAGAGACGGACCGTTTGGGAGGATTACGTTTTAAATAAATGGCTTTTTATTATTCGTCCATCGATCGCGTGTGGAATCCCGAGTGAAAAGAAATTTGGTAGTTAAATCGCGCGAGTTTTTTTTTCTCGAGAGGGATCTCGCGACTTTGAAATGCGGACGAGAGACAACGAGCGAGACACGAGTGTAGCCAATCGAGGTTATACCGTTTACCGGCAGGAAATAATTAGTCGGATCTCGTACGATGCAGTAAGTACGGTTGCATGCAACCTTGCACTTGCAACGATATTCGCGGCGCCGCGAGGTCCGTTTCATCATCGAACAGAAATCGGCTCTCCTATATCTCACGTCAACGCCTGCGAGACGCCTATATTTGTGATACTTTATCGCGATATATCTAGCCCATCGTGTGTGTATATGTATGTTTGTCGTAATAGCCCCTTGCTATATTACACAAATTTTACTCTTGAAATTTACCCTGAAAATCGTAGTAGAAAATGGTAATCGTGGGGCAATATTGCATTTTTTCAAAATTTTATGTTTCTCTGATTAATATTTATCACAATAAAAAATATTAATATATAAATATAATAAATTTTGCTATGTACATATTTTTCTGATTAATATTTACTACAATGTATTGTATGCATTTTATTTTTTTTATTGTATATATTTTATTTTTATTTTTATCTTACTATGTATACATATAGTAAAATTAATCGAACATACACTTTATATCTTATAAGATAAAAATAAAATATATAATATATACAATATATAGTGTGGTAAATATTAATCAGAGAAACTCATAAAATTCTTCCGCTATTATATTGTTTCACGATTATCATGATTTTCGGAGTAAATTTTAGGAGAAAATTCTCTCTGTGTAAATCAAAACAGTCGTCTGTTGCCCAGGTAGAAATCTGCCTCTATTTGCCGAGATTAAATACAGAGCTTAGGTAAACAAATACATTTTGAAATATCTGTCTAAGTCCAGAATACACCCTAGAAATTTACCTTTATTTTACCCAGGAAAAAAATAATCGGAAAAATCTGCATGGGTTCTAAATTGCCACTAAAGAAATATTTTTAAAGGAATATATGGAACCCTGATTATTTCCAGACAAAATTTCTACCTGGGTGCAACGACTTGCAAAAAAAAGTTTTTCATGCGAATAGAATAATAAAATAATACCTAGGCCCAGGTAGAAATTTTGTCTGGAAATAATCCGAGCTTCATATATTCCTTTAAAAATATTTCTTTAGTGGCAATTTAGAACCCATGCAGATTTTTCCTATTATATTTTTTCTCGGTAAAATAAAGGTAAGTTTCTAGGGTGTATTCTGGACTTATTGTTAGACAGATATTTCAAACTAGATTTTTTTACCTAGGTCCTATATTTAATCTCGGCAAATCGGAGGTTGCACCCAGGTAGAAATTTTGTCTGGAAATAATCAGGGCTCCATATATTCCTTTAAAAATATTTCTTTAGTGGCAATTTAGAACCCTTGCAGATTTTTCCGATTATTTTTTTCCTCGGTAAAATAAAGGTAAATTTCTAGGGTGTATTCTGGACTTAGGCAGATTTCTACCTGGGCCCTAACAAAACATTTATTTGAAACAAATAAATATTTATCTGTTTTGAAAAGAATTTTCTTATATTTTCACATCAAATCAATACAATTAGTTTCGAATAAATGATTTATTAGGCAGTATTGAAATATTTCTTCAAATTTATTATAATAAATTTTTTTTCAGTGTAATAAATTTTACTATATACATAGTAAAATTAATCAAACATTTTATATCTTAATATATGATATAGTAGATATTAATATTTTTATTGTGGTAAATATTAATCAGAGAAACTTTTATAAAATTTTCCCAATACCATATTGTTCCTATTATTATGATTTCCTGATTAGATATATTTATTTATTCTGATTAGATATTATTATGATTAGAAAATTCTATCTGCGTATCGTTTGAAAAAGAATCACTTATATTGAAACAAATCTTTAATTTTTTAAATAGGTTCCGGATATAAGAGATTTTATTATTTTCGTACAAATTTTCATATTAATGTTACAAAATCAGACATATATAACGCTAAATAAATAATAAAGGCCAAAATTGAGTTTTGGAGAAATAAATAAATGTAAAGAACAACTACTTAAAAATAAAGGAATATAGTCACTGTATATCTTGTCATTATCGCGACTGCAAATGCTAATTACGAGAGGATACGTCATTTTCTTTTAATTTTTTTTCACAATTTACTGACGTAATAAAATATATATCACCTTTGTTTCCGACGTAATAAAACGTGTCGTCGTTTTTCTTGGAACAACCAGAAGATTCTCCTTCCCGGTTCAAGGGTACCGGATATACCCGGGCACGATTTGACTTTACATGCGAAAAAAACCTCGCTATCGTCTATCTGTACATTATATCTCCAAGTACGGAGTACTTTTGCAGGTGATTGACATATTTACGAAATCATAGCGCGTGTCGCGACGTAATATATATATGGTATGCATACTCGAGAATAAAGTAAATATTTTTAACGCTTTCGTTTCGAAAAAATATCAAAGAATATTCAAACGCGCGCAAAAATTGCGCGCCAAAAAAAAAAGAAGGCTCTAAACACGAATGAAACGCATATATCCCATCGTAATATCCATAATAACGAATGGAAATTAGATTACAGGCGCGGAAAATTTCCGCAGATCTTAGCATACAGTTACCTCTCGTCGCATATATAAATAATAAAAATGCAATATATATAAAAATATAACATCGCGCACGTACAAAGTCAAAGGCGACGCGTCGCTTTATTTACTGCGTCGTGACACTTGGAGAGATGCGCGGCAGTTTTTTTCTCGACAAACTTTTATATACTTACGCATCGAAGTCTCGGAAAATCATATCGAATTAATACACACTCGATGCGTCTCTTTCTCCCCTCGGCCCCCTCCACCCGTCTCTCGAAGCGTCTCGTCGTACCGTGATGTGCCACGTGATATATAGATCATGATTTTTTCGATTAAAAAAAAAATATAAAATAGCCCCCAATTTAGATTCGCCAGTCGCGAACCAAAATAAATGTGTACGAACTAAAATAAATGTGTACGAACGTACCTTTTACGAGACAAAAACGACGTTGCGATAGCGGAGGAGGTTGTACCCTCGTCGGTGAAATTCCGATCGACTTCCGTGAAGCCGGGATACCAACGAGTCTCTCTCTCTCTCTTTTTCTCTCCCGTTCTTCTTCGCTCTTCTGGCGCGCGTCCCCGGTGCGATACACACGTATATATTACACGAACGTTATCCGCGAGGACGTTGGTGACGGGCCGGAATTTTGGCGCCGATTACGCGGCTGAATCTCGAGCGCGAAGAAAAAACTCTGGAGGAAGAAGAAGAGGAAGGCAGCCGTGTGAACGGCGCGTCCTTGGCGCGGCGCGGCGCGTCGTCGCGTCGTGGCGTAAGAAAAGCGTGGCGTGGCGTAAGCGTGTGTCGTGGCGTGGCGCTTCCACCAGCTTCCACGGCAGACTGCCTCTGCCTGCACCTCGCTGCACCGCCTGATAACTGACACATTGACGCACGCTGGAATATTATTACGGTACCCCGACACAGACGCACGCACACTCCTTCTTTCGCGCGAGTGCTGATACGTGGCTTGAAAAATTCGCGTTTGTCTGAAGCGCCCTCTGCAGACGGGAGAAGGTAGCGAGAGATCGATTTCAGATCGACGAATGATATCGAAGGCGATCGATAATTTTATATCGAACTTTTATATTATCGAAGTGGAGAAAATTCGCTGTTTGCTCTTCGTTAAACGGAAATTCTGGAAAAAATATAACGGTATACGTTTCTATTCTTTCCATTCGTTATTCTCGATCAGCTGATTCTCGGTAAACTGACAGCTCCCGCGCCTGACGTTGGTCACGTGACTTGGGTGGAGAGGGAGAAAGCGAGCGAAAGACGGAGAGCGCGATAACATATTTTCATTCTGCGCATACACCATTCATGCGGAGCAGGAATCGAGGGGAAAGTTCAGAATAGCGAGAGCTCTCCATCGTGATTCGAAGAATAGGGAGATCCGGAGTTGTACTTATATACGTGTGCACGCATACACACGCGACTCGCGCGTGTTATGGCGTGCTGTCAAAATAGAGAGCGTAGAGCTTCACGAAGATCGTGCGATTCTCCCTCTTTCGTTAGTGCGCTCAAATAATAATATCCCGCTGCGATAAGGACACAAATCCGCTGGAACGAAGTACGAAAATCACGTTGCGCAAGTGGCGGGGACATCAAGCAAACTTATACTATGTTTGTGTATTTTCGCCCCGACGAAAACGCGAATCCAAGGTCCCACTGTACTAAGGACACAAAATTCGTTAGAATCAAGTTGGAAGAAAATCTCACTCTTACGAGTGACATGTAAAGGAAAACAACGCATACATATCTTGTTCCAACCGGGTAAGAGCTTCGAGAAGGAGAGAGAAATCAGGACAGCAACAGTGTCTGATTTTTGCTTTCGGAATCGAACGAGGATATATATTACGCATCAAAGTGATAAACAAATCTACAGTATCATCTTTTTGTTTTCAAATTTCACTCTTTGAATTTAGATCGTGACAAAACATAATGCACAGTTGATGATTGTGAAATTTGACGACACTTTGGAGTCACCGTAAACACAACTTATCGTTCATGTGCTAATTTTATGTGTATCCAACTACACGCGTCTTTTTTAAGCATCGAAATAGTTAAACTCGATTAAAATGGAGCCAGCAGGACAGAATCCACTACCTAATGCCTTGAATAATATTGGCGACAATTCCGACACTAAGGGCAGGTGAGTCTTTTCTTTGTTTATTCTTTGCTTATGCATTATTTTCTCTGAATATTGGAATATGAGAAAATAATGTATATTAAATTATTCAATAATGCTTTGCGGAAAGTTTAATTTGTCTTTTTATTATTGCAGCTGCTTGTTACTTCGCTATGCAAGCCAAAATTCTCTAGATGAAAGCTCACAGAAACACATTCCTCGTGAGAGTGGAAAGGACAAGCCACCATATAGGAATCATCATCATACGAATCGAGCCTTTGATGTTATTAATGAGATGAGAAAGTATGTATCTTCTGTTTTTTATTTGTTAAACTATTATTTGATATTATATACTTTTGTAAAAACATTTTTTATTATTTTAGGAAAAATTTACTCTGCGACGTCATCTTAGTAGCAGACAGTGGTATGGAGGTTCCTGCGCACAAAATGGTTCTCGCTGCATGTAGCCCTTATTTCTATGCCATGTTTACAAGTTTCGAGGAACGTGATCAGGAGAGGATAACGTTGCAAGGCGTGGATTATTCGGCGTTAGAGCTATTGGTGGATTATGTTTATTCTGCAGAAGTTCATGTTACGGAGGATAATGTACAGGTGCTTCTTCCTGCTGCGAATTTATTACAATTGACAGACGTTCGAGATGCCTGTTGCGATTTTTTACAAGCTCAATTGCACCCTTCTAATTGTCTCGGTATAAGAGCATTTGCGGATTTGCACGGATGTCTCGAGCTGTTGACGCACGCGGATAGCTACATCGAGCAGCATTTTTCGTAAGTTTACTTGAATCTTAATTCATTAAATCAGAATGTATTGCAACGAAATGTTCTTAATTATGTCCTTAATATTGCAGAGAAGTTGTTGATGCGGAAGAATTCTTGACCCTGGCAGCTGATCAAGTAGCGAAGCTTATTTGTAGCGATCGTTTAATGGTACCTTCCGAAGAGAAAGTATTTGAATGTGTCATTTCATGGGTGCACCATGATCTCGAAAAGAGGCAGACTGATTTAGCTCTGTTAATGGAGTATGTGCGCTTACCTTTGCTGTCTCAAGAATATTTAGTACAACGTGTAGAGGAGGAACCACTTCTCAAAGCGAATTTACAATGTAAGTTTGCTATTACAATATATATATATAATATATTAAATTATATACATATGTATATATATACATATATATATATATATATATATATACTATATATATATATATTTAATATATATAATAAAAAAGACGATGCATATATATATATATATATATGTATGTATATATTTTTTTTATTTTTGCAGGCAAGGATTTCTTGATTGAAGCCTTAAAATATCATTTATTGAAAGGAGAGCAAAAATCGTTGTTTAAAACACCACGTACCAAACCGAGGCAACCAAGAGGCTTGCCCAAAGTATTGCTCGTTGTCGGTGGTCAAGCTCCAAAGGCGATTAGAAGTGTCGAGTGTTATGACTTTAAAGAGGAAAAGTGGTATCAAGTTTCGGAATTACCAACACGACGTTGTAGGGCTGGTAAGCCAATATATTTACACATTATTTTCTTTTTTTTTCTTACAAAGTAACACAGAATTCTGTATTGTGTTACAGGGCTTTGTGTTCTCGGCGGACGTGTGTATGCCGTTGGTGGATTTAATGGATCACTAAGAGTACGAACGGTCGATATTTACGATGCCGCGGCAGATCAATGGTCACCCTGTCCCGAGATGGAAGCGAGGAGATCGACACTCGGTGTAGCAGTGCTTGGCAATTGCGTTTACGCTGTACGTTGTTAATATTTCTTATCTGTACCCTATCGAAGCGAGTTAAAATCGAGAAAACATCGACTAGAAGACGCGCTATCTTGTGTTATACATTTTTCTTTTTTTTTTTAAAATTAAAATTAATATTTTATGCCGTAGGTCGGTGGTTTTGATGGCTCAACCGGGTTGAATTCGGCCGAAGTATATGACCCGCGTGCTCGCGAGTGGAGACCGATAGCGCGAATGTCAACGCGGCGCAGTAGCGTAGGAGTGGGAGTTGTCAAAGGATTGCTTTATGCAGTAAGTTCAGACATTGTATTCTTGCTTAGAAAGCACTCTCGTTCCGTTGTACATTTGATATAGAGCAAATTTTTCTCGTGATTATAGGTTGGTGGCTATGATGGAGAATCTCGTCAATGTCTCTCCAGTGTCGAGTGTTATAACCCAGAAAAAGATCAATGGAAACCTGTACCAGAGATGTCCGCGCGTCGTAGCGGTGCAGGTGTCGGTGTCCTGGATGGTATTTTATATGCAGTGGGAGGTCATGATGGTCCACTGGTTCGTAAAAGCGTAGAAGCATTTAATCCAGAGACCAACCAATGGACTCCCGTCAGTGACATGGCTCTTTGTCGTCGTAACGCCGGTAAGTGATTGCTTTTGGATATATTCAATTTTTTTCTCCCTCTCCAATTTAATGGCAAATCTAATGAAATACAATGAACAGGTGTCGTGGCATTGAACGGACTTTTGTACGTTGTGGGTGGAGACGATGGTTCTTCCAGTTTAGCATCGGTAGAAGTTTATTCTCCAAGAACCGATACTTGGACTACCTTGCCGACTTGCATGGGAGTGGGACGCAGTTACGCGGGTGTAGCTATTATCGATAAACCGATGGCTCCCGCGATGACAATGTGAGGTCTACAATCCGCTGGGCATTCGACAGAACAGAACACGGACCCGGGTGCCGAGATATCGGACTCGTCACGGGAAGCCGGGCCCAGCGGTGTGCAAAATCGCGGCGGGAGTCACAATTGTCAGGGACCACGTTGCGTTTGTCAGAGATATGAGAATGGCGAATTAGCTGCGGTGATTATGAATCAAGGTAGAAATAATAATCAAGAAAGGGAGGACGGTTATCAAAACGCTGGTCACGCAGCGGCACGCGCTTTTCCACAAAATCGCCCCAATAACAATGCGCTACAGATTCATCCGAATTTGAATCCAAATTATCAAAATCCGATCGACTTGATCCGCAATTACAATCGTCGACTGCAGCAGCAGGAACCGGAGGAGAATATTTACGAACGTTTGGACGACGACGAGGACGGTAATGAAAACGCGGAGGTTCCTCGGAACGAACCACTAGCTCAAAACAATCCAAGCAACGCGGATAATCATACGTACGAGAGAATAAACGAACGGATATCGTGCAGCAGTAGAGCGCACTGTCGTTACAAATATCATGTACCTCATAGTTTCCTGAATGACGTGGATGGTAGCAGAAATGCGAGTCAATACGATCAACCGAGACACATCTATATCGATTATTCTCGACTGAGTGGTAACTTACATCAAAGCTCCTTGAGCAGATTAGGTCGTAATTGCTTTTCTACGGAAAACATCGCATACGCTTCCACGAGACGTTCCACGCATCCATTCGCGTACAATTGCACGTGTCCTTATTGTAGACACGCGGACGCGAGATACATCTGCCATCATTGTAATAATCTACACAATAGATCACGGTATCAGGACGCCACTAATTCCAGGCACTACGTGTATCAAGTCTCGAGAAATTGCAGATGTCCGTTTTGTCGCGGCGAATACTCTTACACCAAGTTCCCCGTTAACGCTCTTCGCGCCGCTGAACTATTTAAAATGGAGTGTTGCCACTGTAGAAATCCCGCTAATTGCACTTGTCGCGGTAAAATTCTGTCCGATTCGAATTCCGCTATTTACATTGGACGGTACCTGGATTGGATTAATCGGACAAATCAGTCCGTCAATAATCCTCTGTACGCCATGATCCACGTCGGTAGGATGGATCGCGGTTCGATGCTTCCTGGTCACGGGAACGCATCCAACAGCGGGAATCCGTCAAACGCGGATCCTGGCCCTTCGACGTCGTCCTCTAATGCAACATCCAGATCCGGCGAGTCGAGTCAATCGTCCTCGATCTTGCGATCTGTATTCGCTCCCGGCACTTCCACGTCGAACGCCTCTATCTGCCCCGTAAACCGATACGTAGAACGTCAACATACTTGCGACGACTCTTGTATTCGCAGCCAAAGTGGTAATCTGGCCGGTATATGTCAGCTCCTCGGTAGATGCGAGAGAACGGAGTGCAATCACGGAAGACTTTCGGTACATTGGTGGTTCGTGAATAAGTGGCTTCCCTTATGGAACTCTCACAATCTTGATAGGAACGTGGACGATAGGTCTTGTCACGTAGACGAAATATCACGAGAACAGCGAGAGAGCGACAGCGATGATTCATAAATCGAAGAATCTTTCTTCACCATTTGAGTAGACCTGTCTTGTCTGTGTTCCAAATATCCAATACATCTTCCACTTGATTCCCACTATTTGTTAATCATACTTGCTCGTAGCATAAACTCGTAGTGACACTGAAATATTTCAAGCTTGCCGAAAAATATGGAGATAGTTTAGCAATATAATAATAAGCATACATCCTCCTTCCCTTTGTGAGACAATAAATTCGTATATCTCGACTTTGAAATATTTAATGGACATTATTAGAAGGACTTTTTTTCATTCATTTTCGAAGCAATAATCATCTAGATAATTATTTTTTATATTAATAAATTATGTGTTACATATTTTCATTTTATCTTATATATCTCATTCGAATGTGATAGATTTGTTTTACACTGGTATTTTAACGAATACACGAATCTATAGAATCATAATTATACTATGCAATATAGATATATCATATAGTGTACGTTCCCCCTCTTATTTTTATTTTATTTATTAATTGATTTATAGAGATTTCTTGCTATTGGATAAACATTTGTAAAGTATATTTTTTCAAAGTAATTTTTTTAATAACAATTTTTAAAAACTTTTTTTAAATAACGATCGTCTATAAATATCTATTGATGTCTCTCACTCACTGTGTATATATAAATGTCTGCAAATAATAGAATTAAAAACTTTTCAACTTTGTGACACACAACATTGATAAGTTCAACTAAGTCGATATCATAGCTGTGATATAAATTATGTTGTTTAATTCTAACGGGGATTAAAAAATTCCCTAAAGATTATATTATAATTTTATATTTGTTTGCGTGTTGCCTATACTATTTTTAAATTTTTCTGAAATGAAATGAGTGCATGTATGTCTGAGAGAGAACTTTGAAAAAGAGAAAAACCAAAAATATATACAGGATTTTTATACAAGATATTCGGCGCAAATAAATTTTACTATAATATCTTATATATATTTGATGTATCGAACAAAGTAATTACTTTCGTGTTTTCGTTACTATAATCTACTATATATATAAATTTATATTATATCATTTTTCGTACTTGACGTAATCAGTATTAAGTTATTTTTACACAGTTACATCGATTAACTTACAATTAGCTCCCATAAGTGTTCGCGTTATCATCGGTGCTTTGCGATATTATAAAGTATAAGGATTTATTACACGATTGTCATATTTGTCATTAATATTCAGAGCAATATATAGACTTCCTTCATAATTTAATTGAAAACCACATTGCGTAAACACATATGCCTCGAGTTGATATATATATATAAAATGTGCTTGTTTGCGCGTATATATGGCTATATAGCGCTTTCAAACGAAACATGTATCCTCTGTGAGGACAAATACATTTCAAACGATATCGCTTTATTGTTTTAAGGGTTTAGCAATATATGCATATATGTGTTATCTTTTCAACTTGGAAGTGTCTCTTCGTATTTAGCACATATTATAAGCATATCCTTGATAAAAAGTCACGATATATACATGTACGATGTTGGCCCGAGGGCTCATAGATCAGTGAACATTGTTGCTAGGCGGACGAATATTATATAGTTAATTGTACCTTGTTTTTTTAATATATAAGATTCAGAATTCAATAAATCAAATTTCCTTCTTCGTACACAAACGTATATGGAAATTTGTTTTATGCGAGTGTGATTGGATCGTCCGTGCACAGTAACTGACCATCTGTGTATGAGTGGCTTCGTTACATATACAAAATTGAGGGAAATTTTAATTTTAAGTTTTTTTTACAATTTAATTTTCTACGGTAAAGAACACGTGGCAGACTTTGCGAGAGCGAACATGTCAACGTCATTTATCATGGTTTAATGCACATATACAGCATATATATATATATATATATATATATATATATATATATTTATATAAAAGTCTGGTACAACATATACATATATATCACACTAGGATTTTTTTTGTTCACGCCCCCGCCAACGTCAAGGCCAACCGCTATCACTTCGATGTCACAATGGTCCTAGCGCTAATTTAGAATTCTAGCTAACTAGTACCTCGACCAGTTTATGTATCGACCACACGTATATCATAAATTTTACGATTCTTTACAAGTAAATTCCCAAAGGAATGGCCGAAGAAAAAAGAGAAATGAAGAATGAAGTAGACGCGGAATTTCATAGTTCAAAAATATACACGTGGGGTTTTGACATTTGGATCCAAGTATATGAAGTAGTAGTATAGTAGACTCGATTGATACGAATCGAAAAACGATACAGAAGTACGAAGTATCAAATCGAAATAATCTAAAATTAATTATAACGGAGAACAGAGTACGCTCTCTTGCGTGTCATTGACGTGTATTATTATGATCGATAGCCGGAACGACACTTCAAGTATGTGGGCGTTGGCACTTGACGTGACCTGTCACCTTCGAATTCCGTTTCATTTCTCGATTTGATTTAAAATCTAAAATAGGAGTACAGTGATGTATTTTTTTTTAATCAGGACAATCGTTCGCCGAGCAATATCCATCCGCATATCATCGCTCGCGACTTCAATAAGTTGACGAATTGGTCGTGCAAATAACTGATATATAAAGAGAGAACAATTGCGCGTATATCGAATTTATAGCGACCGTTACGCATGCATAATCAAGTGTGAATCATGGAATTGTCGCGCGAGAATTGCGAAACTCAGTTCTATTCTACGTGTCACGTGCGCAAGCCATTTTTTTCTTTTTGCGGTGCTGGTTCCGGTTGAATTTATTACGCGACTTATTTATTAATGCTACGTAGCAGTAGGTTACAGTTGTAATGCAAATAAGCCGCGTATATAGGAAGAACAATTCAAGTTCTTTCTATATTTACATCTCTTTATTAAGAATTCGTAGTGACAGGGAAGTATGTAAAAAATATTTTTCGTCGCGAATGAATATTTACAAACAAGCGCATATGCGTTCGAGAGATGTTAATTATTAATTTTTTTCTGCGATGAACATAAACCATGTTTATCTAAAAATATTGTCAGAATATTCACCGAAAAAATTGTATTTTTAGCTCCAAGAGGACCCTCTTAATTTAAAAAATTTCTCTAAATTTTAGTATATTTTTTCTGAAAATAATAAATTAAGAATATCATCTTAAATTAAGAGGATCCTCTTGGCGCTATTTTTCGGTGTTGCGATATTTTTGCTCGATTTTATTTCTCGTCTGAGAGCTCAACGGTTGATTTATTAATTTATTTTATTCGTCTATCATTCATCATATTTAATTTTGTTTGATCGCGTCGATGATGCGACAATAAGAATATTTAATCGAAAGTGAAAAAAATGTCTGTTGAACAATTTTCGCTCTCATCAGCGATTGCCATAAGATTTTCAGCTGAATTTTGCAATTATTCTTCGAAATCGGGATCAGCCGATCACGTATCCGCATTATTACACAGAGAGGAGGCACTCTCGGTATACATTCGATCTCCTATAGAGAGGCTTCCTTCTCTCAAGGGTAAGGAAAGGTGTCGCCTGCCAAGCGTTTGCGCATGGTTCATTGTCGGTTGCACAACAATGAACTCTAACGAGGGTAAGCCTATCACGGGCCTGTGCTCACGAGGCATTCGATTCCCTTTCAGTCCTTTCTTCTTCAGGTTTACCGACACGTACGTGTCGTTTAATATCGATTTACGATCTTATTTCTATATATTTTTTTCTTATCTCCATACGTGCACGTGGCGCTTTAAAACGGGTTCTTTGTGCGTACAGAATTGATTACACGCTAATAGGAATAATTAATCAGATATTGAAGTTACGAGTCGATATTATTATGACATTGTGAATTATTACGCACGTATGATAATATATTTAATTTATCAAAAAATTACCATTTTTTTGTATCCTTTATAATATATATAAATTACGTAAATCTATTTTATCGTATTGTAAGCATTTCCTCAAATTGAAATTCTGCGAAATTAACGCGGACGCGATTTATTAATATAAGATTGTTAGAACTTCTAAGTATCTGCGCACATCTCCTTTGTTTTAGATAATCTTTAAATAAGCTTGAATAAATAATATTGCGATGTCTCGCACGAATAACGTAGAGGCGATTCTAAAGATGTCAAGATTACTATTGCGCAATTGTACACATCGAAGGCAAATAGACGAACAGAAAAGCATTAGTTGCGTAATGTCAAATGGAATCAAACTCGAAGAAAATGACGTAGAGGAGCGTCAGTCAATAGGCGATTTTCGAATAAAATCGGATCGAAGAGAATAATTTTCTTATACAGGGTGTATCTAAATAAGTGAGAAACATTTTCGGAGGTGATTTCTTGTCGAAAATTAAGGGAGTTTTTTTTATATAAACATGTACTTTTATATATCTCCCCGAGAAGTTATTCTTTTCTAAAGAGGGAGGTAAAAATTAAGTTTTTTATTTTTTTTCTTCAATTTCAGACAAATAAAAAAAATGAAACAAAAAATATCCACCAAGTTTGAGAAATTTGAGATTACTTTAGAAAATTTTTTTTTATTTAATTACTTTAGAAAAGTGTAATTCCTCAGGAAGGGATATAAGAATATATAAACGAAAAACTTTTCGCACTTATTTAGATACACTTTGTACGAGTATATACACATTTAGGTTTCCTACGCTTATTTGCATTTATTGCACCGAGTGACGCATACAATTACGCCTTACCGGGAAAAATTGAATCGTGGATTTTACCCCGGAAGAGCGAGCGTGACTTATGTGTCGTATTTATTTTTAGCCTGTGATTATAGGCATTAACTAAAGTGCATACATAATTCTATATCTGTCATATATATATATCACACCGGTTGTTTTACAAGAATATTCGATAAGTTCTTGAAAAAAAAGTCGGTCGCGTTGAGAGAATTAAATGGGGAAGCAAAGAGATAATTAAACCCTATTTGAATAAATTAATGGAAAAAATATGAAAATATCGCTCTGCCTCGGAAAAGAAAACTATCTATATATTAGAGTTAAAATTAAGTATCGATTACTCCGATCCGATATTAACGAAAGGACGATTGGATCTATACTCTTCTCATTCTTCTTCATTCACAGCGCTGTATAAAAATGTTGATACCGAGAAACGTAATTGAATGATCGAGTGCTGAAGAAACTCGGTTTGATTAGAAATTACAGATATAATTCATCGTTAAAGACGAGAGAGGAGAGTCGCGCGTTCGCGAAACATGAAGAAATAATAATGATCGAAAGTAAAGCGCGAGATAAGAGAGCGCAGAAAGTCATTAAATTAATGACCCCTCGCGGCTATAAAAAATCGAAGGTACTCGAAATTAAAGGTAGGGATCACCGAGAGAGAGAGAGAGAGAGAGAGGGCGAGATGAAAAGAGAAAGAGAGACAACTCGGGAAGGGATATACACGTAGCGTAAAAGTAAGAGAACCCACACCGAGCTCGCGCTTTACTCGCTTACGATATACGATCGAGGGACACTTCTCTTTATTCTCGTTCTATCAGTGTGCACAGCTTGGTTAAAAAGTCATCTCCTCCTTCAGTCGTCGTTCGCAGATGCGACCGATGCTGCATCATCGAGCCGCATCCGCGAACCGCAAACTTGAATCCAAGTGCGCGTTTCTTATTCTCTCTTCCTTTTTCGTCTCCCTTTTTCCTCTCTTTAATTGCTCAATTTTTTCGATTAATTGCCGAGCGATTGCGACATTTCGGAACGGCTCTTCGTGTACGCGAAGTGAAAGTAGGAACGGGCCCCGGATGGATCTTTAATGCATTCTGGATCGGTTTGTCCCTCGCGAGTTACGGCATGTAAAAGTGTGCGGTGTTAATGCCAGGTAAGATGATTATGCCATCTCATTTGCATATTCGAGAATTACGACCAATTTTCTTTTTCACTATTTGCATTCATTTACATAAGTCAATCATAATTATATATTATAATTATATATATTAATTATATAGCTCAGATCTTGTAGATAAATGATTGTTAATTCTCTTGTAATTAGCCGTGTAATTTTATCTCTTTTATTTAATAAGATGAAATTTTACAAATTAATTTTATATTTATATATATCTTATTACATTAAAAGATAAAATTAAGGATATTTATTATTCGCGCGTGTAAAAAATCTCGCCGGCGTATTAAATCTGAGTTGAGGCATGCAGTTGAGAGGAACCTGAATAAAATGAATGCGATTAACTCTCGAATTAATTTATTTGGATACTCTAAAATATATTGTAATATTAATATATAGGGAAGGAATTACAGAGGGTGAAAAATTCACGAATTTTTCGTAGGGATCATTTTCTTTCTGCGCTGCTCTCGGACGGATGTTTCGTAAAAAATAGAGAGTGTTTCGGCAAGATAGGATAGTCTGCTTTTACCTTTAGTGAAAACCGTTTTGCATATTCGACTGGGAACCCGGTAATCCCGGTGGGCGAAAGTGACGAGCGGCCAAACTCGTTCGACTTTCCAAATCAATTTCGTCGCTTGGCCAGACCCGTTGGTCGTAACAATTACTATTTTATTAACGTTCTGCGTTACAATAGATCGGGTCAGTCGAACTTTCTGCATTTAAAAAACGAGACGGAATTATTTTAAAAGACGAGATAAATTTTTTGCGAAGAGGAAGAGAAAAAATAAAATGCTGGAATTATAAGCAGACTTTGCATGTGTATACATATATATGTCATTATATGTAATTGTAAATATGTAATTATGATTCACAACACGATCATTATTACTTCAATTTTGTTGGTATGAAAAAATACGACATAATTAGACCGTTTTAATCATTTTTATTCTTGTCTGTACATACTTGTTGAGAATCATTCGCAGACAATTTCGAAGCGCAGAAATTATATTTTTATTTTATTGATTTTACTTTCATTCTTTGATTTAAATTTTAATTTACGCTTGTTGTCCTTTTTTACGCATTATATATATCAAATTATCAACACACATCTTTTAACTACTTAATCCGGGACGCGGAGCACTTTCTACGGACGAGTGACTCAACGAATGAGAGTTCGTTATTCTCCCTTCGTACGAAGGAGATAGTGAGCACTCAAAAACGTGATCGAGATCCGAATTAATAATTTTTTTTTCAAACAATGAATACCTGAAAAATTAGCTACGCGACAATTTTAACTCGCTATTTTACTTTTAACGAGAGACGATTAGGATCAAGATTCTTCTATTTAACTGGACATATTTATGATTTAACAATAATAAAATTTTTATCAATGCTTTCGATGATGACAAAAATATCTTACTCAATATAATATTATAATTCCGATATGTTTCTGATCATATATGCTTTCTGTAAGAGAAGCAAAGAGAAACGGTGACTAATAAGAATTCGTCACGTTCAATATCCAGATCAATTTTGCGACTGATCATGCCGCTGCATCGACGTCATTGATCGAACAAGAGACAGATTTGCCAAGCAATTTGAAGGCGATCAATCACGCGTCTAGGAAGCGGAACCGATTCGACATGATTGCGACCAGGGGTGTGTCTTTACTCCGGACAATCCCCTTGTCCTTGGAACTCATGCCAAAGTCATCAATGACTCTATCATGATCTCCGCGACGAGGAAACGAATCTGTCCTACGCCGGATCGGAGTTAACAATTAACGACGCAGCCTTTCGAAAGATTTGTCGTCGAAGGACGAAGTCTTGGAGGAGTCTGGAGATTATCTGGAGCTCGCAACATTTCGAAATGGCATTGGTGAATTTTAGTCTGCCCTATCAGTCGGCGACGATGGCGCCGTTTCTGTACACAGGAGGACACACGACAGTCAACAATCTCGGCTTGAACACCGTTTTACCTTCAGGATCTGTACCGAGTTACAACGAGCCCTACTCACCACCGCTCAAATATCATCAGCATCGACGTCAACCTGTTCAGCAAAGAAGTCCGGAGATCTATGCGGAACACGTTTCTTTCTCGTCGACGCAGGATACTCGTTACACGGGATATAATCAGGACTTTAGAAGAACGCAACCCAGGTTGCAGCAGCAACAGATGAGACCGCCTCCTTCTTCTTCATCATTTCAGCAACAGCAGCAGCAACAACAACATTCTCCATCGCACGAACCGATTAAGTCCAGAATAGAGGAACAGGAGAATTATCCAGAAAGACTTCACAGGTAAATAGAGAGAGAGAGATATTTCCTTTGTTCTTCTCTTTTCTTCCTTGGTTTGTCGAGAATTTTTTAAGCTCTGTAAATTTCTTGGAGTGGAACCTCACTCCAAAAGAGTGAGATTCCACTCATCCAAAAAATTTAGAGAGTATAATCCAGAGTTGAGTAATAACTAGTTAATTAGTTAAAAGGTGAAATGTTAATAACTTTTAACTTAGCTTAGTTAATTTAAAATGTATTAATTTTTCACTTTAACTAACTAGTTATTTATTTTGATCTTAAACTTATTCATTTTTTCCTAAGTTACATTTTTTTATCTCCGAATACCATTATTGTTTTTTTATAAGTTATAAACGTGTATTATATTTAAATTAAAGTATTATATTAATTTTTATGTTTATCTGTCATCAATTGTAATTACCAAAAAATATATTTCTATATAAACATCAAAATTTCTTTGTTATTTGTTATAAATTTTGAAAGAGTTAACAAACAATAAAATTCTAATTTGATATAAATAATGTTTTTAAAAATTAACTTTTGATTGAACTTTAATTAATTCAATCTTAACTTAACTTTAACCGAGTTAATTTTTTGTTCGTGCAACCTTTAACTTAATTAAATTAATTTTATAAGCAACTAACTTTAACTTAACTTAATTTTAAAAAATCGTTAACTTACCCAACCCTCATATAATCTATTGACGTTGATTTAAATTGTCTAAAGTTACACGAGGGTGAACGGCGGAAGTTCCGTCGGTCCGGATGCCAAAACTTCGGTCCATGCAGTGTTGGACTACGACGATGATTTCGATGATTATTACGACGACGAAGATCAGAACATCCCAACGAACGCGCATGTCACACCTATCCAAGGTCCGATCTTTCTGAAAAATGGTTCCGTTCCTGTGGTACCACTCTATTCGTATCCTCAGCTAAATAATGGGACATTCGTACAGATACCGGTGAGTTTAATGTTTCTATTTTTCTATTTTCTCTCTGATCAATATGATGATATCGATGTCATGCAATAAGCGATTATAAATGAGATATAAAATATAATTAATTATAAAATTAATATAGCAATAAGACCGAATCTATCTATATAAGAATAAAGGGACTTATAAAAAGACTCCTATTAATTATAATTAATTATATGAAGTATAAATTTAAATGAAATGTACAGTATGGATGATTATTAGTTGTCTGATTGAATAAGAAAAATGATTCTCGATGATACGTGATGATACAAAAGGTAACGCGACCGTGGCTATAAAGGGACTTTCAAAGTCTATAGCAATGCGTGACATTTCCCGCATAAAGCACCCATGACCCCGGAGTATCTTCGTCAGAGAATCAACAAGAATGTACAATCGGACAGATGCATACACCTGTCTGAAGCGTTTCGCGCGAATCCCTTTTACCTGTCTCTCCAGTTATTTCCATCTTCATTCAAGCCTCCTACAACGACTCCTCTTTACGGAGTGTCGTCCGAGGTCGCGAAAGAATATCTTGAGGTCAACCATCATACTGACATTGAGATATGGTAAACCACGTCGACTTTGTATTATTTATGGGTTATCGTCGAACTTATCGATTCTCTGCGATTTTCCGATCGAAACTATCCAACTATCGCAAAGAAATTAATGATGACGAAATCGAGATAATTTTGAATTAAATTATACGCACATTTCCAATAATTGTGTACAGAAAATCAGAATCTAATCTGTATCGAAACGGAGAGAGAATGGATTCGAGCGTACACGATTGATAGTGAAATAAACCGTACGTTTACAACACTACGTGATATGTATCGATGATCAGCTAACGCGATTAATTAATATTCTGAACGCTCTCGATCGTTCATTAGTCGCGCGAATAAATTAGGAATCATTATTCATTTATTATCTTATATATTATTCGCGAACGAGATTTTACATTTGACATTTCGTTATAGTATGACAGGGTTGGGTAATAACTAGTTAATTAGTTAAAAATTAAAGAAAAAGTGAATAACTTGTAATTTAGCTCAGTTAATTTAAAATGTATTAATTTTTAACTCCAAGTAATTATTTTTGATTTTCAACTTATTAACTTTTTTCCTAAGTTAAATGTTTTTTTATCTCTGAGTACCATATTATTGTTTTTTCATAAGTTATAAACGTATGATTTTTTTTTAAATTAAAGTATTATTAATTTGTATGTTCATTTGTAATTACCAAAAAATATACTTCTATATAATTAACAAATAAAATTCTAATTTAATATAAATGTTTTTAAAAATTAACTTTTGATTTAACTTCAGTTGATTTAATCTTACTTTAATTTGAGTTAATTTTTCGTACATACAACTTTTAACTTAACTAAATTAATTTTATAAGCAACTGTAATAACTTCAATTTAACTTGGTTTAAAAAAATCATTAACTTATCCAATCTTATACTATGATGATATAGCGTACTAATCATTTACGAAAAAATCAATTAGTCGAATGGTCCAGCTGAGGAATCGATAACGCTCGAAAGAAATTCGAAAGTGCCACTTTGCGAGAGATCTTCCGCGGAGAGAAATATTAAAATAAAACGGTCGGCTAAGAACTCGACAGAGATTATGCGTAAATCATTCGCGAGTGTTGCGAATGTCCTTATTTGTGAGATTCGCGAAGGAAGACGAGAGTCCACCGACGTGGACTACCGAAATTTCTTCGTTCTTGCGACACGCGACCTCGTCATCATAAGTGCCCACACTTATCGTAGGCTGTTCGCAGCAGTTTCTTAGACAATTTATTATCTTTCACGACATTTCAATTTTTTCTTATTTTTTTTTATTTTATTTCCATAAAGACATTGTCTGAAGTCTCTATATATAAGATTATATCGAGAGTAAAAATTTCTGAAAATTTTTGTGTCAATTTTCCATTTACTTTTTTTCGAAAAATATTTATTTTATAATAAATATTTTTTATGGAATTTATATATATTCTCTGTTGGGCGATTTCTCTTATAAATTTAGGCGCGTTGTTCGAAGGAATCCGAAGTGAATTAAAATATTTTTTGCGACTTTTATGTCAACACTTGTCATAAATATTCACGCACTCCGTATTTACGCTCTAATTCGCCTTTCTCTTTCTATTAAAATGTTTAAAAAAAAACTCGAAGAAATCTAATTTTTATATACATATAGAGATAATAATTGACTCACTCAGCTTCCTCGCATTGAATGAGTCATTTCTTGTGGGCAATGCACTGCGTCGTAATCAACGTCAGAATTCTCTCGTATTATGAATGACGCCTACTAAATGCTCATTGGAAGTTGAATTGAAAGTAAATGTAGGAAGGCGATCTTTAATTAATGCCGATTTCCGGTATAGATAAATACGCAGAAAAAAATGCTCGCTCTGGCGCGAAATATTTTTCTCATAGCAAACTTCATTAGTTTAAACAGCAAAAAGACTTGTGAAGAATACTAAATTTGCTGACAATTCAATCAGCATTCAGTAAGCATCATGTATAACATATAATGCAATACTGTTTGCTTCGACAGCAAACTTGTCTTTTAAAAACAGATTTATGCGATAAGATTAGCATAAGCTTTGTTTAATTGCCTAATTGAGTTGCTGTCACAGCAAAATTCCTTTTCTTCGCTGTCTTATTATAAAACTACGCGTTGTATTTGTAATTAATAATTATAGATATTGATAAATTTCAATTTGCGCACAGATACTCTGGACTGCACTTTCGGTAGCGTTAGGTGTTGAATTGAGGGGAGATTTGGTACGAGGTGTACCATGCATCAAAAGATATCATCAGCTGTTTTGTCCAACCGCCGGAAACACATATCCAATGTGAGTATAAACAATTTTATTTTATTTATTTCGAATAAATATCTAAGTTTATAATCATCATAAAGCATGGTAAAGAAATTGTTAACGTAATATCTATCGTTATTTAATGAAAATCAATTGTTACAGAGAACGGATAGAGCGTTTTATTGATGAAAATAAAGCGCTGATGAAAAGGATGTACGGCGACTTCGAGATGAAGCCAGGATACGGATCGAACGAACCTGGGCATCGCACTAGAACACGAAGAAAAAGTAGAGACACACGGAGACACGATATTCCGGATGGTGGACCTAATGATGAGTTACATGCAGAGGGTGAAATCGACGAAGAGTATTTCAACAGAAATAGAAATACCAGACAATCCTTCGGGAAAAATCGCAACACAGAGAGTGGCAGGTAAAGATTATAGGAATCGAAAAGCTCTTCTGACATTATTATATTAATCAGTACGTTTCATTGTTATATATCATTATCCTTTTTTTGTGGCATCTTAGCTCAACAAGATCCATTCCCAGATAGCCGCAGTAATTATTATGACATCAAAATGCATCATTTGATGGATCAAAATGATGTCATAATAATTACTGTGGCTATCTGGGTTATTATATATCATGCTATATTTATCTCTGTTTCTCTCTGCCTCTCCCTCTTTTTCTCATAAAACAGATTAATAGAAAATAAAATAATGAAAAAAAAGATATTGCAAATACAATGGATAACGGGATAATGATTGCAGAGTTGATGCGTGCGAATCAAAGGTTGAGATCGTGACGCCCTATTGGGCAAGTAACAGCGCCGGAAAAATTCGCGCTATTGTAAATACTCAACATTTCGAGCAGGCTATACATCAGGAAGTATGCTCGTAAGTAGAACTGCATTCAATATAATTCTCTGCCAAATTTAAATTGATAAATTAATATTTTTTAATGAAAAAAGAACCGTATTTTTGACAGAAAAACGCAAACAAATCGATGCAGCGGAGACTGCGGATGCGAGCAGAAGTACAAATGGCATAGGTTGCTCGCCTACGATCCAGACAACGATTGTAAAGGTATATTTATGGATTGGTTCCTCTTTCCCTCGTGTTGTGTTTGTAGATGTGATCCAGTCAGCAACAATAAATTCTCTTCGTCACGTGGGCGAAATTGACATGTGTCGCATGCACTAGCGGATCCTGATATTGATAATGGGAGGGGTTTCTGCAAAATTATTTAATTAATATTTTTTGTTCCATGTTTAGCTATTATTCTAGGATCAACGATGAATTTTTTAAATTTGGGGTTTTAATCCCAAACCCTCCCCAGGATCTGCTAGTGATCGCGTGAAAGAATACGTGCCATGCAAACTGCAACGGTTCATTCTCAGTGCATTATTCAGACAATTACCTAGTGATTTGTGATAGAAATTGTGCAACAGATAGGTGCGACTTATCGTTTTAATTTGAAAAATTGCTAAAAGATTTTTATAGCATTCAAAAATTTACAAGAAATATATCTACATCTTTTTGTTGATAATTCTAATTAATTTGATTGATGAATTAATTTTGAATTTAATCTATTCTCTCTTTCTTTTTCTCTGACATTTATATAACTTAATTGTTCAGCTATATTTTTTCACACAATTGCGAGTTTTCCTTCTATGCTTTATCGTAGCCCATTAAAACAATATAATTGCTATTATTTTCCGGATTGATAAAATTGTTACTATATTGAAAAACGTTGTTGCATAACTATAATGATACAATGTTTTTTTTAATGACAAATGCAAAACAAAATAAAGAAAAACTATCGTATTTTTATGTATTAATTATCATACTTACGTATGATTGAGTCAGCTTGGTTGAAAAAATCTAGCCCCAATCTCAGCCAACAATTTATATATCAAACTGAGAAAGCGCAATAAATACAAACGCGACAAAAATCATTTATTTAAAACATTTCGATATATATAATATTATTAAATTGCAAATTAATACTATTATCTAGTAACAATAAATTGATTTCTTTATGTGAAGCATTTATGCCTTATTTTTTTATGACGAGATCAACTGATAAATCGTATCGTATGCCTAATTAAGTTAATAGAAAAAGAATCTAAAAAATTAAATTGGAAATGGTTTTATATAAGGCGTAGCATAGAAATTTTCGTAATTTTCAGTTTATTTATAAGTAGAAAATAAATGTCTTATTTTTATAGAATTTTTCTGATAATTGTCGGCTATTACAAAAAATAATAAAGTGTCAGTATATACAGACAGCATTTATAGTTCCATAAATGAAATGACAATGCGCACGAGGCGCGTACAAATGTGCCTGCATTAATTTTATTTTTAAGCGCTCTTTCAGGACGACTCTCTTAAAATAGTTTCTTACTTTTTACAGATTTTGCGTAAAATGTAGCGATTACATTTTAATTAAGATACATGTACAATCTCTCGCGCGAGAAAAATATACATGAATCTAATTGTAAGAGAATTTCGAATGAAGAATATTATTATTATATTATTATATATAAGAAAGAATGTTAATATGTTGGCCAGTCCCCTTTGAGAACACATTCGTTTATTATTCTAATTGCTGGACGGATACCTGATAAGTTTTCGTCTTTATCGTCTCGTCTTTCATTATTATATACTTAAGGTAACTGTTGTGACAAAAATAGAGGAAACGCTTATTATACGTCTCGAGGTAATATCTACTTAGAACGAAACAAGGTTGAACCAATGGAGATAACACGTAACGACGATGAGTCTAATTTGTTCTACATAGCGTAATTATCAAAGGCGTCGTTTCGCGAGAACGCTGGAATTAAAGTGACAAGTGCAAGATGTACTTTACAGAACATACAGAGCTTAAAGTCGCGTAAATTTTTTTTTTAAAAAAAAAACATTCTTCATAAAAGAAATCAACGATGTGATAATTATGTTACATTCTTTATTTTGTACTTACAACAATAATAACTAGTGAACCAATATTACTCGTAAGAATCGCGCGCTTATTTTAGCCATAATTTTTTCGTTTCAGAAAAATAATTGCACTACATCGAGTGACATTATATGTATATTTATATATAGAACACATTTTTCTCTCTCTTTTATATCTATACTTTTTTTTACATATCTTTCAGATCGAAGAACCATCGGAAAATAATAATCAGTCCGCAGAGAAAAAGTTGTTAGTCACAAATTGACAACATTAAGTATTCGTAGCTATATCGTGCGAAAGTTTTCTTTCCTTTTTATTAGCTACTGACACATCTAATAAAAAAATCGATACGTAATCTAATTGATTGTCGCCCGTTAAATATTAAAGTATCCCATATTTCGATTGTTGCAAGAAGACGTAAGCGAAGGATATCAGCGCGCCGATATAAAGCAATCGTGTCGCAGACGCATCTGTCGCGGAATTGCATAAATCGGTGCTGCAGATGTGGCAGGATTCGATTACGTCGCGTCCTGGCTGTGTCATGGTGTTACCGCATAGGCCATCGGTAACTTCGAGCTCATCGTGATACGGAGTGGAGCATTGACGTATGACAATTCGTTCGCCGTATTCTAAAAAATAGTCAATTAATCGTTTTTTTTTTATATTAAACACAAATTAATCGGGCGTGTTTTTATTGTTTTTTTTTCATACACGAACTTCCGTAATTATATTTATCGCAAAGTACTCGCGATTAACTAAAATTTTATTTCTCTCTATGAAGAGTGAACTTTGTATGTGCATATTAGTTTTTATTTTGAAAAAAAATGACAAAAAAAACCAATGATTTTTTTCGAAAAAAATGTTGCGCGCACAAATCGTATCACGTCGTATTTTTCCGTATCAACGAGTGCGTTGTTGATTTAATAGCATAAGATTGTCGCTTACGTAATTTTTCACATTCAAGTAATAATCATGTTGGCTATTTCGCATATTACACACATATATCTCTCACGCTAGAATTCTGTTAAATTAACGTTCGATGTGCTACCTTGAATTTATGAAACTCTCGTGAAACTATGCAATGACAAATTTAACAACATACAAGGAAGTGTATAATCCTGACTGTACGTTTTATGACACATCGACTGAATCTTTTTTTAAGAAACGGTAGTTGATTGCAGAGTTGAAACACGAGTCATCAACTAATCAAAATAATTAATTGAATCAACTTTATCAATTAAAGGAAGATAATATTGTGTCACTGCATACTTGAATCAAACACAATGTTTAATTAAATTTTAAAGCGCTAAGATGAAGAAAAAGAAATATAATGTGCCAATTATATATTTAATTTTCTATTTTTTTTGCTGTAATTTACTACTCGAACAACACATTATTCCGAATGAAATTAATGAACAAAATTAATCAAATTCGCGGTGAAGAGTAGAGTTTTTCCTATCGTAGGTGTGGTCTCGACCTTGTTAATGCCTAATTATCATCGTCATTTACATACACGCCGTATGATTCAACGGCGGTGTACATTACCACGTCGTCACACTTAAAATAGAAAGGATACAGCGCATCAAAAGTGCAATTTAAGCTCCATTTCGTAATACGTCATCCTCCTAAGAAATAAGCAGAGATGCGCGTTGCAAGATCTGTCCATCTTGCATTCGCAGAGAAAAATTCGTTCTGTTTTTCGCGTGTTTTTCTAGCATATGCATATTTATACACACGCATGACGATTATGAAAAAGTTGTGTAATTTTGCATAAAAAAGATTTAAAAAAAACGAAAAGCAAAACAACATTTTACTTGTAAACTTCCCAGATAGCACAGCGAATTCAAAAAGAATTTATTTGTATGTCACCAATTTTGAATTCTTTTTCAAATATACATATAGAATTTATTTTATAAAGTAATAACATTTTATAACATTTTATAAAATGAATTCTATATGTATTTGAAAAAGGACTCAAAATTGGTGACATACAAATGAATTCTTTTTGAATTCGCTGTGCTATCTGAATTTGGTCTCTATTATATATATTTTAAAGTTAAAATTTAAAAAGACCTTATTAAAGACCACTAGAATATTTAATAAATAGACATTTGTTACATAAATTTTTATATTAATATTGCACTGTTAATATTGAAATAAACAATTTTACCTCGTTTGACCATCTTGCGGCAAATAGCTTTCGTGGTGCCGTAGTGACCCGTATCGCAGGTTCTGATATGAAATGCAGCTTGATGGTCTGTGGTGTTCATAGGATCAGCACACATGGCATTTACATTGGACGAGCAGACCCAGCAACGCAAGGCCGAACCTAGACGAAAAAAAAAATTAATTTATTTCGTGGTTTTCGAGTTCTATGCGTCAAGGACAAAACAGAACGTGAGATTTTACAAAATATGTCGTTCTACTCTCGCGTAAAAAAGATGTCAGATACATATCTCGTAGAAATTTGATAGGAACAAAATTACAATTAAAATCACGGAAGAAATATCTGCGCAATACACTATGACGGAAAATAGGCGTGATTAAGAAGTGACGTAATGCTGAGTAACAGTCTATATTAGTAGTGCACTCTAGAGTGCATAACTATATAACACAGTCGGATTTCTGCCATTGTAAAAACTAAAGCGCGACGCAATATCCAACTTGAGAGGGAAATATTATATATAGAAGGAAATAAATGTCATGAGAAGTTACGATCTGAAATATAGTTAGAACATGTACATAGTATATTCATATTCAAGTTTTGTAATATATGAATATTAACACTCTCTGTGTATATATTATGCAGAATGAATCAGCAAACTGTTCATCTTTGATTACTCACAAGCTGTTTGTTGAAAAAATTTGTTTCAAAAACTAATGTCACATGATATCAAAGGGGACGTATCAACTCCCTTGATATTAATAACAATTTTTTTTATTTTTTTATCTATTTTATTTTTCAATATATAAGGAAGCACAAAAAGGCCAAAAGATATCTTACAAATATTAAAAGGACCATATGTCTTTCTTTATACTTTTTTAAGAACGTATACTGTCTGGAAATTAATTTAAGTTTTTTAAATAAAACTCAACATTTCACTTTAAAATTAAAAAAAATATCGAATGTTGAATAAAAAGTACTAAGATGCATACAATCAAAAGTCAATATAATTATATTAAAATAATTGTTGATTTATATAATTAATACTCGAAATGTTATTCATTACGTTCAATGCAAGTGCGTGATTAATCGAAGGAAAAATCGCGATTAAGGAATAAAAAATTTTAATTAATGAATTCTAGATCTAGAAAATGATATACCTTAATACTTTATTTTTTATTCAGTATTCCATTCTTTCAAATTTTGAAATAAAATGTTGAGTATTATGAAAAAACAAAATAGCAAAAATCTAACTATTTTTTGATCTCTTGTAATTTTTTAAATATTTTTTATACAACAAAAAGAAATATATTTAAAATTATCCAACTTAAGTTCTACTCAAGTAACTCATCTTGTATATATATGTGCATGCGAGTGCGGCGCACTCATATACAAACACATACACAACAATATATATACATAATGTTAGGATATATTACAATAATATGCAACTTGAGAGAAATAAATTATATTATAATTTCTTAAATTAAAAAAAATATATATTTTATTATATATATATTTATAAAGTTTCACTTATTTCTTATTCAAGAGAATTGTAAACATTATTATATATACAGGGTATCCAATAATTCGCGGCCCACCTTAAATGGGCAGATAGAGCATGTTAAACTAAATAGAAAAGTCCTATATCATTTTGCGAAATTCGCAATAATTATTGAGTTATTTATTAAAATATCTAAGTGAATAAGCGAGTGATATCACTGGTGTTCTGCTATGGGAGTTATCTAATCGAGAGGTGAACAATATGTAACAGCGCCGAAAAGTAAAATGATACGTTTGATACTTAACGACATATAACAAATAATATTTTAATTAATAACTCAATAATTATTGCAAATTTAGCAAAATGGTATAAGGCTTTTCTATTCAGTTTAACGTGCTCTACCTGTTCACAAAAGATGGTCCGCGAATTATCGGACACTCTGTATGAAATAGACCAGATTTGTAAGAAAAATAAATGTATAATGTTATATAATATCATGCACATAATAATAATATGTACATAAAATAATAAGCATAATATGTAACATATATATAAATTATGCAAAATTTAAGTGATTAAGCGAGAGAATTTGTGACTATAGTATTTTAAATATTTTCAATATTTGTAAAATAAAAAAATCGAGAGAGCTGTTCAAAATAGCTGATATTTTGCAGTTTTTATTTCCAAAATAAATCTCTCTTCAGATTTTGCACTCTGTTATTAACATTTACCTTTGCACGGAGCACTAGGACTCACCTGATGTTACAAAAAGGGCCACCCCGAAAATCAACATCGCTGCTCGCTCGTTGGAAATCATTTTGGAAATTAAAATGCAACTGCTTGAAATCACACAAAAAAATTAGGAATCTACGAAGGATGGAAATGCCGCTCTCGAAAATGATGAAAGATTCGGATGACCGTTTGGAAACTGCCAATACCAAACGGTGTCCAGTCTGATACTGAGGAACCAACACCCTCTTTACCAAGAGCACTTGTCTCTTCCTCTCCCTCCAGTCTTCTGTCTGTGTTTCTCTTGCTCAGTCTGCCAATCGCTATAATATATGTCTCTCCTTTTTGCATTAACGTGTGGTTCCTTTTTATGAGAGATATAATGAGTGCACAAATTTTTATAGTATGTCAGTACATTACGTAAGTATCCTACGCAAGATAATGAGTAGAATTTTAGCATATCTTATAAGTTAATATTTTTTCAATTGGTCTTTTTTAGTGAGAGATATCTATTTGTGACGATTCAAGAATTGTTTTATTTGTTTTTTGTTCTAAATATTCCGCGTAAAATCAAGGAAGCTTTGTTAAAATATAAAAATCCATTCTACATTCGATTTTACATACATATTTTTCTGGACAATTTTTAACTTGATGTTGCAAAATTGTGTCCTGCCGACTGATTAAGAGGGGTCAGGAAAGCATTTAACCCTGTTGAACACTACCGACCTCACTTTGGTATTTGACCTATTCACCTTGGTAATCACTTCTGCGGCGTTCATTCATCCGTCTGATGTACATATGCGTGTGTCACACACAAAGTAAATGTTTATTGTTGTAGAGAAACCCTTCTAGAAATTTTATCACTAGTAACGCCAATTAATCACTTATTTCGAGTACTTAAATTACTATGATATACAATTCAAGTACTCGAAATAAGTGATTAATTGGCGTTACTATGATATAATGATACATTTCTATAAAGGAAGACGAATTCAGAAAGTCTATGTCTCATTCGACGATTAGTGTTCCAATTATAAAACTGTTTAACCTTCAACAAAATATCTCTTCCGGTCAGGTATATTGAATAAATTACTTAAACTTCGAGTAAAGAAAAAAATTTCGTAGGTTTTTAATTTGTGATATTTATAATATTATATGCAGAGTATTAATAATAAATATATATATATATATATATATATATATATATATATATATTATGTACATATAATAATATACGATTTTAAGAGAAAAGAGAGAAAAATAGAATATATATATATATATATTTCTTAAATAAAGAATCTCTTATCATTTCTCTGTGTAACTTTTCTTCTATTGTACCCTGAATTAAAAATATGAAATATTAGTAAAATGAAGATAGGTTGATATACGGGACCATGTAACAGATGGTATTACCTTCAAACATTCAAGCTCTAATAATTAACATAAATTCATGCTCGCGATATCGTATTATATATAAGTTCATATTTTATATTATTTTAAGATAATTATAAAATATGAATATTTCAGGACATTTTATATGTATATATATATATATATATATATATATAAAATGTCCTGAAATATTCATATTTTATAATTATCTTAAAATAATATAAAATATGAACTTATATATAATACGATATCGCGAGCATGAATTTATGTTAATTATTAGAGCTTGAATGTTTGAAGGTAATACCATCTGTTACATGGTCCCGTATATCAACCTATATTCATTTTACTAATATTTCATATTTTTAATTCAGGGTACAATAGAAGAAAAGTTACACAGAGAAATGATAAGAGATTCTTTATTTAAGAAATAAATATATATATTTTTAATTATTTTAATTATTTGATTATTTTAATAATTTTTATATATTTTTTTACCTACATCACGTTTCTCGTAAACATAATTCGTTGACGTGCATATTTAAGCAGCTTACTTTAAAATGATTGTACCATTAAGTTAATTGCATGATTAAGCGCATCCTTATATATCCATATATTATATATAGTGTGTTCCGGTGTAGCCAGTATTATTTGTCCAATTGTCAAAAACTGCTTTTATTTTGCAGGTATGTAAAATTATTTGTTTATATTTTTAAAAGAACATTTGCAAGAGGAAAGTTATGATTGCATCTCAACATAACAAATAATAGTTTTTTCTTAGTTATATATATATTAATAAATTTATATAAAAATATGTAATAAACGCATTCTCCCTACCTCGTTATCTTTTTATATATTTAATCGAGTTTCAAAGATCGCTTCTGTCGCGTTTTCAGAAGCAAGAACAGACATTTCAGAACTTGTAATAATTTCTTATTAATATATGATTACATAAGTATAAAACCTTAAAGTCAATATACGCACAACTCTTACAAAATTTTATTATCTGCACGCATTTTTCACGTTAATATCCACGACGAAATAATTACGACAAATCCGAGGTACCATTTTGACAGCAGATTAAATAATCCTTTACCATTGCAGGCGTTTTTCTTGCAAAAATAACACTCGATATTCGAATGCGGAAAACTGTCTCCGTAATTGCAGTATTTGTTTACTTGGCGTGATAATATGCAGGCTCGTACTGTTACTAAAATATTTCTATCTGCAATATTAAATTACATATTTCGATATTTCAATTTTGCGCCAAACTGCTTTTTATTGCATTCAAAAATAATGTATTATTATTTCAATATATTTTATATATATCAGATTAAAATGTCTACTGCATTAAAAATATATATGCTACAATAATTGATTTTATATAAATATATATGTATTATTTCAATATTTCATATATCAGATTAAAATAAATGTCTATATACGTACACAATACGATACTTTTGAGACAATGATAAGATTCGTTCCGAGGACAGGCAACCAGGTCAAAAGCACCAGGCGTATAAGGATCATTGCAATCTCCTTTATGCCCTTGTCTTAAATCCGTGTTGCATTCATAACACCATAAATGTTCCTCTTTCGAATGACAGGCTGGAACATATATATATTTTTTAATATTTATTAAAATCCTTTTCTTGCATTAATTGCGCGCTATCTTTATTTGAAAAAAATGAGAGAAAAGTAACAAAATAAATAAAACTTTATTTGATGCGATTGACAAATTATAGAGAACGAGTATATACATATATATACATACGTATATATTCAATAGAAAAATTAACGTGCACGCAAAAGCGTAATATATATAATAGCAAGAATGAGGCATAATTCAAATATATATATATATATATATATATGAACGAACAATTCCACGATTCTCTTATTTCCGCTATTTTATAATCTCTATATTATATATACACATATATGCAATAATGAAAATAACACGTACTATAAAATTTATTAACTATATACTTACTCACGTGCAAAAAGCCAGATACTATAATTACGAATGAGAGGAGTTTGATCGCGCTGTACATTTTTCAAAGATCTCTCGTCGACTTATATACATACCAGTTCTCCTCGTGAGATATCTTATCTATGATAATCAAATGGATGGCGAGACGTGATGCGAATATGGTTGACAGCACATAATGAGTGAGAACACATAGATCATTATTATGAATGAAAATTATAATAAATTTTATAATTAATAATTGCATGTTTTTATTTTTATTTTCATTTTTGCAGTTCAAACTTGCAGACCTAAGAATGCGAGGAATTCTTGGAATGATTTCGAATAATTATTAAAATATATACATATAAATATATATAATTAGTATAATTATAGGTAATAGCTCTCAATTGATTATATTTTATTCCTATTATTTTGCCAATTCTTCAAATTCAAATTTCTGCGATTTAAAAATAAATCGATAATATAGATTCGTTTGAATCACGTGATTTATCAATTGTTGGTATGTATTTTTACGTCATTCACACGCACATGTATATAATTTCACGAACGGGAAACTCCGCGTGGAAACCGTTCTCACGTTGCTTTTCGAGAAATATTATCGAAATAATATTTCATAGCAAAGTTATAGAATATTACTCTCTAGGAAAATAATATAGTCCTAAAGTGTCGAAAATATACAACTGTTTACATGGATACGTTACAGTTAAGAAATGTACTTAAGTTTAATTATGAATCAATCAGATATAACCATAATACACTGTTCTCGTATAATACAATTATTTTATTATAATATCAAAAAATAGCGACATCAATTTTCAGTAAATCTGTTTTCAGTAGTTGAAAGACTTTCTTGTCCTCTACAATCAAATATCCGAGACGTGTTTCAAAAAATGTGCAAATACTTTCCTCAGTCGAGAAATCACCTCTGATGAAGTAAGTATTTTTACAATTGTTAATGATATTATATTACATTACTGGAGATAAATATATATTTAATATTTATCCCTGAAATTGCAGGATCTTTGCATAAATAATTGTGCGCAGAAATACATTCACGCAAATCATAAAATAATGGAGATATTTGTGGAGGTACAGCCTATAATGGTACGTAGAAGAATGGAAGAAGTAAACTCGACTCAAGCAGCATTAGAAGCACAAAATCAGCAAGTGGAACAAAATCCACAATGATGCTGGTATCAATTATTTGTGATATATTTAACAGTCTTCAAGTATGTTTCAGTTAGCTTCATAATAGATTATAAAGTTTTATCGAGTACATATAAATATATGTATAAAGTAATATTTTAAAACATTTTACATATGTATATATAAACAAATTCAGGAGAAACTACATTCTATGTATATGTATTTCCTCCTGTATACCTTATTCATTTGTATATAGTTATTTAAACAAGAAATTCTTCATATGTGATCACTCTGCCCACAAGTTTCTCTTTTGTCAATTATTGTATAAGTTAATCTACTTGATAGATTCATATATATAATAGGTGTTGATTAATCTTGCCTTGAATATTTTTATAATATAAATACATTTTATAAGAGATATAAAAGAAGAAAGCAAGTATAAGCATTCATTTATTGTTAAGAGATTTGTATACACATAATATACACACACGATAACATCATAGTTAGGAACATAATTTTTCAGCTATTATATATTTTATAAATAATAAATTATTTAAGAATTATATATACTTAATTTACTAAAAATTAACAATTTTGTTATTTAGCGATAATTAAAAAAAGATCAGATCTTAGCAGATAAAGCATTTATCTAATTTTAATTATATCCTGGAATGCATCTTTGCTGTGTAACAAAATGTTATAAACTAGAAGAGAGAAGGTATTACAGGTTTTAAGTCTTCACATAATACATAAAGAATATATACAGATATGAATATAGCAGTTGTACACACTGAAGGCCAGAGTTATGAATATATATATATATTTCATATATATATATATATATATATATATATATATATATGCCATATTATCGCGCTATCATTCTCTGGATAACAGATGCAAGCGTGAAATGTATAAGAAACCTGCAGATTCTCCAAGACTGTTGACATCTTATACACCTTTACTTTTCGTATACATTCACCATACACACATGTGAAATTTACTAAATATCATGTACACATTGGAAGAGTCATCTTCGCAATCTCGTAGCATATATAACACCTTTTTAATATTATATCACTCTATTAGCTAATTTTTTTTATTTGTTCATTAACTGCAGCTAGTTGCAATGGTAATCACTATCATGACAAGTAATAAATGATCATTGTTAGAAAAGTGCCATCACTTTTTGCTACAAAATATTTCAAGTTTCCAAGTTTGGAAACTACAAATTGTTTGTATATATGTATGTGTGTGTGATGTATGTATGTAGCATTGCACATTATGTGTCCACTATAAAATACAAGCGCAAGCATAATTAAATTTATTTTAATACAAAATTATAGTTTACTTTTTATAAATAATTTTTAGAGACTTAAGTAAGAAAATGACTAGCTCTCTTTTGCATATTTTGCTTAAAAAAAGTTGAATTTTGAAAATAATATAAATTTTTTATAGAAATTTTATATGGAAATTTTTCAAAAGAAATTCAATTTTCTTCCAAAATCATATATACTATTATAAATGCATTGTTATTATATTTATATCTTTGTGGTACTTGTCATAATTTATTTATAAGAAAACCAGAAAGATTTATTTTTATTTTACATAAATGATAACTTTACCAAAATTTTTTATTTAATAAAAAGTAATTAATATACATTTCTGATCATAATAAAATCCTCACTATTCATTCAGAGAAAAGATTAGAAATATTTATTATATAAACATTTGTAATTTAGAATTACATGCATTATAAGTTTTAAAAACTTGAAGAATAAATTAGATATGTAATTTTTTAGAAAATAACTTTATCAAATCAGTTAATATATGTATATTATTCATATCTGTAATTTATTTTATTATATATATATATAAGTCACAGATATAATACTTCTGGTTTTTGATAATATAACCAAAGTATAATAATTATATAGTAAATGTGATGCCACAAAAAGTATTTTGATATTAAAATTACATGTTTCATGCAATTAATGCAAGCTCCTTATATTCTACTGAAATTTTCAGTTCACATCCAATCATTTTCTTGCTTCAACAAATTAATAACTTATAATAATTTAAGTAATTATATTATTATGCATATAAAATAAGTGTAAGTTCAACAGTATTATCGCCTTAAAGCTGAAACTTTTATGAAATAATACATGATTTGTATAGTTTAAAGATTTGTCTTTTAAGATAGTGGACATATTATTAAACTACATGCGTGTGTAAAATATGATATAAACAAGCAATTAATATCACTAATATACTGTAAAATAGAAGGCTCCATTTATCATATTACGTCACGTTACGTATTTACATTGAGGGGAAATTTACATTTCCTTTATAAGAGAAATATAAAAATTAAATCTATTGCCTCTTTAAATGTTTAAGCGTCAGAACTTAATTGTCGAGACATTGTTGGACAAGTTTTGAAATTCTTCTACAATTTGCAATTTTCTTAAAAGAATTATTACTTTTATGATACATGATGTGTATGCCAAAAAGGTATTATATATATTGTAGTATATAATAATCAATATGTAATGATCAAAATATTACACAGTAACTTTTGGGGATTCAGTCTGTTTATACACACCATAAATCTCGCAATTTTTTTCACTCTACATTATTTAAATTATCAGACTAAACGGCAGCTTTCAATACGTACCAGCGAATTGTCGAGTGGTTTTTGATAACTGTTCTACCTTTACTTTCTGTGTTTCGCAACAGGGTACCTCGATGGACGAACGCACTTGTACAGTCACATCCTTCGCGGCAGGATGAGGGGTGTTCATTCTAATTCAACTACTGTTCCAACCATGAGGGTAAGGTGGAATTTGGTGATTTCACCTTGATGTTGAATTGTTTAAGAGTTGCCTCCAATGCGGTTTGATTCCCCGAAAAGTATGCAGATATAGCATTATGGAATAACAGCAATTGTTTGTGCATCACTTTAATCTGAAATAATATTTTATTATTAAAATATTAGAATCAATTAATTTATAAAAGAGATTTAAAAGAATTAAGAGAACGTACCCGGTTTTCGTCTAAAAACTTCAATTTGATAGAAACATCTGAACGTAATTTTTCGAAATTCTGTTTGTGCCCTTCATAATTAGCCTGTGCTTCTTCTAATCTTGCTGCATTACTACCATCTGATTTTGTAGCTTGCACAAGAGCCTCTAGATCTGTTCTATATGCATCATATTCTATCCTATATAATTAACATGTTATAATAATATAGCAGAAAACCAGGATAAAATATTAAAAATATACATATATAATAAAATTTGCATACCTTGCAGTTTCGTATTGTCTCACTGTAAGCAGTGTATCCTCGATCGTTTTATTACACAAGGTATTCACAGAGGAAACGAAGAAATTTAAGGCCCCTAGAAGTGTTTCGCCATTTTTTGTTAAATTTCTTTGCGTTTCCGAATTATATAGAAACTCTTCTTGAAGTTCAGGCGATTTTTGTGCTAATTCAGAAAACGCCTCTCCGAGGGCGTGTTGCGTCTGAACAACGTGATGAAAGTGTGATGCCAAAGCTCGTGATAATCGCAGAACATTGCAATATTTTCTCTGAGTATCTCTGAGCAATTCAATCTGCGTCTCAAGTTCTAGAATATAAAAATAGACGTGTTTATATTTTGCAAATAGCACTAAAAATAATCTATTGAAATTGCTTTCTTAATGACAGACTCACCAAAATCTACAGTACGGGACGTTTTCCCTAATCTTTCGTACATTAACTGTTTGGTGCATTTGTATGTGGAGATACTCCAATTCTTTAAACTCTCAATTTTGCTTTGGGTAGTGCGCATAGTTTGCGTATCACCATTTTGAACAGGTGTACTAGGGGAAACTGCAACCGCTGGAAAAATACAGACATCTTTTTGCTCCGATTTTAAAATCTCTGAAATCTTCATTCACTGATAAACATGCAAGAAAGCACTTAATGTATGTACAAGTCTGATTTGTAGGACTTCCTAAACTCAAGTTTATAGTGGCTGGCCTCGGGTGACCATCGCTGCTACAATTGTTTGGTACATGAGGTGGAGGAGTCCCAGTATGTACAGCGCTGTCGCTCTCATTCAAGGAAGGCGCATCCTTTAACATTTCATGTATGCTGCGTTCCATCCCACTTGATGTAACCGTAATTTGGGACATTCCTGTAATAAGATACACTACTGATTTCATGTACTCTTCTTAAGAAGATAACTTTTCTTTCGAAATATAAGTTTTTAAAGACAATTAGATGTGTACATGATTATTCATTCTTTTAATTGTAAGACACATTTGTATAATATATTCTGTTAAATTGGAAATGTATTAAACACTTTTTAGAAAGCGTAAAAAATTGTTGGCTGAAAATGTCGTATACTTTTCCGCAAAGAACTAATACTTTTGGCACACTCCGCGTATAAGAGATACTTACAATTAACAATTGGACGGAGAATGTAATAGATATATAATTAACACTCGCGACATTCGATCGTCACCGTAGATGCACTGTACGTGAAGATGTAGAAACTATTATTATTCGTGCGGAACAATTAGCGAGCAACCGAGATCACCATAAAACGACGTCTCTTTCGCACACATAAATCTTCCACTTGTCATATCATAATAGAAAATTCACGCCGCGGAGCCATGTAAAAAAAGAGCTTCGAAGAGAAACGTCACTGAACGCTTGTTTTTCAAAACGATGAACCAGATTTGCGTCGCGAAAAAAACACCTTCTCCACAAATTATTATACTTACTACGCTAAAAGATCGACGTCCGTGTGTTGCCTTCTACCGTGCTGTTACATATGTAATATGTAAATCGAAACACTTGACGGTTGCGATTTTTATCTTTACGACGTTTCATGAAAAGAGAGCGATGTATGTGTCAAACTAGGTGGCGCTACATGTACCGAACCTACACAAGGTATTTTATATACGTACACGTGCGTATGTATATGTGCACGTACACCTGGCGGTACGTACAATCGATGTCTGTATACTGAAGTGTCATCTTGTCCGTATTATGAACTGTCAGCTAAACGCTCATATAAAATGAATGGTTGTCGATAGGAATTCCTAGAAATTCTCTGACACAAAATGTTATTATTTACATTTAATATTATATTTAGAACAAGAAAGTAAAGATGAAAGAAAAACTTGACTACAAGAAAAATAAAAATAAAATAAAAAGCCAGAAATAATCACACCACTTGAAAGAAGGAAATTAAAAAAACCTTTACAATGACGACTGCGATAATTTTCAAGAGAGATAAATGTTTTATTATTTTGACAATATACAAATTCGTACTTTTCAGTTATCCCTTGTTTCAGGTTCTTCGTCATATGCTGCCATAACTTTCTCCATAATTTCCCATAGCTTATCCCTTGCTAAGTCTTTAGAGAAAACCTGTTGTATGAAACAATTCACACAAATCAGTAACTATCGCAGATGTAAATTAATAGGACACTACACAACAAATACTTACATTGAACCATGGTTGTTGATCACACTCGTCCATCAAAGGTACAACTACTCCATAAATTTGTAATGACAAATTAATACAAGCTATAGCTATTAAACTCGGTGGATAATCGAGAATAGCTGGAGAATGATGAAAGTCTTGTAGCAATGCCATACTAGTTTTGGCAACTGGATACTTGGACCATTCCTCTTCACCAAACCAGGCTTGTAGAGTCCTCAGATAGTGAAGCATGTACTGTAATGATAAAATTACATGATAAACTGTTTATATATCACATATATTTAATATTATGCAATTGATAATGCTTGTACTTTGTGTGGATGTACAGGTATAACTTGAAATTTAAGCATTCTCATGATTAAAAGTTCAGCTTGAACAATCGCATCTCTCATACTCCAATATTGATCTCCAAGATCTAATGGCTGAGATCCTCTATGAAGCGTGTTGTAAGATACATTCATTATGTCTCTTATCTTTAATGTATCGTCCTTCATTTTTCCAGCCAGATAAAGACAAGTAGAAGCTATTAACTAAGAAACAGAGTTATCACATTTATTAAACACTTATTAATATCATTTATATTATAATCATTATTCTTACATAATTATCATATCCTTGCAGTGTTGCTTCTTTTATGAATCTATGATATAACGTTGCAGCAGTAGCTATTGTCAACGAGTGAGTTTCTAATTTCAAACCTATAAAGAAATTTTGTATCATCCTTTAATTCATAAATATCACAATAAAGTCTATAAGATAGCAAAGTTACAACATACCACACTCAAAGATAAATCGTGAAACTGTAAAACTGTCGTTGGATTTGGAATAATCAATTGTAATACTTTTTTGCAATGTATTCCTCTTTTCGCGTTGCATTGCGAGAACGTCGATTACATCCTTCATCTTAGAACTGAAAAAAAAAGGATATGTAACTAACGATGTCGTTTATGACATGCAAACTTTCTGTGAAATTAGTAACAGATCAATGTTAATATCATAAACAAAAAAGCGCGTAATATTTTGATCTGTCAAGTATAAACCGGCATATAACCTTGTCTCAGAATCGTCCAATGTGAACTCATTGTACCTGAGAGTTTCGGTACTGCTCGGCTCTGAAGGATTCATCTCAAAATCACACTTCAAACAAAACTTATTTATAAATTGTAATATAAATTATGTATAAAAATGTATCTTTCTTTAACGAAATATCTCGAGCATCACTCGCGCTATTATAAACATAGGCGTCTCTAGAAGGGAGGCAAAAGGATACATTTGATTTGTCCTCCCCTCCTTGGAATCAGTAAAAAAATTAAGCATTTGCTCTCCTTTTGAATAAACACTAAAATTTATTTGCATATTTAATATAAAACAATCAAAATAAAACAAAATAACAAAAAAAAAAAATTTTTTTAAATTATTAATTGCAAGACTTATAAAGTTATTAAAATTAATTAAAATTAATTAAATAAAGTTTACTAAAATTAATTTATTAAAATTAATTATAAAAATTAAAAAAAATTAAATTATCAATATATATACAACTGGCTACGTTCCACTTGGCAATCTGGACACTAGAAGTGTCATCTAATTGGAAACTCGCACAGAGAAATCGACCAATCAGATACGATTCTCTTTCTCTCTTTCTCCTCTTCTTCCGCGCATGCGCGCGATTGACAGCTGGTTCCCCTAGCTCGCTCGTCTCAGGTGAATTTATTTTCACGAAGTTGATCACCCTGTCATCCCCTCCATGGTACCTCGGAGGAAGTGGGAATGCAATATAAGCGGACACTGGCTTCTCGAGTTTTGCGGCACTTTGCACGAGGTACGGGTCTACGCGTTTTTCGCAGTCCATTTTCTAGGTTATGTCACGCTGAGTCCACAGGCGATAAATTATCGCGAATTCGATTCTCAGTGTTGACCGAAGGACGCGCAATAAAATCGGCGCACATAAGGATCCGGACGATCCCGAATACGGTATTTATCCTCCCCGATTAATTAATTACGCGTAATTTGCACGTTCTCATATATTTCTTCTCTCCTTCCACGTAACTGCGCAGCGGGTGCCGCTTATCTGTAATAAACAACCATCCAGTCCGAGGGGGTCAATTTGGAGACGTCGCTGATCTCGCCTTTGTTCTCGCCGGACGTGATAAAACGCGAGACGATCCGCTCCGGAACTCGGAGGAAAAACTAAGAGAGAGAGAAAGAAAGACGCTATTATACGAAATGTCGGCCTCTCCCATCGCTAGACAGGCTACCCAGAGCCAGAGCATTCCGTCTAAGAGGATCGTCATCCACGATCCTAATCAACTGCCCACGGATTATTCGTCCACTCCCGGAGGAACCCTTTATTCCACGACACCGGGAGGTCAGTGCATTTATTCATTTTTTTTTTTTATTTTTTTCAACTCCGCCTCTGTGAAATTATCATTGAAACCGTAGACTTGGACTTCTGTAGAAGGAGACAAAGGGAGAACCCCCTTATCTCGATTTTTTTTTATTCTATCTAATAGTCAACATAGCTTGACAAAGTATTTTGTCGCATGCTAAGATGAGCATCGAATCGCGTTCGATTCGAATAAGTTCGAGAATTCGAGAAATTTCTTGAATACGAGAAAATTCCTTGACACAGTATATATTTTGAATTTTCAAGAGGGACGACAAATTACAACAAACAATTTTTTATTATTTTCATCTCCGAATTTAATTTAAATATTTGACAAAGAAATGACAAATACGAGATGAAGCCTAATGAACATCTGTCGCGATGTGTCAATCGGCAGATAAAATCAATATTGGCAAAAGCGAGAATTTCTCTCGCCTTTCTTAGAATCGCACACACATGAAGCCTAAAAAAAAACCGAAAGAAAGATAAACCTACTGCGACGTTTCGCGCAGTATCGGAAGACGGGAAGACGTCGAGACGACTTTTGAAGATATCGATATTTCGTTTAGCGAATCGGTACGACCTCGATAAACAAATACTTACAACACGTGCAAGCGTCAAGGCCATTCATATTTACGCGTGTTGTCAGCCGGCGCGACGCGGGATTATCTCTTTCTCCCGTACGCACACACTCTCGATTTGATAACGAGCATACATTACATAATTGCACGTTTCGGGATTTGTTCGATATTTTGTCTGCATGGAAAATTTTTCGAAATATTTGCGTCTTTAAAAATTTATATATGTAGATATATAGATAAAAATAGATAAAGTTGATCCGTGATAACGTTATATATAAATAGCAAAGTTTTATACTAGTAGATAAATTTCATATTTCTTTGAGAGCAGAAGGCAAACCGGAACGTGAATACATTCGTCTCTCTCTCTGTTAGGAAAGAGAAATAAAATGATAAAAAAATCCACGCTCTTTCCGACAGATTTCGAGTCTTTTTCTTCTGGAATTTTATTCATTATAAATAAAAATACTCCGTCCATAAGCCAGGTCATGTGTGGATATATTAGACATCTCGCATGCCTTGCAACAACGTTTCTGGGCCTAAACGACCAAGGCCGAATTAATGTGCGCGACCGAACATCATCCGATGCGTAATCGGTGACGCGTAATATTTATCACCGCGCGACGCCGGCGCGGCGCGACGAGCTAAAAGTCACGGTGCTTTGAAAAACAAGTGTACAACGCTGCTAGACCTTCGCGATAACTTTAGCTTAAACGCGCGGCATGTGGTATTCTCCGCGCCTGATGAGCATACGTGTAAATAAATTTCGCGCAACATCTATCATCATACATGTAAACAATAATAATTCTTATACAATCGTCTACTTTGGAACTGAGCTCGCATTCTTATCGAATAACCGCAAAATTGCATAAGTTCTTAATTATTTTTTTAAATTAATTTTGCGCCATTATTATCCTAGAAACTCTGTCTAATAGAAATTGTCTTATTGTTTCTGAGCTTTAGCAATCGTATATATTGCTCGGTTGTTTCTTATATATACATATGATTTTCTTTTTTTTATATATGAATTTTAAAAATTTCTGTCTTTAAACAATTTTGCGCAAAATATTTTATTAGAATTTTATTTTTGAGAAACTACAAGCACGTGTGTTTCAACTGGCATTAGAAACAGAAATTATTTGAATAAAAATAAGTCATCGATTATAAAAGATCTATATATCTTATACCATACTTAATTATTCCTTTTTTTTATATAGTATAAATTTAAAAAAATTCTGTCTTTAAAAAATGTTGCAAAATATTTTAGTGGTTTTATTTTTAAGAAATTGCAAGCATTTCGACTCGTATTAGAAAAGAAATTATTTAAATAAAACTAAATCATTGATTATAAAAGACCTAATACTTTATACTAAAAAGATACACGGCCTATACAAAGAAATTATCTCAATAAACATAACAGGCGATTGACTTTGTTTCACGACTATATCTTCATACTTTCTGCGATTATGTTTATCTTGGCAATCTTGTCGATCCTTGCACTCCTTTCAAGTTAGGTAGGTGTTAGTACAGAAATACATTTGTATTAATAGACCCTGTATGCGGCGCTTTCCGTATGACTGTCGGGCCATTGTATTATTCCTGTGTCATTATTTTTCTGCATCAAGTATTCTTAAAAATCGCTTTATTTTTCTATTTGATTCGCCACTTTTGTTTTCTGAAAATAAAATTACTCTGAAGCATTAAGAGTATTAGGGGAACTCCTTTGTTCTGTCAAATCCTAATCATATCATATGACAAACTATACAATAAGGATGTGATAAATTGACTTTATCTTTAATAATTGATGGGTTGCAATTTTATCAGATAATTCTTATCATGAATATATTATGATTTCGAGTAACAAATATAAATATGAAATTGTGTTATATATTGTTATAACTTGCATAATTGTGTTATATATTTCTAATTTATACATATTTTACTTCTAATAAAATTATTTTTACGGATATTTCCATATAATGAAAAATTAATCATTAAATTTACCTGAGAAAATAGCTTTATCACAAGTTCTTGTAAAATCCTCCTTGTTATAAAACCGAAAGATCTTATAAAAATCAAATATAACTATGATTTCTCATCACAGGTACTCGCATTGTGTATGAACGCGCGTTTTTGATGAACTTGCGAAACTCTCCGGTATCACGAACACCACCGCGAAACACGTTGAGTATACCGTCAGAATTGCTAAAAGGCAGCACACCAGCTATCACGAGGGATCCTGCCAAAAATTCCGATAAAGGTAAAGTGCTTAAATTTACGATTCTATTTTTGCGCAATTTTTGAAATTTTTAATTTAAAAAAGACGATTAAATACGAGAAAAGATTAAGTAATTTTATTTTCAAATAAATGACGATTTTATACATATAGAAAGCTATTTATTAATAGCCATTTATTTGAAAATAAAATTATATTCACATGTATTTTAATTTGTCTTGTTAGGGACTTTCAATTAATCTCCATTAAAGCTAAATACTAATTTTTTCTTAAAATTATGGTTTATTTTATATTAATAATTAAACTTCAGATTATATACAAATTGCATATTTGTTGTATTAATAACATGAACAAATTGTTTTCGACTAATTAATGTTAATTAATTGAAAATATTATAATTGCATATTCCCGTAGAATATGCAAAAAGTAACAAATATGCAATTTGCATATAATCCGATGTTTATTAATTTTATATGTAATAAAGATTTTTTTCTTACATTTATATAATATTACAGATGTTTTAGTGATCGAGGAATCTGCAGAACAGTTTGAAATGGATATGTAATAAATATAATCTGCCAATTTTGTTTACTACAACGATTTAAAATTTATTTGTACTTGAGAGTCAATTTACTCGGATGACAAGTGCAAGAGTACGGCTAACGTGCTTTAACACTGTGCCTTTTGCCAATGGCCTTACTAAGAATTGACATTTTTTAAATAAGATGTTTGACAAATGCAGCAAATGCCTTATATATATGTATTTCATTCTCGATACTAATTCTTGTCCAATATAATACATAATTACGCATAAAAAATTCGATCGTGAATCTAGAGATGCTAATTGTACATAACGCGAATTGTACATGAACATTTCAGATTGTTTAACGATCGTTAAGTCTTCCTTTTAGAAATGCTGATGGGATGTTCTGTAATCTATTTCTTAAGAACTTGTATCTGTGAATAAATGACAAATTTTATACAGAGATACACAGATTTATTATTTTTTATACATTATCAAAATATCTTTAACATAATTATGTAAAATATAAAAATTAATAAAAGATAAAATTATAATTAAATTTTTATATTTTTAAATTATATCGAAAAAAATTGTCATATATGTTCCTGCATTAATCTTAAACTCTTTTATAATCTTAGTTTATAAAGGAAAATTATTACATAAATATATCTCTTAAATCTTTGCAATTACAATATATTTCATTAATGTTGCAAAAATATAAAAAGCAAGATTAATATTTGTCAAAATAGTAAAAATTAATTAACATAAGTTTTAAATTATGTAACTTTATTCAACATTGTCATATATACTTGCAACAAATTTGGTCACTTTGACACTACACTAAAAAGGGTTATATATAAAAAGTCAGTTCTCTGCTCAGACAATATAATATAATCTCTGGCTCAAATGTAGCATAAAAGTGATCACAAATAAGTTATTAATTATATCTTCTATATATATTTATATATATATATATAACAATCTTAGAAAATTTATTTTAAAAATTACAAAAACATGCTCAACTTTTAAAACTTATGTGGACTTTGTTATTTCAGATATTCTTTCTAAGATTACCTTTGCAACATTAACTCTAGTTCCTTTCGCATCGTAATCATTGTAATAAATTAATTCACACAAATTTCTTGTATTTGGCTCACTTTCCAAAATTTCTTGTAGTTTCTGATAAAACTTCATAGTAATCTCATTTATGTATTGTTTGTATACAGTGGATTCTGGATGATTGTGCTTTTGTACTTCATAAAATGTTAGCAACGGTGTCGCACCTTCCACCACCACATATATCGGATTAGCATTCGAGTTTTTTCCATTCGAATATATCTTGTAGGCACTATTGTGGTACTTTCTTTTTATCGTACCGGCTCGATCACGGTTTTCCTCTTCCAATTCACGCACACTCTCCATCCATTGATCCGATGCCTCCTTTAAATTTGGTGGAATATACCCAGATGATGGTATCAAGATGAACAATTTGTGCACCGGGAAAGTCACATTGTGCATGTCCTCGAAATTTTCAATCCTGTCAATAATGCTCTTGCTGTCAGTGGTGCCTTCATTCGGTAGGACCAATCGCAAATAACCATAATAGAAGCTGTATGCCATACCCGTACCATAATCCAGACCCTTCATAGCATCAAGATCCAGCTGTGGACTCTTCTCCCACTGGGCCAGATTCGTTATCCTCAGCAAGTAGAAGGAAAATATTATGGATGGGATGCTGACGCAGGGACTAAAGTCCCATACGTGATTCAACGGATATCCTGGAACGATGATCGTCGATACAATGAGAAAAAATAGCACGCTGATAACGATTACTATTGTAGACGCGGTGTTCAGGGCGAAGTTATGACTTACTCCTTGTCCGGACTGCGAATTCGCACTTGTCAACGAAACTATCGTTCGAAACAGACGCAGTATTACATCGCAAAATACAAATATTACGAGAAATATCGATATAGTGTAACACGTCGTGATCAACGACGAAATCGCACCGTCTTTCTTCTCTTTGTAAATCACGGGGATGGCGAAGACGGTGACAAGGATAATACTGTGCAGATAAATCTCCAATTTACAATCAGACGATGAGTAGCTTTCGATTTCCATTTTGACAGATAGCTTTGAATCGCTCGTCGTTTGATAGCTCATGCCGGCTGACGGGTTTTTGAACGAATCTGAGAAAAGGCGCGGACAGGCGCGAAATTGTTTGCGCAAGATAGAACTTCGGGGAATAGATAAGAAACATGTTTGGTTTGCATTTTATCAGATACATAAATTAATATCAACCAATCGTGCGCCTAGAATGTACAATATGGCGTCCTCGATATCGGGCAATTCAATTGGTCCATTTCTTCACGTCCCGTGTGAACACGATGGAAAGAAAAGTATACTTGCCCATCTATGTATTATTTACTTTTTCAGGTTTATCGCGCGAAAATTGAACCCATGATTGTAACGTCAATGCTTTGTATAATGTTTTCCATGTCATTTGTTTTAAATTATTATTTATTTATAAAACATAAAAGAAGTAAGTAATGAAATACTAGATTTGGAATTTTAAATGTTCATGCACATATGACATTTTATAAATTATCTCATTATTTTTGTTTTTTAATCATTTTAAAATAATTTTTTATCTTTTATTAGTTTCGTTCCTTACAAGTCTGACAACAGCTTATTGAAAAATGAAAGAATTAAACTTCTCGAGATATCGACAACAACATCTTTGACAAGTGCCTTGTGAAAAGACAAAAAAAAAAGGAACAAAGCGCGTTCTACGAAAATAAGTTAATTCGCGATATTTAAATTTCAGCGGGACGAAACGGGAAGAAACAAAAAGCGCAACTGTTCTTCCAATTTTTTTTTCGCTTTGTCTTTTAATGGCACACCTGTCGGACCCGAGGACGACCCTCGACGACGTTTCGTAATCGCCCGATTATTCCGTAACGGTTTCCACGCAGCTGCGCGTCTGCCCGACAGATAGTCACGGAAGCGAGGAGGCATCGAGAAACAGCTTCGCTTGGTAACGCGCTCTCTGTCTCATCGGAGAAAGAGACAGACAAACGCGCGCGTGTTGCCAGGTCGGCCAGCGCGCCGTTGTAAACGCGAATGAAACGAGCCGATGGACCGACCGCAGCACGGTCGGGAGACATCTACGATCGATAAAGGCTTCGTGGAGGGACCCCGAAATCGTCGCGAGACAGACAGAGAAAGAGGATAGACGCATCGATAAAGAAAGAGAGAGAGAGAGAAGGGAAGAAAAGTTCGGCCGGCGTCCCTTTGATCTTTGACAGCTCCGCGCCGCTTTTGACAGTTCGGGGCGATTTTTCCCCGACACGACGGTCCTGCGCGCTTTAAATGTAACATATCGGCAGGTGATTTCACGTCGCTGATTAAGCGCGCCATGTCCCGCGATGGACCAATCAGCTGCTTGGTAAACCGCCGCGAGACCTCGAGAATCTGTCCCCCACAGACGAATGACAACAAAAGAGACTGATAGAAGTTCGCGCGCGCGAGAGAGAGAGTGTGTGCCCGTGGGTTTTTTCTCGCACGCGAGTGTGTGTCCCCGCGCGTAAAACGTCGAAGGGGGTGATATCTGTCCGTCGTCGTCGCCGCCGCCGCCGTTCGCGGCCGCTTTTTTTCCGTTTTCCCGTAGCGCGCCGCGAGTAACGTCGCTTCGCACTTGGTGAAGTGAAAGCGCCGAGGAATATGAAGAGGAGAAATGTCGAGTGCGGTAAGCTTCGGAGGCCCTTGAAACGCAACAAGCTCACCGAGGGAATCTACGGAAGGTAAAATTTCTCTCCCTCTCCCCGTCTCTCTCTTTCACTCTTGCCGCCATATGCGTGCAACATCTACGCCGAGAGGAATGGCCATGTTTCTCTTCTCGTAGGAGAGGAGCAAAAAAATAACCAAAAATCTCTCCGCGACGTCGAGAGACACCGAGAGGCCGATCGAGAGCGAACGACGCGTTCGGAGGCCTCGTCTTCGGCACCTTGACATTTACCTCCGGAATACATAAACATCTTCTCCATTCGCGCCTGTTTTTGCTATCAATTCCCTCTCGTCTCTCTCTCTCTCTCTCTCTCTCTTTTCCTACTCTTAAATCCTAGATGTCTATCTCTATCTTACATATACACACGCAGCATTCGTGTGCTGCATGGTATGACTTACAGGCAGCAAATGTCACAATAACAAAATGAAGCAGATGCGACAGTCGATTGACTTTCCAGCAGTTATTCCTTTTCTCTTTTTTTTCTTTTGTTCAGAAAGAGCATGAGCTCTTATCGTGTTATATAAGCCTCCTGTGTTTTTGATAACATCATCTATATGTTTTGTCAGCAGCATTCCGATAGGCCTTTATATACAGTAAATAAAAGCAAGGAGAGATATTTATATGTAAATTCTATAAATGTATAAAGTAATTATTGTATAAACTACTCTGACTCTCTCTCTAATCCAACAAGTAGCGAATCATTTGCCAACCATTTGAATAAAAGATACGATTATGTTTGTTTCAGTACCTTGCTTTATCTAAAGTTTCTTCTACTATGGGCCATGGTGATTTTGGCAGACTTCATTTTGGAATTCCGTTTTGAATTCTTGTGGCCATTCTGGCTACTCCTCCGAAGCGTTTACGATTCCTTTAAATATCAAGGCTTGGTAGGTAATAATGTTATACAATCATGGGCATCTGCAGGATTTTTTCCAGGAAGGGGCATATTAGATTAAAAAAATTTTTGTTTTTAATTCTTTTAAATGTTTTTGTTTTTTTATTTTTATTCTTTTATATTACATATGCAAATAAATTTTAATATTAAAAAGAGAGCAAAAATGCTTAATTCTTTTATTAATTCCAAGGGGGGGGGGCAAATGCTCCTTTTTCCCTCTGCAGACGCTCATGTATACAATGATAAACAATCATATAGCACTATATGAATCATGTTTTTTTTCTTTTTTTGTTTCAGGCCTTTTCTGTATTTTTTATTTGTATTGCACTTACGTCAGACATGATTTGCTTTTTTTTCATCCCTGTGCATTGGCTGTTTTTTGCTGCCAGCACTTACGTTTGGGTGCAATATGTTTGGCACACAGGTATGTAAAAAATGAGATAAGATGAATATGAGATGACTTTTGTTGCATCTGAATAGAATAGATATTGTGTGAATTATAATGAATGTAAAAATATAATTAAAAATCTTGATATTGTTTAGATAAAGGTGTGTGTCTACCGACTGTGATGCTGTGGCTACTATTTCTATATATAGAGGCAGCAGTGCGGTTACGTGACTTACGTCATATGCCGTTTCATCTAGACCTCTGTCGGCCGTTTGCAGCACATTGGTATTGTTTCCTTTTATTTTTGCGAAAATGTATAATTAAAGCTTAATGCTTTGTTAATGCATGTTACTCTTTACATACATCTATTAAAATGATTCATTGACAATCCACATTTGTATCGAATACATTTTTATATATAATGCATATTTTCAGCATTGGCTATCCTGTAGTTACATTGGGCTTTGGTTTTAAGAGCTATGTAGGCTACAGAATGAGGCAGGTTAGTATTTAACAAATTTACATTGTGATTTATTACACTTATACAAAAGTATAGAAATAACTTTGAAATGTATTATTGCATGATATATGATAAATGCAATTATATTAATTTATACATCTTGATTTCTTTTTGTGTCACAGAGAAAACAGAAAGATGTAGCAAAGGAGAACGAGTTCTATCTGCAATTACTGCAGCAAGCACTGCCTCTAGAGCAACAAGCTATGTCGATGCAACAGATCCAACCACAAGTGCAGTCACAGACGCAACACGTCACTGCATCGTTGGAACAACACATTAAAACTCAAACACACAAATTAAGTCCACAGTATAATCCAAGCCCTGAAAAAAGCAGAGGTAGCTTGTATTTATTATCAATAAATATTTTCATGTTTATACATATCTTTTTCTCTTTGTATAAACATATTTTATTAAGCAATTAAGCACACTTTAAATGTGGCTATATTTATTTTTTCAGAGGGCAGTAACAGTTCTATAGAAACAAACGTACAAAATGGTGGAGTACACAATAGTAGCCAAATCACATCACAATCACAGAGTGCTACTACCAAAGGTACTCATAGAAAATCTTTAGACAAGAGTGAAAAACAGCAGGAAGAGCAGCATAATAAACATAATGTATCAAATAATTCACCATCGGACAAAAATGATAAGAGATTTATACACAGTAATGGAAATACAGTACCCCACAGTGACATACAACTTATCGAGAGGGTGGGGTATGTTCAATTTTTTTATATCAGAGTATATTTATCTTTTTAATTTCACTTTAATTCCGTACTATAGATTCTTACTAACAATCTTTTAAAACAGATCTGTAAATGATTTTGACATAAATGAAGTAGAAAAAGATAAGTCTATCAAGGGTTGCGGACACACTACGATAAAATCGCAATCAAACGGTTCGGTAACAGGAAAATGGAATAATGTGAAGGAAAGTCGAGATGCATCGTCGACTACCAATGTTCAACGCGAACGTAAAGCTCGACAGGTCAAAAATACAGGTGAAATCACGGCAGAGCAACAAAAACAACAAGAGGATTATTATCAAAGGTATATTATAAAAAAAAGGAAAATCTCTTGTAGATATAATTACTATAACATACTACAGAAATTATTCTGTTAATAATCCTACATGTTTTCACAAAGGCACAGATCGAAACTCTAATGACAAATCTGGTATTCTTTGTATCTCTCTGTACTTAGATATCGAATCTTGTATCACTTTGTATATCGCCAGTGTAGATTTGTCATCAATTTTTTTAGCATAATTTGTCATTGAAATAGGTTACTGGTGTGTCGCAGGCTCGAGGCGGATATAAAACGCTTGAAATCAGACTTGCAGTCAAGTCGACAGTTGGAGCAAGAATTACGATCGCAAATCAATACCTTGCTTAATGGAGAGCGACAGGCTAAGGGCGACATTCAACAACTCCAACATGACAATGATCAACTACAAAGCAAGTAAGTGTATTTAACTATTGCGAGAATTAGTTTTGTAATTTATATGTAAAGAATTTATCTAATTAATATCTTTATACATTTTGTTTTAAATTTTGAGATAGTATATGTGTACTATAAAGTACTTATAAATTTACTGACAATTTTTCTTTTTCACAGACACATTTTTATTGATTATTTCATTAAATATTGATTAAAATACATGGTATATACACAGGGAAAATGTTTTGTGTATATACATATACACATATTCAAATATCTACAAATCTATACAAATTACTAAAATCTATTAAAATTTTTTCCTCAAACAATTAAATATTTTCATTATTTATTATATATATTCAAATTTCCAATTTATTATATAATTACTCATGTTTATCTTATGGTTGTTACAATTTGTTACTGAATATTAATAATTGCCTTTCTATATCCATGTTAGTATCCAGACAAAGATTACCATTTGGTAAATATGCAGAAAATTAATTTCTTTAATCAAGCCGCGTTTTCAATTAAAAATATGAAGACTACATAAAAGGTATATAAAACTGTAGTTTTAACTGTATATTTTACGATGGTTTAATAATTGATCTTAAATAATAATGATTAAATTTGTTTTGCAACACGCACATACATCATAAATCTTCAAATATATGTCATATGAGGGAGTTATTTCTTTATGCAACAACTCTTATATCCAGTCTGAGTAATAATATACACGATACTTATTTTATATGGTCAAATATATATGTAAAACTAAATGTTGTAATTTTAATTTGAATTAAAAAAGATATGTACATGTTCTTATTTGGATTTGCGAGTAAAATTAAACAAATTCTAAATAAATTTCCACATTCTAGATTGCATGGTCTAGTGACGGCGCGTCAACTGGACAAGCAAACGATGTCGTCGTTGGAGAAGCGAATTGCAGACGAGAGGAAACAACGCACCGCATGCGAAGCGTCCTTGGTCTCCGAACGGAGGGCACGACGGGCTGCCGAGGAGGCACGTTCTGCAGTTCCACCGCCACCGCCTCCGCTTATCAGGCAAGAATGTACTGACGCGTGCAAAAGTCGAAGATCACAAATGGAACAGGATCTTAAAAATTTACGCCGTGAACTCAAATCGAAGGAAGACAGGTAAGAGTAAACACTGTAGATCTCAATCATATACAGGGTATCTGACATAAGATGTCACGCCAAAAATATACAAGATCTTGTTATTTGGAAACAATTTTTTCTCAGCAAAAATACTGAGGCATCAATAATTTTCGAGTTATAAGCGATTGAAAATAAAGGGGTTTTTTTACAAACTAAGCCTCGTGGAAATAAAATATTAACAGAACCATATTCTTCAATTAATTTCAAGTAGAGTTTATTGTAATAAAATTTTAATTTAAGTTTTAAAGATGCATGATGGCAAAAATTGGGAATATCCAAAAAATGATGGCCTCGCTCGACATTTTTGCTGAAGAAAAATTGTCTCCGAATAACGAGATCTACTTGTATATTTTCGGTGTGACACTTTATGACACCCTGTATATGTGCATAATAAGAGTTATATTAGATAATGTTAATCTTGAAATTAACAATGGACATTAACACATATTCTGTGCGTCGTACATTGACGCATCAGGTGTAACGTATTGGAAAAAGATACAGCGCGTTGCAAAGAGAACCACAGAGAGTCTGAAATTTTACTCGCTGCACTCAACGCGCTACAGGACAAAAACGCGCATTTGGAAAACAGCTTGAGCGCAGAGACACGTATAAAGCTTGATCTTTTTTCGGCACTCGGTGAAGCTAAGCGGCAATTAGAAATCCGCGAAAGTAAGTAATAATAGTTTTATTCTCATTTTATCTCGTGTGTGTACATACAAAATGCAACTTTTTAAACATTTTCTCCGATTGAAAAACGGAATTATATAATTTATTATGAAGAAAAATATGCTGCACAATATTATATTGCAAATTGTTATTGATGCCAATATATCTCATACTATTCTTCATTAAATCAGGCTTAATCAGATCTCACGAGAAAGAAATCGAGATGTTGAAAACAAAAATAGCGCAAGATTTAGCTGTGATGCCACAAGACACATTTGGTCCAGCGCCAACCTGTGCGACGTCCAAGCTACGTTTAAATAGTGAAGTGAGAGTAGCAGGAACAAAAATACGTTCAAACGAAAGTCCCTGTCCGGGGTGTACTGTGTCGAATTTGGATCCGAATGCGACAGCGTACACGCCTAAAAGCTCCCTCGTAGCGTCGACCGAAGCTTAAAAACTGCAATTGTTCTTTCATCAGAGCCCGAGTAGTAGGATGTATCAATTACAAAAGGATGTTTCAAGTTTCTCCGTGGAAATATTAACCATTTAAGTTCCTTCAAGTATATGGCGAAAATATACGGATTTATCGATATATCAGATCTTTCCTGTATTCATCTTCTTTAAGAAGGTAATATTTTTATCATATACAGATTTTCTCTTAATGTGTAAAAGAAATCTGAAAGTCTTCCATGAGAAACTTCATGAAACATGTTTTGTATCGTGTCCTTTCAGAGAAAAAAAATGAAACCGTTGACATTACTTATGATCACACGACGCGACAAATTGGTTTCTAGAATGTCGCGAAAATCCAGCGACAGTCTTAATTTGTAACATTTGCTGCAAGTTGATCTTACAGATATATATATAAACATATTATATATATATATATATATATATATGTGTATATATATATATATATATATATATATATATATATATATATATATAATAATTTGTACCAGTGAACGAGAAAAATATGTCTAATACTCTTGAAAATCAATATATTGCTAGGGTTAAATATCCGGATAATTTAATATTCGAATTATCTGAAATTATTATTATCCAGATATTATCTAGATAATAATTATTCAGATGATGATTAATGATGCGAATAATGATTATTAGATAATCTAAATAGATCTAAATCCTTAAGATCTAAAGATTCAAATCTATGAATTTGCAAATTTGGATTCAAACTATCTGAATTATAAAAAAACTAAAAAGAATATTAATTGTCACGATAATACAAATAATAATATAGTAAATTTTATAGAAAATTATTTATTTTAAATTATTTATTTAAATAATTAAATTAAAAATTATTTATTTTAAATTTATCTTTAAATATTTAATGTATAAATAAAACTACAAAGTCAATAATGCAAAAAAAACCAGTTTCTATCTTAATTGCATTTATATAATATCATTTATAATAAATAGAATATATGATAATTATATACTTTGTAATTAATCTTCTAATTTTATTTAATTAGCTTGGATTAATTATTAAATCAACAGATTTAAAAATTTTTGAAATAATAAAAGTCTACTTATTCAGATAGTTTGAGTTAAGTAATCGCATAATTTCGTGAATTAACAGCACTTGCGAATTATATTAGCCCTAATATTGATTGTTAATTTATATGTAAGTAAAATATGTTTTATACTCTACAAAGAATTTTCGTACAGAAAATCAATTTTGCTAAATGCATTTGTCATATATGAAAATAATTGTTTCTTATGTCACATGATATAGTTCATGTTTATTAATTCTTATTTGTTAAATTTCTAATTAATTTTTAACATTGGCAGAAAGTGATAATGCACAAATGTCTTACTAGCAAAACAACGAGTTTTTAACAAAGGAAACGTTAAAATATCTGTAATCTTCTCGCAGCATATGCCTAAACATACGATGACTTGTCAAAGATGTATTCTTATTCAAGTCGTATAACTGAAGCTAGTCCATCATACAAACTCTATTTAAATATCATTGGCATGTCGAGCCATTTTACGTTATGCGATTATCATGCAGAAATGAGCGATTGACAACAATAGGATGAAATATGAGCGTTATAGCATTCAAGAAAGATCAAAGTAAATGTCACGACGCTAAAAATTGTTTTAGATAATCATATGCCCGTACAATGATACTCTCATACACACATACACACGTGCGTATTTTTCTGTGCTTTTAAATTCTAATATATTTTTAGTTTAAAAATTTTTTTTATGTATTGGCTTTCAAACGGTATGAAGTAGCCATTACTACTTTTCGCAAGAGTAAAAATATGATATTCAAATGTGATAAAAACGATTGATTCGTAAAATTTATTAAAAAATGTGATGGCTAACTTGATCTAATTGAAGAATTCTGGCATGCAATGATCATACTGGTATGATATTAGGTAATGCCATACTATGTTAAAAAAAAAGAATTTAAATGTGAGATAATTTTATAAGTACAAATGTAGAGAGCAAAGTTATCTTCGTATGATTGCTTTATTTAAATAAGAATATTTAATTCTCTATTTAGCGACATTGAGTTGTTGAAATTATATTGTGACTAGATTTAAATTTTTTTTCTTTTATGACGTCCATTAATATAATTTCGGATTTAAGAACAGAAGTTTTTTTTTGTTTAATTGTTCTTAACATATATAAGTATATAAAATATGTTACATTGCTTTGACAAATTATGGCACCATTGAAGGCATTGTGGTATATAATATTTAAATGATCTGTCTACTTATAAAAATATTATAATTTATGTATGGCGTATATATTTAAGTGCAAATTCTTTTAAACATTCGCGCAAATTGTGTGCGGCTATTAATTTGTCAGTTTATTAATTATACCAAATATGAAGAGGTATATGTTATAATTTTGATTTCTTCCGATTTTTTTATTTTCATCTTAAAGATTGATAAAAAGTTGTACAATTTTAATTGGCTTACAGAGTGTTTGAAAGAGTTGTTGAGAATACGATGCGTGTGGCATTACGAATAATTAATCGATAACGATCATAGAAAGATCGTTTGAATCAAATTAATCGACATTGACAAAATCAACTATTTTTTTATTTTATCCGCAAGAAAGCCAGTACTTGCTTCATTACGTTGGAAATGTTGTGTAACACTTGTTAACTATTACGAGGTCATTCTTTCTCTCTTCCATAATTGTACATACAAAGCATTGTCATGACAATTTACTTATGGACATTAGTAGTGGATCATGACCAACTAGTCAAGTGAAGAAGGAAGTTTTACGAGCACAAATATTTATTAGAAGATATTCAAAGCTTTTGTCTTCTATGGAAGGAGAGGATGCAGTATCCTTTCATTTCATTAAAATTTAGTATCTGGACTCTCATTGGATAATGAATTATACGAGTCCACATTTCCCAGATGATCCACATAAAGAACGTTGTAAAGGCTTTCCTGCACAATGTGTATTATTAAATTCTGAATTTTAATCTTTAAAAGAGCAGTGCTCTGAATTTATTCTAAGAAAGTTACGTGAAAAAGTTTTCTAAGTTGCATACATTAATAATTATATATATAATATAAATATATATATATATATATATTGTGTATTCATATACTCTCTTCGATACACGAGATATATAAAAAAAACTCCAATGGTTGCTAGTTTATGAAAAACAAAGGAAATCGTGTGTATGCATTTCTGTTTTCGAATTGTCCCAGTGTCAAAGATATTACACTTACCTTTGATCTTGCGAATAAATCGTTGATAAGTTTCGATTAGATTTTGCGTTTGCTTACATTTGTTTGTACACTGATAATGTAGCGAAGACGATACAGTGAAGATATGTAAATATTTGTCAGAAAGAGGAACTTTGATACCGCCTTTGGGTGTAACGCATGGGTGTGATTGTTGGGGCACTTGCGTGGCATATAGTCATTTTTGCTATACAAGGTCACTTTAATTTACGTTACGAATATAATATTTGCCGATTTCATTGATGACACGAGGTTCAGATACAAAAATAAATATTAAAGCGACGAGCTTGTTAGCAAAAAAAAACAAGGAAATAAAGGTCAAAGAAACTATTAATTGTCAAAAAAGTATCGATCGTGAATTTATGTACCTGACCAGGATGTGTAGTTTTTTTTTTTTTTTTTTTTTTTTTTTTGGCTAATTTACTTATCTTGGATTCAATTCCACTAGAAGTCTGGCTTAATAAGCAATTAATATTATTTTATTAAACGAGATAATATCATGCACATTGAGTTATTGTGATATGCATACATATACGCAGCCACAAAGGAAAAAAAACACTGACGCGCTCATATAAAACACGTATACACACGCATATATATCACGTGTAAATATACATTCGCTTCTTACATATTTATTTGTGTATACTCGTACATTGCGCGCACGCCGGAATATACGTGCAGTTATCTACGTGTATATACATGCACATATGTATAATTATTTTAGTTATTATACAATGATGTTCTCTTACCATAATAAATTAATAATGAGATAATTAATCGATCGCCGTAGGTAAGTTTCCTATTTTCCAAACGCATTATTTCACTTCGCGCGATAAGAGGAGGAAGATGTGTATAACGTACTTAATTTTTTTACTCTAGATTGCATTCAGCGTTTTTTTTTCGAATGTGTGCGAGAGAGAAAGAAAGAGAGAGAAAAATGAGGTGTGCACAAATTCAAGTACTCTTGTAATACCTGCTTCCTGAATAATTTGTAAGTTCTCTGATACTTTACATTAACTTATAATTTATTAAGTCGGCGAGGACAATAAAAAGGTTTTCCCGTTTTTATATCAAATTTTGGCGTCAAGTCTAGTGAAAAAAAAGTGTCGTGGATGTTTCTTTTTTGTTTTATATATTAGTTTTATTGTAACGTCTTATGCGCTTCCGAGAACATTTAACTGCGTACTTATTTTGTTATTATTTATAGCGTTAAGTAATCGCCGAGATAGACGAATGTAGCATAATTAAGTTGCAACAACAACAACATAGCTATTGATCTCATCGTATACTGCGCGACCATATACATACACGCAAATGCCCTTGTTAAAATTTAAAAAAGAAACTGAGACATGTAGAATGTGACTCTTTGAGAAAATTTTTAACGTATTGTAATACTTTTGGTGGGCAAAACAGATGAAATGAATGTGTCACACACACACACACACACGTCGACATATGATCTTGATTGACGCCTAAACGAAAAAAAAAAAACACGTGAACGTCTGTTTAATGAAATTAAGAAAATGATACAAAAATCTGGATAAAAATTATTTTACCATCGTATAAGACTCGTAAAACATGTAACACAGCATATACGCCCTATTGTCATACATTATGCGTTTCTATCGTTAATTCATAACTTGAGCTTGAGAATCCTATTTGAATTATGGCACTTTTTTCTATTCCGGTGCTACACAACAATCTCATCTATTTATAATGATTCTTCTTTCGCATATTTTCTGTTTATCAGTCGTATAGAATATATATTTGACTTTTGTTTTCATACTGAAATATACATGATTTGTAAATTTTCTTCCTTTATCTTCTTAAGAATATGAGAAATTTCCTATCGGATAAAAATTGAACTTTCCCTCCTTGTTTTACACATGTAAATTTTGTTTAAAAAATGGTTCTTTCACAATTTTTATAGATTATGAAGAATATACTATCATTTAATGGGCTTATGCCCAGATACAGAAAGAACTTAGATAAAGTGACAAATTCTGAAAGAAACCATGATTATTATAATGATATTTGATATCTATATCAAATATAGTGAAACGCTTATCTTGAAAAATCTTGGAATAAAATCGTATAAATAAAAGAAATAACTTACTGGGAAAAACATTTAAAAATTACTTTTGAATATATATACATATATATGTGTATATATATTCAAATTATCTAATTATACGAAAGGACCGTAACTTTCAAAGCATTATAAGGAATTAGAAAGATTATTGATATTAAAATAGTGAATTTTCATTGTATATTATGTATCGCTACATATATGCTCTAGTAATATTTATTAAAATAAACATTGTAAAAACCGATATAAATATATTGCATAATAATTTATATATAAATAATTACACATACATACGAGCATTAAGCATTTATCAAATTCCAATATTAATGCATTCTAATTATAATTTAATGACATTACGTTTTTATTTATTTTTACAGGATTTTATTATATACTTTATCTTATGTACCTCCCGCTTCTTTTCTAATATGATTAAAAGCAAGGAGGGAAAATTCCGCGATTTATAAGTCATTTATCTCGATGATGGTGACAGTGGGTAATATAATCGGACATATTTTAAATATTATTTCGTTTGGTGAAAGTATTTAAATAAATTCTTATAGAGAATCAGATTGTCTGCAGATACAACAATAAGAGTTAAGAAGTCAATCTTCTGAATAATGTTAATCCGATCGACAGTCTCTTTTATAAACAGAATAAGATTCATTCAATGTAACTATGAGCAATACAAAAATGAGCAAATGTGTTAGTTGACAATATAATGTAGAGAACACACCAATTATGAAATTTGATTTATTTTAATTAAAGTTATATCCATATGCTCTTATTAATCTTGAAAACGATTTTATTTCTAAGATAGAAAAGAATGAATGGCAATTATGATGAACTTAAAGAAATCTGTATTATGCAATACAGTAATAGGACAGAATTTTTAATAAAACTAAAATACATATATATATAGATATATATATATGCTTGTACTTGTATACATGTGTATATATATATATATATATATATATATATATATATATATATATATGTTATATATATAAGCTTCTTTCCTTCTGTTCCAAAAATACTTTACTGCTCTCTACTAAATGTGTCAATGCATCATATACAGATAAATTAATAAAAAGATTTAAGAGCTCCACACATGAGAAATTATAATTAATAAAAGAATTTATTCTTTTTGCCCTTTTATCAAATGATTATATGTTGCATTACTTTTACATAGATGTTTCTTGTTCAATGAAACATTTATAATTTCATGTATGTATATATCATGTTTATAATCTTTTCTGACTTTTTTTATATTATTTTATATTTTATTTCAAATAATTTTTAATTTAAAAATAAACATTTTATAAAAACTATTCTTATCCATTTGTAGAAAATATATATACAGGATCAAAAATTTCAGAAAAAATTAATTTTTGTAAAAATTGTGTATATATATATATATATATATATATATATATTTGTAAATTTTTAATTATTGATTATCTTATGTTTTGTTTTTAATGGTTTCTATTAAATTGGAAATTTAATTAAAATTTTTGTCATAGATGTTTTTAATTAATAATACTACATGTTTTGTATTGTTTTTCTTATTCTTAAATAGTAAATAAAATACAATGTATATAGTCCCTCTTCATAAAATATTCCAATATAAAACTTCGACTTTTTTTATATATACGTATATATAAAGCAATCTCATTTACATTATTTACTGTCTGATACTTCACATGTGGATGTTTCTAGAGCTCCATGAGATTTAAATTTTTTATAGAGTGGATTATCTTTGAATACTATATACGAAAGAACTGCTTTAGTATAATAGTCCGACATCAGTTCTAAATTGCTTATAACTGTTGACAGAAGGTGTGCTTTTGCCACATATATTCCTAAATAAAGGAAAATAAGATTCTGAGTTATAAATACTACTCATTCTTACATTATATACTTTTTTATCAGAAATTATCAGTTACTTTTATAATTTTATTACATTGACTCACCTGGTGCTTCAAACATAAGGTAGCAGAAATGTACATGTAGATAATAATATGATGGCTGATAATGGAAATATATTCTGAGCTGTGAGGCAGGTATATTGAATTTTTTACTAATTGCCTTTGTTCCAGCATCTCGTATATTTCTTAATAAAGGAAGATGAGAGGCGTTCAATTCTCTTAATGATTTTATCTTTTGAAATGGCAGAGCCAATAGTTTTAATGTATCTAGCTGTTTGTCCCATTTAAAATCTGTCACCAATACAAAGCCAGTGTCTTTGTCAGAGTCCTCATAAATAATACTTTCCTGTTCAGCTTTGTGCTCCAATATATTTGTTATCCACTGGAAGAGAAGCAATATTAATATTAATATTATGTAACGTTGATTTTGAAGTGTAAAAAAAATTCCATGCCAAGTGATATATTTTAGATAAAGTCTGTACCTCGAAACTAAAACTTTTCGATTCTATATAAGGAAGAGTGACTTGCTGGTAAAGTTCATATGTTTCATCTATCATATATACTTCTTGTTTCTTATATTTCTCAATGTGATTTTGTGTGGCAGGATATATCACGGTAGTCTGTATGCCTTCAAAAACAGAATATATTAAGTCACCTGTTCTTTTTAGTCAAATTAGCTGCATTCAGTTCAGAGTTTATCTCTTTCCTGCTAATGTAGACTAAAAGAGACAAACTGCATAATGCAGCACATTCGGCAGAAAAGGACAGACCTACTTGTTTGTAAACAAATATATATAATCAATACACAGTAATACACGAAAAAAATGACAGATCGACGTACTGTTCTGCTCCTCGGCAGGAAAGCAATCGTAATTTCTGTAAATGTCATTGGTAAAATGTTTTCGGAAAAGTGTTTTCCCGTCAAAGAAGCCTTTCTCCAGGCTCAATTTGTCGTTGGGGAAGCTCTTCTGTTCGAGCAAGACGACCGCTGAGCCCTCGCGATCCTCGAATGTCCCTTCTATGCATATCGATTTCCGCACGCAATTGTTTTGTAACACCTTCGTCACTTTAAAACTCGACAGATTCGGTTCCGCATCCGGTGTCGCGTCGTCCTCGCGCGTGTTTTTCTCCTCCGTATTCTCGATCGCGTCTCCCTCATCGTTCAATTTCACCTTCTTCGCCGGTGGACAATCGCCGTCGTTGACATTTGCACAATTCTCAGCCATTTCGCTACATAAACACGCTTTAATTTCGAAAATAGTGCAAAGAATAGAAATGCAAAAGATTGTCCGATAATTTTAAAGAAAGTCACGTTAGGAATTCCTTCTTCCTTAGAGATTTCTGTTCATTTTCAAGCACTTGCAATTTTGTAATCATCTCCTCCGGTTTGTTCTTTACAGGTGTAACCGGTTTATACTTTCTTCTCTCTCTTTCCAACACGTAAATATACATCTGTTTCAGTTTATCAGTGTACGCTGGTGCAGAAAGTTCAGTTCTGAAGAACAGATCCCCCTCCCTTTCGTTGAAAATCCAAATTGCGCGCGACCGCGGTGCCCTCTAGCGGCGAAAATTATAACAATAGCAGCGAGCGTCTGCGTCGATACAGTCGGCGCCTGTAACGTCAAATATCGACGCGTGACGTGACAAATGTCTATACATACAAGCCCGGCACACATATTTAGCGGCTGAAAATATTCAAAGTAAATACACGAATTCTTTCGCAACGACCCCGAATTTCACGCAGTGCTTAGGTAACTGCGTAGTATAAACACGTTTGCGAAGTATCGAAAGTTAGGTAGGACTTTCGACAAGTATTGCTCGTGACCTGTTGTGACCTTCGCCACGGCGTGAAGGGCATTGTCTCGTGTCTTTTAGTTCGGTGTGCTACAACGGTAACGAGTGTTCGAGGAAGAATGTTGCAGGTCGATGACAGAAAGGTAAAAGGTTTCAGAAATTAATCTTTTCCGACTAATATTAAGTTATTAATTTCTTGTTTTCTCACAAAATGATTTGTCTTTCGCTCCTCGCTCTTTCGTAAATTTTTTTTGCTTCATCTGATAAAAATAATTAATTATTGTTGATAAAAAGCGAATGTGATGACGTTTTATGTGGAGGAGTTCTTTTTAACGATGAAATCATTTGCTTTGTTATTCCACTGTCGATTATCGAATAGTAGGTACCTAGTGTGAATTTAAGGTTAAGGTGCATTTTACCTTTATAACGGAGTGATTGACATGCAGTCAAAGCAATTCCTAATACTATATATATATATATTTATCTCTGATATTAATAGGTCTATATTGGATATGTAAATTAGATTTAAATTTATATTTTACGTACATATATTTTTTTAAATAAATCGTCCATATTTCAAAGACCCGCGTTAAATCCTATTTTTCGAGATTCGAAAACAGTGATATCTTTTTTTTATTGAGAATTCTTTCAGACGCAATGACAGTCATGAATAAAATTCAATTCTCGTATAAATATGTATATAACGTGGTTAAAAGATACCTCTTAATATACTGGCACTTGACATTTTTTAATGTTTAAAAAAATATGACAAAGTGATGAATTAATCTTTACATATTCGCGAAAAAAATCCCTCAGAATAAAATCCGTATAATTAACCAATCAGATGACAAAAGTATGAGTAGATTTTTTTAATGTGAAAATATGTTTTAACAGAGCTTCTTGCGTAATTTAGTGAATAATTCATCAAACGTATCACGTATAAAAAGATTATTTATTAAGACAGAAAAACTTATTCACATTTATATTTACATGCATATACAACTGTACTTTTACGAGCAAGTTTGATGGATTAAAAAAGGAAGAGAGGAAAGCTTAATTTTGTTTTTTTTAATATTTTATGAACTTAATCAATGTCGAAGCAATATCAGTAGTTTTTATACGAGCTGAATATGCATATATGTACATGTATAAATAGAGGCGTTGATTTTATCGGACGATATAAAGCGTGATGTCGACGTATCACGACTTGGTCGGAAGGATCATCGGTTCTATTCTACTTCGAATTGTATTTCAAATTCCCTTAGTTTTTTATCTGGCCATTTTCAGGAAAGTAAGAAAATAGTTCGGAGCGTTTCGAAATTCCCGCGATATCCGCGTCACGTACGCGCGAAACTTACGACGCGTTTGAAATTACGCGCTTCACGTAAAGCGCCGATTGCACCGATTATTAGTGAAATATCTCGCGCGCTATACGATGCCCTCGCATTCGTCGCCCGTTGTTCATTCGGGACAGACGCAGAAGAAGAAGGTCATTCCATTCATGGAGTATCTGCTGCAAGTAAGTGACGTGGGAAGAACGTTTTATCAGACGTATATATTATATATATATATATATATATATAATATAGATAGGGTGTCTCTGAAACCATGTTAGAGATTTTAAGGGCGTTACTCTAGGGATCGAAATAAGAAAAAATTCCTATAAAAATCGAATCGTTGTGAAAAAGTCTCCGAGAGTTACAAATATATTTTTCGATTTTTCCCCCAATTTTAAGGGGCTGTAACTTGGAGGCATTTTTGGATCCATGCGCTCTTAAAATCTCTGATATAGTTTTAGAACATCTTGTACAATTATTGTCGTCGCGATACTCTTCTTTTTGAATAGCGCACGCTATATCTCGATCGCGAGATCTTTATCTATCGAAATTTATTTCAAAATTTATTTTCGTAAATTCAAAGAACCTTGCATTCAATCGTCGATATATTGAAAGATATCCGTGATCGCGATATATTTTCATTGAGAAAACCTTGATCATTAAATTGTTCCCGATACGCGAAGTATAAATTCTCGTGTTGACACATTTATAAGTGCGCGTTATCAATTAAAAAAAAAGAAACATACTTAAAGAGAAATATTATTCAAGGAGTATTCAAGGAGAATTATGTCATTGCTAGATTTTCATAGACGATATGTCACTATCTGTATATAAAACGTAAACAGAGATCTTTTTCTGCGTAGAATTATATAACAAATTAATATTGAACTTTAATTTTAGCATATTATGATAGAAAATACTGATTTGTATTTTTCAACGTACTATAATTTTTTTTGCGTTTATATATTTTTTTTATAAATTACACGTGAGATATAATAACTTGTTTATAAGTGTCTCTATAATGAATGAATTCTTACATTTGATCTTAATTGCATATTAAGCAAAAAATCTCGGGGAACGTTATTTTTAGTTGTGTTGTTACTTTTCTCAAAATGGTGATACAGCTAAAACCTAAAGAGCTTGAAAAATTCTTTAACACGAATTAACGATTTATCCAAGTTTTTTTAACGCTTTATCTGCTGTTACATAAGCTATAATGATAGGCTAATCCGATTCAAGTGCGCAGCGTCATGCTGGGATGTAATCATTCGTTAACCCTCGGCGATCCTACGTCAAGACTTATAGTTCTTATCGCGTCAGTGTCTTTTCATATATTACTTATCTTCGTAGAATGACGACTATTCTTCACTTTGTAAATTATATCTTTCTAGAAAAAACGCGAGAACTGCAATAGAAAGATTAGAATCGATTGCAGCTGGAAATTAATAGAAGAAGAGAAAGAAATATTTTTATATCTCTGACATCAGAATTTACACGAGATATACATTGTAGATTCGTATATTTCATGTATTTTTTTATATGTATAACTTATAAAAAATTTATATAAAGTAAAGTTTTATATATTATTCAAACTTTTTTGTATTTTAATTCTTATATTTCTTATATTTATACTATTCAAACTTTTTTGTATTTTAATTCTTATATTTCTTATATTTATACTTTTATGTATTTCCTTATATTAATAACTTATAAAAACTGATAAAAAAAGTTATTCTTTTGTGTAGTTTTTTTATTGTTATATCATCTTTGTCTAACGCAATTTGACACGTGATGTTTTGTATTTATATAAAAAAAATGAGATAATAATCACGAGAACGAGTCAATTAATATCTCGATTTTATGTCACACGAGGAAGAATTCTGAAGCTAATCGAAATGTTAATAACGTTTTTCTGATTATTATCTCACAGATACCTGTTAACATTAATATTTACATATTTATATTTTTAGTTTTCTTGGTCTGGTTTCTTTCTATTAGCGGATAATCTTGCCGAAAAAGAAACTTTCCCGAGAAAGAATATCATAAATAACTGAAGTGAACCAGGCTGAACTATGATTTGAATCACGAGAGAGAAGATAAAAAACTTATAATCTGGACCCATTCCTCTTGAATTTATCTTATCGTGAGCCGTAAAAGGTTAACACAACATTATCCGAGTATCAGTTATTGTTTTTTTGTCGACAATTTCTATGCAAAAGATGCGAGAATATTTATTTATTAATGTATATATACGCGCAATCGTTGAAAAATGGCAATTTTCTGTGATAACAAAAAATATGCGTTTTTCCTTGCGAATAATTATATATCTTGACTTATGAAATGTTTTTTAATGCAAATCGTAGCGAATAATGCGAAAGAATATTATCTCGGTATATTTAAAAGTTTTATTATACATTCTATACATTTTGTCACTATCGGTACTCATCCATAATTAAAAATAAATTTATCTAAGCATGTTATCAGTGGGCCTTGAGTCAGGGTAATACTTTGACGAAATACGTTGTTTGTTTTTCAAAAATAAAATTTTTTAGAAGTTAAATATGATTAATCGGATTATTATTTAAGTGAAACAAACATGATCGTAATACTTGAAAAATTTAATTCATTATTAATAAAAGATATTTACTCGTGCTTATCTCTGATACATATAAAATAATCAAAGGACGTGCGATGTTAAATGTTAATCATTGTGAAATAGATACTTTAGTATCGGGAAATATTTTCTAATATTTTCAAATCATTTCTAATCACAAATATGAAATAATTTGAACGTTAATCTATTCATATAATTATCGTGCTAATTTTCCTTTTACAATTAGACTTGCATTATCATCGTCCTCGTAGTATCGCACGCGTCTCAAGGCAGCATTAATTTTATTCTTTTTTTCTAGAAACACACTATATTGCCTAACAATAAGCTTCTCCTGTCATTCGTCTTTCGATATTTCTCGGTCACGTACGATACTCTCGATCGCTCTCGATTCTTTTCGGACAAACGACGATTTGTTACGCGTAAAAGAAAAGAGGAAGCAGAAAAAGAAGGAAGAGGCAAATCTCTTCGTGCTCTCTTATTTATTACAAAACGCCATTACTAAGCACGCAGCCGATTTTGCATTTTTACACCGAATTTTGCTCCGAAACGATCTGCAAACGCGGAGGAGATTTTAAAAGAGAACTTTTAAGGAGGAATTTTTCACGACGACTACATACATCGCCGATATAGACATCGATCTTCTTATACGATTTTTTTTTCTTTTTTGTAATTACAATTTTTTTTACAGCTGTAATTTTTTTTAAAAGTCATCATGCGCGCGTTTTTGCACCCGTCCAATGATCGATTTACGGGAGCGGAAGGGGAGGATTTTATGAGAAGAATAGGTAAAAAAAAATGTTGGTCTACTTTTGTTAATTCAGGCTCGCGGTCACCAACGCAGTTCTTCAGATACGCAGGCGTTTCGCGAGCGTACGAAAAGAGATGCACGGGCCGAGCTGCAACGCGAACTCGAGAAACTGCAGGCGACTGCACGCGAGGACAAGAAAGAATTGATGGGCCGGCAGTTCGCCGGATTCAAGCATCTGTTCGAGCGATTCCTGCAGGAAGAGGGTCCGTCCTTAGAATGGGATCACATTCAAAAGCTGCCCGAAGAGGCGGTAAGAATCGCGCGAGAAACATTTTCTTATAAAAGCACCTAGTTAAGTTTCTTTTTCGAAGAAATTTAAATGGTATTAGTTTTAATTAGTAAATTCTATTGTTAATTAAATTTTGTCGATTAAAAATGAAACTATAAACGAGTATAAGACAAGAAAGGAAAAGCTTCATTTATATCATTTTTTTAATTAATTTTTTAAAATTAATAAATAAATAAAATTATTATTAAATTAATAAGATAAATTAAAATAAATTAAATTAATAAATTACAAAAATAAACTGTAAATAATAAAATAAACTGAATTGAAATTGTGTTTTTTGCAGGTCAAAGACTACAACTCTTTGCCATCACCGGAAAATAACGAGGTGAAGGCGTTATTGGACAAATTGGTTGTGGTTAAATTAAATGGTGGTCTCGGAACAAGTATGGGATGCCACGGACCGAAATCCGTCATCGCCGTGCGAAATGGACTTACCTTTTTGGATCTCACCGTTCAACAAATCGAGGTATTTTAATAATAAATTATCATATTCACGTATAACGTTTATTGGTTTCTTTGCTATTGTTATAAAATTAATGATAATTATTTCTATTATACAGCACCTGAATAAAACGTACAATGCCAACGTGCCACTCATATTGATGGATTCATTTAATACGGATGACGACACGCAACGTATAATTAGGAAATACAAGGGAATCGACATAGATATTTACACTTTTAATCAGAGTTGTTATCCGCGCATTAATAGGGATTCTCTACTTCCGATCGCTAAGCATAGTCAAGTCGATGAGGATATAGAAGCGTAAGATGATTTTTTTAAAAACATTATCAATATATTTTAATGATATCATACTAATTAATGTATGATCTAATAGTTGGTATCCACCTGGTCACGGAGATTTTTATGATAGTTTCCTGAACTCTGGTTTACTTAAAAAGTTTATTCGAGAGGTATGAAATCTTATTCCTTAGTGCTTATTAATAGATATGATAATTCATTTATTTGAAACTCTGATCTTTTCCAGGGTCGTGAATATTGTTTCATCTCAAATATAGATAATCTTGGTGCCACAGTGGACATTAAAATCTTGAAATTATTGTTAAGTGAACCAGCAGAACCCAGTCTTGAATTTGTCATGGAAGTAACAGATAAGACACGAGCGGATGTCAAAGTACGTTAGAATTTATATTCGGAAATTATTTACTAAAATTATTTAAAATTCTTTGGAAATGGTTATAATTGTAATATACTTTATATGTGTGTGTGTATAGGGTGGTACACTTATAAAATATGAGGATAAACTTCGTCTCCTTGAAATAGCTCAAGTACCTAAGGATCATGTCGACGATTTTAAATCCGTCAAAACATTTAAATATTTCAATACCAACAATCTCTGGATTAAACTCAGTGGTATGTATTTTGTGATTTAAGACAGACAATAAACAGAATTGTAATTAACAAGTGCTATTTCTTCAGCCATTGAAAGAGTACTTGAAAAGAAAGTGCTGAATATGGAGATAATAGTAAATAACAAAACTTTCGCGAATGGTTTGAATATAATACAACTTGAAACAGCAGTAGGAGCTGCTATGAAATCATTCGAAGGAAGTATTGGTAAGTTCGAAGACGATTAACAAGACTTTAAACAAATTTATTCTCTTATAATTTATTTAAAATCCATCATTTTTTAAATATCGATTTTGTAAACAATTTATATTTAATTAAAATTGTATATTTAATATTACAGGTATTAATGTGCCACGTAGTAGATTTCTGCCAGTAAAAAAGACTTCTGATCTGATGCTCGTTATGAGTAATTTGTATACTCTACGTAATGGATCTCTCGTAATGAGTCCTCAAAGAATGTTCCCGACAACGCCTCTCATTAAATTAGGGGACAATCATTTTTCAAAAGTCAGTATAAACTTAACTCCTATTTTTAATCTTTGTTTAATTTATAAATTTTATTTTTAATTTTATTCTAATGATAGATCTTATTGTTAATTAATTTTTTTAATGTACAGGTGAAAGAATTTCTGACTAGATTTCCGACAATTCCGGATCTTCTTGAATTGGATCATTTAACAGTCTCAGGTGATGTTACCTTTGGAAAAGGGGTGACACTGAAAGGCACAGTTATTATAATCGCCAACCATGGAGAACGCATAGATTTACCCTCTGGAACAGTTTTGGAAAATAAAATTGTATCGGGCAACTTACGTATATTGGATCACTAATTTACAACAGAAAGCATAATATCTTGTCCTCTTGCAGAATTTGTATAAATGTATGAGAGCATAGTATGTCTTATTTGTATCTTAAATTAACTAGTCAAGCAATTTAATTGTATATATTCATAATGTATTTTAGAAAGAAAATCGAAGATATATATATTTCTATAGAAATTATTTTACTGAAAATATACTGTACATAAGAACTTAATGTGTATCTCACAAAGTATCACGTAAATTATATATAGAATATATACTATGTTATGTATTTTGAAGTTTATATGGCATATTATATTATAATAAATAAATGCTCTTTCAATTTTATTTATTTATTGATGGAAAAGAATCTCTTTACATTTAACATTAGATATTCTAAATAAACAACAGCAGACGATTTAGAAGATAAAAATTGTATAATAACTTTTTAAATCGTCTGTACTGATGTTTATTTAACATATAATATTGAAGAAACTTTTTTAAAATAGAAATTTAAAAAATATATATAGAAGTACATATATAAAAAATACAAATATATATTTACATATAAAATAACATTAACAAAAAGAAATAAAATCAAAGTTTCAAATATTCCTTGATTTTTTTATTCAACATAAATTTAAGGTTTATATATATATATATGTTTATGTAAAATACAACACTTTATAAAAGTGAAATGTTTAAATAATTAGAGAAAAAATAATTTCATGTATTATATACGGATAAAATAAAAGATCGAATACGTTTTTTTAAAAGACTCTAATGTGTTAGCAAAATGTTTGTTGTTGTTAACATAAATTTGAATTTCGAAAATTATGCTTTTATTTTTCCACGAGAATTTCGTAAAGAGAGGAGAAGAAAAGTTTGAATTATTTATATTATATTATCGTAAGATCATGCAAAAGATTAGCGTGGCGCAAACGTCATCTAGCGATGCACGACGAATTTAATCGGTCGCGAAAACAGAGCTTCCAACTCTCGCTGATTCAGTGTTTCGTGTATTAGCTCCAATAAGCTAAATGGAGGACGGGACGATGTTTCGATAGAATCGGGAATACGTTTGCCGTATACGCGAGGTAAAGCCCGTTTATTTGGCCCGATGTCAGTGATTCCGACAGCACGATAACTCTCGCAGGTAAAGGGATACCTTTTTCCGTACAAGAGAGGGACACGACGAGCGAATCGACCACGCGACAACCGCAAGTTCATCTCGGAAGTCATTCCTTGCTATTTATTTTCGAGTGACGCCTCGCTTTCAGCGATCAGCTATGCAATTAATGCACTTTGTTCGTTTTGACGTAATCAACTTCTTTATTATTAATCCTCGATGTCCGGATATATATATATATATATATATATATATATATATGTGTATATGTATGTATATATATATATACATATATATACATATATATATATGTATGTATATGTTATGTATATACATATATACTACATATTAATCTCTTTCGTCTAATTGTTTCGCTCTTTGTCGAGATTTCATTAAGATTAGTATGGATACTTATAAGTCTAACCTACCTTAACTGACTCGTGTGTATTGTTAATTTTATACAATAATTTGTGTGGAATATTTTTGGTCGTGTTAATTGAAAGTGCTTCTATCTATGTTATTAATTTTTCATTTTTTTATTATACATGTTGAAATAGAATTTCAATATTTATATATATATATATATATATATATATATATATACATATGTAAAAGAAAAAATTGTGTATATAAATATATATCAAATATATAAAGAAAGAAGTATACTTGTGAAAGAGAAATAATAAGGCAATAAAATAGAAAATATACTTGTAAAAAGTCAAAATGTATATCAGGATTTATTATTATCTTCTTAAATAGAGAGTGAATTGTTCTATATATAATATATATAAGATAATGATTATTGTGCATTTTGTGTTTTATCCAGAACTTGCAAAGACAATCTTCCTAAATGGGGAAGGTTAAGAAGAGACCAGATTTGATCCATCGTGGCAAATCGCCCAATGTAGTGCGCAATTTAATGCTGAGAGATTTCGGATTATATACAACACATAAAACTAGTACGCGTGAATTGGAGCCAATAGCTGAAGCAAACCTAGTGTTAAGAGATCATAAGGAATTGGTATGTACTTATTATACATATACTTGTATAGAGAAAGTGTATATTAGATGTTGACTCTCAGTTGATATCTCTTTATTTATGAGAAATAGAACTAAATAGATGTATGTAATGCGATTAATCAATATTCTACAAAATAAACAATAATTGTCCTTTATCAATTTCTGATGGCTAAATTAATAATGTATCTAATGTTAATACACAATATAATATAGATGAGAAAGAGATAATAAATATTATCCATTTATTTGTAGAAATGTAATATACCTGGTGTTCCTAGAGCCACATTTTTGATGGTTTTCAGTCCTGATGGGTAAGCTACAAAAGCTAAATACATATTTATTGTTAGTATATTTTGTCATAATTATTAGAAGGAAATAATACTAAAGAAAAAGAAGATATAATATCTATGTAATAATAAGTGATAGTATTTTTTTATTATATTAGTAATATTATAAAAAAATGTAGGATTATAATATCATAACATAATAAAATATTAAAATTTAGGACTATGGTAGCATCTACACATGGGAATCACAATGTTTATGTTACGGAAATTACAACAGGAAGAAATATTAGAACTCTGTCCGGACATCCACGTACTCCATGGTGCATAGCTTTCCATCCATCTTCGAGTCAGATTTTGGCGTCTGGCTGTTTGGGAGGTCAAGTTCGTGTGTGGGATTTAAGCGTGAGTACAGTTTTCAACTATGTAATTTTTATCAATTATTAAAAATGTAGATTAAATTTAAAATTACAAATGTAGATGGAAAAATTTGTAATTTGTTTGTGTAGGGTGGTAGCGAAATCTGGAATACTGATAGTCATACTGTTATCGCCTCGCTTACGTTCCATCCATTTGAAAGATTATTAGTTATAGCGACATCAAATGAAATTCATTTTTGGGATTGGAGTAAGTCTCAACCTTTTGCTGTAGCTGCTACAAAGACTGACAAGGAAAAAGTGAGGTATCTATTTTAAATTAGATTGTACAAATTAATAAAAAAAAATGTAAGGATGACAATTTATGCCTTTTTCACAATTTTCCTTCTAAGGAAAAGGGAATTGAAAATGTAGGAACATTTATTTAAATAGACAAGAAGTGCATTTCATCAAACAATTCAATTTTGGCAGTAATATAGATTATTTCATTTCTCTGTTAATTATATACAAATTACAATTTACAATATTTTTTTATTTTGTCAATATTTTGTATGCTTATTATTTGGAATGATATTGATAGAGAGAGATAAGAAATATTACAAATCAATTTTTATTATAGGTACTCTCTATGTGTATTCTAAATTCTTCGACTTATTTTAGATTATTCACACAACTTAATATTTGACAGCTTTATGAAAATTACAGATATGTAGCTTTTGACAATTTAGGAAGAAAACTAATCACAGGAATTGCAAATACACCACAAGTTCAACCACAATGGGATCGAGCTCCCGTGGGACAATTACTTAGAACTAGTTTGATGTGAGTAAGAGCATGATTTTCTATGCATGTAAAGATAGATATAAGTATAATATTATTCATCACACACATTGTGCTATCAGAAAAACACATGCTTTCTTATAGTTTCATAATTAAAAAATTTGAATATATTAAAATACTATATTAATTGAATACCGGATATTGTATTTTATATATAAGTATTATAAATTTCCCCCTCTCCACAAAAAATAGGAATTTTAGGTATCAGCCGCGAGAAGGCTTTCCGGATATTGAACTTTCACCTTGGCACTTGTGGAATCATGGCTCTGTATATGGAAGGGGGTCGACGGATAATCATACCCCAGATAGAACTTTCCGGTATTTAAATTATACGATGCTAAAATGACATGAAAATTTATTAAAGAGTATACGAATTGTGGATAAAAATTTTTTTAGTGCGTATCTGTCTATGCGCAGAGGTCACGAAACTACCTTATCGCGATTCGCCCATCATCAACAGTTGAGGAATGGTGCGCGGCAGGAAGAGGCGCGGTTTCAACGGCGCCGTAATCTATCCGAAGGTACAATGTCTATGCTACGGTGGCCTTCGTGCCAACGTAGATGCAACGACAGACATCATGAGCTAGTACGGCAACTTAGAACCGCTATGTCGTTTCGTAACAATGCTCAATCTGCAAGTACTCCATCCGGTACTGTAACAATTGAGATTCGTCGTAATAGTTTTCTGCCTTACGATGTAGAACTGAATCAAACTAACGAAGCTACATCTTCATCGAATATCACGAGAAATCCTCCTCGCCCACCCAGCAATCCGGCGAATGCGGCGGACAATGTCGAAAACAGACAGTCGGCGGACGACAGCAACGAGGATGATTTTCCGAGCAGCTCGGCAAGGAGTCGCGATCGGGAAGCTAACGCGACGAACGATTCTCGCTTCAGGGACACATTGTACGAGCGATTGAACAACGTTTGGGACGGAGTGGATGAAAGATTGCGCGGGAGGAATGTTCAAGATCCGGAAAGGAGGATCAATTTATGCTACAGGAATCTCGTCGATCAATATGTGACGCTCGTAAGAAGTTACTTTGACATTTCCAGAAACAGAGATACGGTGAGCTATATGTATATATATATTACGTGTTATCATCTCTAATTATAGACAAAATTTTTTTTAAATGTAGCTTGTATTAAAAATGTGTATGCACATACAATTTTAATACAAGCTAATATTTGTATATATTTAAGGTTGGATAGTAACTAGTTACTTAATTAGAAGTTAAATGAAAAAGTTAATAACTTTTAACTTAGCTTAGTTAATTAAGAATGAATATAAAAAAATTAACAAATCAAATTAAAAAATTTTAAATTAGTTATGACGTTTTAATTTTTAATGTAAATAATATTTAAAAAAATGAACTTAATTTAATCTTAACTCAATTTTTAACGTAACTAAATTAATTTTACAAGTCATTAAATTTAACTTGATTTAGTTAAAAAAAATAATTAAACAACCCTATCAATTCATATTAGATTGATCGTGGCACGGACCCCATGGACATGCCAGAAACATCCTCTAATTCGGAAGAGTCTAATAATAACAGAAATGAATCATCGGCGGCGACTGAATCGTCTATACGAAGATTAAGAAACGAATTGAATTCCAGCGCCCAAGAGAATAACACGAATCTAGAGAGGCATCTACAACGATACCAGCGATTATTGATGGAACGTTGCGAGCAGGAGGAGATTGGAACCACCCTTCATAATTTGAGGGAGGCTCTGAATACCGCCGCCGAGAATAATAGTTCGTGCCTGGTGCGGTTGCAGAAACTACGAGAGAGATTACAACGGCAAACAACAACTTTATTCGAGTATTCCAACAACCGGAATACTCGTCTCAAGTTACTTCGCAATGCTCTCAACAACGAGATCGAAGCGCTTAATAATATGGAGGCGCAATTTACCAACACGAGTTCCAGGATCGAACGACTGCGAGACGAATTCGCGATGTACGGTTTTCTGCCGCGAAATCGTCACGTCGCGACCGATCCTTCGCAGGTGAATTTAAGCGATGCCGAATGGAGAGCTCTTACGTCAAACGATGGACAAGTACCCAGCACCAGTTCCGCATCATCGAGGACGCCTTTACATTCCGAATCTAGTGGACTTCCTAGCACAAGTTATGTCGGAGAAAACGAAGAGAACGATGCAACGTGGCACGAAAGTGCAAATAGTAACGAGAACGCGAATACTTCGTCGAGAAATACGCCGAGGGCCATGAGAAGACGATTCGACGCCACGAACACAGAGGACGAACCGCCGAGGCGACGAAAGCGTAAATTGGGGCCATTATCCTATATACCAACTCATACCGGTACTTTCATAGAAATATGGATAAATCTTTAGAGCAGAGATTTTTTTTAAATTTTAACATATATGTATATTATCAAGATCTATAGAATATTTCGAAACATGTATACCTATAATTTTGATTTTACATACAAATTACATGCAGATATAATTACTATACATTTGTTTATTATTTTAGGTGGTAACTCATCATCAAGTGACGAAGGCTCTTCCCAAGCAGCGACATCCAACAATGGAGCATCTAATTTTACAATTTCTACCCACTCGGCGTTTCAGCTAAATGTACCGAAATCCATCACACAACGAACAAGTTCGCAAAATCGAGAAGCTCCAGCTAGTTCTTCCAGATTAGATGAAACGGACAGAAATAGTCTTCTTGATAACAATTTAAATAACGAATCAAACGGAAATAATGTCCAGCATAATAGAACATCAAGAATCGCACAAAACTCGCAAGAAACACCGAGGTCTCCAGAATTCATGAATAGACAAGGGTAAATTTTTATATTTTATCATTTATATGTATATTTTTTATCTTACAAGAAAACTTTTCTATTTATGTGTGTTTGTTCAAAATTTTTAACATTTAGAAATTCACTCAGGAGAGTGCTAGATGCTATTCAGCGAAATTTACTACAGCCGGATCGGGTAGAAAACAACAACGTTGGGCAACAAGTATCATCTTTGGATGATTCGGAGAATGGATATTGGCTTCTTGAAGAAAATAGTAATTCAGACTCAAATTTGGACGACACAAATTCCAACAGCAATTCAAACTCCCGTCGATGGACTAGCCGATGGATACAATTGGACAATTCAAGTAGGAACACGGAATACAATGACTTGTCGAATGAACAAACTCAGTCGCGATCTACTTCGGAAAATGCGGATCAGAGTTTCAACGATAGACATAGAGATCAAAGAAATCATCTGTTATCGCCTGTATCTGCGAATCCTACTCGCTATGAGCAACCACCGTTGTTTCCGTTTCGAAGTTTGCGAGAAAACCAATCTCAAAGAATGGAACAAAATCAAACATCCTCCAATATTGACGGTGATTCTAACAATTCTCACTCGCAAATGTCTAATTCAGGTGTAGCAGATACGATAGAATTAACGGGAAATGTTGACGATCCCGTTCCAAGAATCGCTGATGCAACCGATCGCGAGAGCGTTCGATCGACGGTAATCAGACAAAACCAGGAGCAAAATCAGGAACAAAATGAGGATCAACAAAATATAGATGATGTAAATCTTGATTCTAGTGATTTAGATCCAATAATACTCGGCGCTGGCAATATAGATCCGAGAGAAAGTTCACTAGGAGTTCGGCAAGGAATTCAATTGCTTAGTCGTCATATCGACAACATGCATCGTTTATGCCGGTAAGTTTATGAACGCACATATTTTAACATGTCAGAAATATTGGTCAGCATTCGAAATCGGAGCGTGTCTTTTAAATAAAAATTTATAGTATTTTTAAAGTAAATAACATAGTAGTTATCTGCTACAATAGTTAAACTTATTAGTTAAATTTTTCGTGAATTTTCATATGTGTAATGTTTAATAAAAAATGTTTTAACTGCAAAACTGCAACTTTCAGAAAAATTATTGCATAGTTCTTTTGAGAAAGAGAAAGGTTTTTTATCCATAATTAGAATGAATACAAAATATTAAATAAACAAATTAGAGTTGGAATATTCTTATGAAACATTAAACTAGTAAAACAGTATATTAGAAAATAATTATATTTGAAAGAATGCAGTTAAAATATTTTCCATCGTTCTTTCGACGAAAATAACAATTTTTCTCAATTTTATTGACAGAGCACGCTTAGAAATAGTTCAGTTGTGTCAAGTGCGAAAAATGTGGGAAGATCTACAACGACAAATACGCTCGTTACACGTGACGGTTCGCATAGAAAGGCAGAACAATGATCAAACGGAGGCGCAGAGAGACAATCCTGGTCCATCAACATCGAACGCTGCGAGTTCATCGAACGAATCGGCGAAGAATTTCAAGAAAGCTCTTCTAGAGAACTATCAGAGGGAGAACAGCGAGAACGATCGTGAGGCCAGATCCTACGTGGATCAGAGTCAACCGTCGACCTCGAGGGGAATACCTGATCCCGATGGAAATTACGAGGACGAGCCCACGTCGTCCGGGAATCGTAACGTCGAAGAGAGCACAACCAATATAAGTCTCTCGAATCTGTTACCTAGCGACACCGAATTACGACGGATGCAGCGTCTCAAGCTGAACGAGATGCTAGATGGTTTATATGCAAGACCTCGCTGTCGAAGTTGCGTCTCTCGTCTCGATGGAGCGTCTTCGCGAGCCAAGAATGACGATCATACATACGCCAATTTAACATCAGACGGTGATGTGCAGTTACCAAGTATGTCCAGCGTTGTGTCGAATATCGGAGCCAACTCGAATTTGCCGGCTGTCACCGCGATAACGACGACGACGGAACCGTTACCCAGCATCTCGAGCTTCGTCAACAGTATTGATCGCGCCAGCTCCAGCAGATCGACCCAAGTATCGGATACTAATGCTAATTATTCCTCGATGGGCGACGCAATTGCTAACGATAATAATAATAACAACAACAATAACGGCAACGATGATAACGTCAACGCTGATTCTCTTGCGCAAAGTTCATCGAATCAGGATGGAACGAGTTCAACTTTTAAAGCGTGGCTCGCTAATAATAGACAACGTAAACAGAAACATCTCAGGTGAAGAAATACAGATATATTCTACAGAAATATATACAGCGTGTTTGGTTTTAAAAGTATTAAAATACTTACATTTTTCGCTAGTAAAAATATAAAATCAAACACATTATATATTATCTCTTTAAGTAAATTACAATTTCGTATAATAATGATTTGTTTTTTCAGACATTTAAGACATTTGATGACGCTTCGCCGCACGAGACAAAATCTTAGAGCTCAGTTAAATAATCCGTTTCGTCATTGCGATCATGTCAGAAGACCGTATTTACGCAGAAATACATCTCAGAGTAGCAGCAGTAACAACGACAATTTAGATGCAGATATGGATATTCGAGATAGAACGCGAAGCTCGAACACGTCTGAATATTTACAAAAGATGATTCTACGACTGGAAACGTTGGTTCGACAGCAGAGAGCTTTAGCTCGGAATAGTAATACTAATAGAGGATCAGATGGTGATAATCGTCGATCAGAAGCTAGTAGAGACAATGATAATCGTGAAATGGAAGAGATTCGTGAAGCTACAAGATTAAGAGCTAGGTGAATTTAATTTTTTAAATAATTATACGTTTAATATATAATAATAATTTTATATATACATATATATAAAACATTAAATATCAAGCAATATATGTTAATGAAAGAATTATCAATGATCAACATGTTATGTTAAAATGATGTTTCAGACAAGTCCTTGGATTAATGGTGAGGTCCTTGATTCAATTCTTTGAAGTAACAAGATCAGGAAATGGCTCCCAAAACAATGTTCTCTATGAACAGATGTATAGTAAGTTTAAAATCTATTAAAAAAATATATATAAAACACATTACAGATTGTTAACAATATAATTTGAAAAAAAAAATTACATGAAATAAGTAAAGCGAAAAAATTAAATAAGATAAGTAGGTGCAAATATTTTTAGTTTTAGTCTAAAAAAATTTTAAATTTGTGAAATTTTACGTTTTCAAAACTACATTTTTCACATTTTGGAATAAAATCGCTCATTTCTCGATTATTAATTTATCCGTTTTCCATTTTTTTTTCAGAACTGTATGTGCTGTTACACCTGGCGCTGGAATTAACAGATTTACTACTAGCACAGTTAGTAATAACGAGACGCGAACTGGAATCTAGTCAATACAGATCGTTCACTAGCGATTTATCGCTTGACAACCAGAACGAGGGGACGCGTAATAACAACAGCGTCGACAGTAGTCTGCAGACAGAGAACAATCGTTGGAATGATAACACATCGAGGCGAAATACAGATAGAGAGTGGTTTCCGAGACTCCGTAATATGCCGAGCACATCAAACAGCGATCCCGTGGAGGATCTCCTCTCGTTAAACAGAAGTAATAGACGTTTCAGCCTCATGGCGCAGCAATTGAAGCGGCTATTTCATCGGAGATCGACGCAAATCGATAATAATAATTCATCCGAGAATCAAAGCGATCCAGTAGTGGCTGCACCTAGCAACGATAACAATGGTGATGACAGCAATTATGACGATAATGCTCAAAATGAAGATAATCGGCACTCGACTTCCGAGCATGCTCTCTCAGCGGAGGTGCAGAGTATCGTGGAGAGAATTCAGAGTAGCAGCTCGATCGACAACGACGAGGTCAGGACGGGAATTGAAAATCGAATGCTTGACGCTGCCCATAATTCGCGTGAATCGCTAAACTTGTACGACAGCTATCGACGAAATTACAGAATTGCCACGGTGTCCGAACCGACGATGAGAAGACGCGTCGACGAAGCGAGAAATTCTCAGGAAAGGGAAAGCGGGCTTAGCAACGAGAACTGGAGGAGTTACGTCTCCTCGTCGGGAGACGAACAGAGTAGCTTCAGATCGCCCACGCAGAGACTTCGGTGGCTCGCGGTCGGCAGTCGTCAAAATGCGCGAGACGCGTCATTCGAGCGTCACTCTTTGCACAGATACGGCAATTCTGACTCGAGTAGTTACTCAAACTCGCCTAACAATCGCAGATTTCTTCACGGTAGGGAAGGCGCGTCTCTTCGGCGGGAATTTAACGTGCCCGAACTACAAGTGAACAGCGTGCCGGTGAATGATTTTGACAATATGCCTGGTACTCTTCGAAGAAGACACAACACCCCGCCGATCCCGACGTCGCATATGCTTCCTCCGTACGTACTTCCTCCGTACAATAACTTCGTCCACAATACCGAGAACAGGAACAGCGATCGGACAAACGAATCGACTGTACAATCCGGAGGTTGGGCTGGAATCTCGAACAACAACAGAAATAGGGTATAGCACATTAAATCTTTTACTTTTATATGATCTTATTCATATAGTCGATTATTAATTTCGATGATTAATCTTATTTCATGAATTTTTTATTTAAATAATTTACAAATATAATGTATAATTTACAGAACACATTTATTATAAATCACTTTATTGTCTTGACCTTTAAATTTATAAATGATTCAGTCATTGCGAAAAAGATAAGATTCTTTACATATTATTCTTCAATCTTTTAGGTATTGGCCTTCTGGCGCAATCGATTTGGACCTGTTTTTATACCTCGGTTTTCCGAATTCACGGCGAATGGAGGATCACGGATTGGAGAAGGTGCTACTGCCAATCCTGCTGGTGGTGGCGGCGGTGGTGGTGATGGTGGCAGTGGCAGTGGCAGTGGAAGCGGTGGCAATAGCAGTGGCAGCGGTGGTGGCAGTGGCGGTGGCGGTGCTGGTGCTGGTAGTGGAGGTGGAGGTGCTGGAGGTGTTGGAGGTGCTGGTGCTGGTGGTGGCGGTAGTGGAGGTGCTGGTGGTGGAGGTGGTGGCGGTGGCGATGATGGAACTGGTGGAGGAGGAGCAGGAGGCGAAGGAGAGGGAGGACAAGATCCTTCAAATGATAATGAATATTTGGACATTGGTAATTTTTTAAATTGAAGTAGACACATGTCGCGAGTTATCTCTTATTGGTACAGTTAGAAAGAGAGAGAAATTAGAGAGGGTAACTTAAAATTTTTAAAAATAGAGAATAGTATTTTCTTCTATGCAAAGTTTGTTTTTTAATTCATTTAATTCATGTTTGGAATAAACATTTGGAAAATTAATAATACTCTCTCTATTTTGAGCTGTACATAACTTTAACATAGATATTTTGCCATAGAATAGTCTGTTTACTTTATTTTTTCATGTAAAATTATATTATCTTTGAATAAACATAGACATATATTATTTCTTAGAACATATACCAGTGGGCATGTCGTTCAATTCAACTTTAGAAGTGCAGAGTTATCGGGTACAAGCTTGGGACTTTTCTAATGGTGATATACCTGATATTACAGATTGTAAGTAAAATATTATAATAACATTGGAAAATATAAATTTCTCCTTTTCTGTATTTCATTATATATGTGATTTTTCAGCTGACAAAAACGTTGTGGTACGCGAGTGTAAGATTCATAATGATGCCTGTATCGATATATCTGCGGATGGAAAATTACTAGCAACTCTTTCGCCATCGGGTCGTATTAACGTAACTACGATGTTAGGTAAGTATATTGATTTATTTGTAGTGATAGAATTAGCAGTATTTTCCAATTTTGGAAAACACTGCTAATTTCATCACAACATTTTTTTATTTGTGTAATATAATGTAGATAATGTAATGTAGTGAATGTAATGTCTTTCAAAATATTAACACATTTTGCAACAAATATGACTTGATAATTTTTTTTATTTTAAAGAGATAATTTTTCTTTGATTATTATTTTTATATCGCATCTTTTTCGCTTCAATAACATCTTGCAGGAAAATATATATTTTAAACTTTTTAAAGGTTAAATACTATTCTAGTATTATACCAGAATAGTACAATAAGTATTGAACAGATTGTTTTTTCTGTATTTCTGTGCAATTTTTTACGTATAAATTAAATAAAGTAAAATAAAAATTTTTATTAAAATTTTATTATGAAAAAATAAGATTACATATGATTTATTACTTTTGATTCAGGTATTTACAGTCTGCAGTGGGAAACACTGGGAGAAAGGATTTATTCGACGAAGATTGATCAAACGGTAGTATCTGTCTCGATGTCACCAACGCAACAGCATCTCTTAGTAGGGCTGGGACGCAGAGTTCATATCCCCACTAGGCCATTTCCGATGGCTCTAATTTATAAATTAATAGAGAAGCAGCCTGACGACGAGAAGACTGCCTCATCGATGGATTCGGCTGCGGAATCTGCATACGATTCCCCTGACGAGATTCTCGACGATAACATCTCTACAAATAATATCAGACGAAACAACAACAATAACGTTACAGCCAGCGATTACAGGCCGCAGGTTCAAGACTGGCGAATACGAATGAGAACCGAACTAGATATTAAACGTAACAGGGAAAGTATGGTGCTTATTCGGGAATTGTTGCAGAACAATCGAGAAAGCTCCGGCTACATCAGCCTAAACTGCATCAGATGGGCGCCGGAGCCGGGTCAAGGGATGATTTATGCAACAAATACCGGACAGTTAAATATTCTGCAGTGATTCCGTGTGCGCCCATCGTAGACAGAGAAGAAAGTAAAGACGTTCTCTACGTATTATAATGATGCTTTCTATAAATGTGTCATACGCGTACGACATAATGCAGTATCGCGATTCGCACTAAACTTCTTTTTGGTAGATTGTAAGGAAGAATCTAGGATATTGATGCATAACGAACGATGAATAACGATGTTTTTATCATCAATCAATTATCAAAACCTGATAGATTGGACGATGATAAATTTCAGACCGCAATGTGCTATGATATTTATATTTAATTCTCTGTCACAGATTGCTTTTTTATTACTCGAACCAAGTATATAAAAAACGCAAAATGTGTAGATATAATAATATATGTTTGATTACTGTATAGTTTATGCAATTTTCTATTCGTATATAATTTAAAAAGACTTTGCATTGTTTTTGTTAGATTAAATATGTAATACAAGTTGACTTTCTTTTTATGAAAGCTTCTGTTAGAATATAGTATGAAAATAGAACTGATTACAAATTATGAATTATATATTATATAGTATCAGTAAATATATATATATATATATATATATCGACATATATATATATGTATATATATATACATTGTGTATATATGCATAAAACAGATACACATATACATATATACATATATATACTTTACTGATCAATGAATGCGCGCTAGTGCTGTCAAATAAATCACTTAAAATGCATTTTGCTGCTTTTATTGTTCTTAACCATAACAAAAGAGAGAAATTTCGTGCCATATAAATCTCTGCAATATATTTATTCTGGCGAATTTTTGTAATTTATTAACTGAATCACATCGCTGATTAAAAACATATATTTTACAAACTTAATTTTGAAATAAAGATAAGATTTATTCATTTTATTTCTGTACTAAGATGAGATGTTTATTAAAATTTCGTGTATATTCGTTTCATACATACACATGTTAAAAATTTTGGCATACAATACAAATGCAAATGTACATGTTAATTAAGTAAATGACTTCAGGCACAATTTTATTTTTCTAGGAAATTGAGTGATTTTTTTTCGTGAAATTTGGCGGTTTAGAGAGAGAAAGAGAGAGAGACGAAAATGGCTCCGTTTGTGTATACAATTATCGAATTTCAACATACAACTATTGTATACATAACCGAATAACTTATAATTGTATTTCTGTGTGTATAATTGTTATTAATAATAATTTCTTTGCAAAAAGCTCACGATTTATGCATCTTACTGCCATATATGTATGCGCACATTTATCACTTTTTTACGCTTTCGTGTTATTTTTCGGATAAAAAGATAGATATTAAAAAAATATATATATATATTAAAGACGTAAATAATATAGATCTTACATATCCAAGAGAGAAAAACGTACACTTTGCATGCGACAATTATTTGAAAACACTTAAGCAAAAGCATTAATTTTTGTATTCGACAAGAAGATTTTTGCTTTTCAATTGAAAGCGAAAAATGCGACAGAGTATAAATTTTAATAGTCTTATAATACTTGTCACTTTGTGTGATCGGACAATAAAGTAATTTACAGAGTGAAAATAGACAGCACGTTTTATGCGGGTATATATACAAAACAATATTAATATATATCGGTATAGCTATTTATCACAAATTCATGTTACAAAAGCATCGGTCATAATAAAATGTTAATATTTATTACACATGAAGAGAAAGAGTTAAAAATTGTAGGACTCTATACAGACGCTAGGATGGAAGACTTAAAGGCGATCCTTTGAAATATTGCCTTCAAGCGTAAATACATATGTTATATACTTTTAAGTAACGACTAACAAAGTGGTTCGATTTATGATACACATGATTTATATGAACCTTACGCGAAATTCAGCAATTTATTTACAGGACGCAATAAGACTTGAAGATTGTCTTTATTAATGAATCTCTATTTATAAAAATAGTCATGCACCTGAAAATTTATGAAGATTTAATTTTATCGTAAAGAAATTAGCGTAAAGCGAAGGAAAATTCCACGGTGCAGTATACATTTATGTGTGTGTTCGTGTGTGTGTATGTGCAACAGTCTATACAATATAATTTTAACAATCATTTTGGCATCGCACAGTAATTGCTCGGTGATTACAAGCTTCAATATTTCTTTGCAGCATACATAATACAATAATACGAATGTAGCTGTCTTGTATTTTGTGTCTGTTAGTGCAGTAAAAATATATTTTTATATAAATCTGACAGCAAAAAATAAAAAATTGTAATCTCTGGACAGAAATTGCAGATATGTTACACTACCGCTTTTATCATCCGGTATATTATACAATATGCTATTAAAAGCTAAGAATGTACGCTGCTACTTCGTTTCCTCTCGATCGCGCACATCGATTGGACTTACAGTCGCTCTACTACAGTCTCTCTCTATTTTTAAGTTCGATCATTACAATACTCTCTGACACTTTCGTGTAATAAAATATAAAAATAATAATAAATTGTAATTGCTTTTACTCCAACCGCATTCTGAAAATCCAACGGAACTTCAGATATTATAGTTTAATTCTTATAGACATAACCAGTCGTGGTACAATATAAGACTATCTTATATTTAAAGTTCTAATCGGTATAGGTACAAAATATTAAATTATATCATACACAAGTCAATTAGTGGCGTATGATACACAATTACATTAATGGTATCTCAATCTGACCTTGGTCATATTATAGTGTAAGATGTATGATATAAAAAATCCATATCTTTTTCATCTTTTTTCTTTTTTTCAGTGAGCGTGTGTGTTCCTGGACGAGATCTTTACAAGATATTACTTGAGTGCTTTACGAAACAAATACACATAGCTGTCAGGTTTTAATCTTTTATAGCAATTTATGGCCATAGGAATCATCACTTTGCGACTTTTTATTATGCATATGAAATTATATTAATAAAAATAATTATGCAATATATCTTTGTGTGAATATATATTCATTCACAGAAAGAATATTAAAAAGATGCATTATATGTTAAGAAAAGAAGTAAGAACAAATAAGAAAAGGGACTTAATCAAATTAACTTCTTTTTCAACAATTTTGATAGAATGTAAATTGTGTGATTACATGAATCAAATTTAATATTATTACTTGACTGAATATAATATTATGGAAATAAAGATACTAATATCATGATTTATATTTATCTCGCATATTATCTAAAATTGAAAATTCTTGTAAATGGAAGTAGCGCCATATAAAAGCAATGATTCAGATTAACGTGCTTTTCATTTCTAATAAGTTTATAAAGGCTGATTTACTAATGTATTATACTATTATATGCTTATTATTACATGTGTAAATGGTGTTCTTTCTTATGTATATATGTACTAAATTATCCAAAATACATAGTTGTCCATATATAAAATTTGATAATTCAAATTAATTAAGTATCGAAAACTCCTTTTATATCAGCTAACTGTTACATAATATTGTTATACAAATATTTGAGAATGAAGAGAAAGAAAATTCTAAAATTATTCTCTGAATCAAAGTAAAACAGATAAACGGCGTATTTACATTAAAAAGCTGTAGCAAAAAAATGAAAGAATGTTAGAATGTTATTACGGTTATAAAAAAGAAATATAATTTTTAAATTCCATGATAATTTCATTCGATAATTTTTCGATGTAGAAAACAGCGAGATAGGCGGAAAGATAAAAAAGATACATACTTAAAAATAATTTGAACATACCAAGATAATGTGCATTATTTTGCTTTGGTTTGCAAATTTTAATTAGCGTACTCCGAACAAATATCGATGATTTTAGCGTGTAGCATGCTGTGTATTTTCGCTTTTTTAGAATGTTACTAGTAAGTCAGCCGTAGATTTGATTCTTATTAACTTCAGTCAATATATAAAATGCTTTGGATAATGAATAGTTGACTAATATATATCACAAGTTATTTTCTCTCCTATATAAGGACAGTACAGATAATGCTACGACTATATAAAACGACTTTACTTTTCTCACCGTTTTGCTTCGTCAGTGCGCTTCATTCTCGTATGCTTTATTATATCCACATTACAAGGTCCCAGATAGTAGAATCTTTGCATAAGCAATGGAAATATATTCATCAATATATACGACAAACAAGATTATAATAATTCTAGTTTTTCGTAATTAGCAGTTAATAACGCGATTAATCGAAGCGATTAAGAATTGTTTCAATTAAAAACAAAAAAGCCGATAAATTCGAAATTTGTTTTCTATTGAAATGTCTCTCGAATTTTCTAATGCGTAGATAATGCATTGGAAGTTATAACAAATTGAGAGATATCTAAATTTTAGAGTACATATATACAGAGAGTATCTTCCGATTATAAGACCATTTTTTGTTATATGAGATTGCGATTACTCTTCTCGTTTCTCGAGAGAATGAATCATATCTGATGTCGGAAGCTAAAATAGCCAACATCGATCATATGTCGTTCTATCTCGTTCACATTTCCGGTTCACGAGCTAATGGCAAGACTCATAAAACAATTTCCTGGAAGGTATAAAAGATCTGCGCCTCGATCCTAAACGGTCTTATAACTAGAAGATACTGCAATTAAATTTAAGATTGTGATTGCAAACGAAATTTGCAATGAAAAATTTTCCATTATGATACAACTTAGTGATACATATGGTACATGCGATATTTAGACATTTAACTCGAACAGTATAAAATAATTTGTAAAGATGTATATATAATACATCAAACATTCTTCACAATAATTAAATAGAAATGTAACAAAAATGTAGGGTAATCTAAACATTTTTTTTCAATGATTAAAATTGATCGATAATTTAATAATTGCCAAAATATTTCACATACCTTTAGGATCTGAACATTAATTCATGCACGTTGTGTTGAGAGATATCCGCATATATATCCGTATATTATATTTAAGATAAAATAGCAATGCTACGTCTAGGTCCACCTATGCATACATTGTCTAAGCTGGACCATTTTTTAATACCAGTACGTAGAGCCTCAGCTGTAACTTTGTCTTCGTAAACTCTGGACATGGCTTCTAGTTTCTGTGCCTTTTCCTTACTAAGAGGTTCACTAGGGAATGTTAATTCGTTCGCTTCTGCAAGTGTACGAAGATCAAAATAATATTTGGCATATACACTTGAAGGAACATTTATGTTGAATTGCAGCATCTCCAGAAATTGTCTCTCTAATTCATTCCTAAATAAAAATACAGAATGATTCAATTAAGATAGTGACAGATAATTATATTTTATATTTTGACAATTTTAATTCTTGTTTCATTTTTGTAAAACAAAAATATATAACAGTAAACTAAATAATACAATTAAAACAAAACTTACATATCTTCCACTGTGATATCTTTCAGTATTTGACAATAATCTACATTCCATACTGCCTGATCGTCCCAAACCTTAGATGCTAATAAAATAGCACCTAACACTATTCGTTTCCAATTAGCTGGTGTTATATCAATCTCTGCATAAGTAAGTAGGCGTTCAAGATAAACCAGTGTTATGATGGCACATTCAGCTGTGAGCTGAGCGGCATTAAACAAAGTCCTTATAAATTTATATATTTGTTTATGCTCTGGATTGTGTTTATCATAATCTTCCGAAACACCATCCCTCTGAAAGATTATATATAATTTATTAGTTTAGCCTTTCTCAAGTGCAAGAAAAGTTTTGCAATTATCTAATTCTGTTTATATTTAAATTACCGTCAATGGGTGTAGCTTTTCATCAAATATATCAATTTGTCGATGTGACGTTCTATTCTTAATATGGTAATAAACAGCTAAGGCAACGCATTTGACGGTATTTTTCAAATTAGGTTGTGAAACCGTGCTGTCGTCTAGATATATTGTACTGCAACTACTGCTCTTCTTCAAAGGCCTTGTATCCGCTATCTGATGTTGGCTCTTCTTTCTCACCATACCATCTAAAGAAAAGAAATAAAAACAAAAAGATTAACACACAAAGTTCAATAAAATCTGTTCTTTTCTTTTTATTCTAGTTTCTCCTTTTTCGCAAAGTTTCCCAAGGAAATACCCACTCTCTATCGCCTGTTTCGAGCGTTCCATGAAAATAGTTCCCGCGCACGGATGCAACGACGGATCGGAGTCCCAGTCTTCCGGCTCGCGTTCACTGATATGTTGCAAATTATTAACGCTGATCCCGCCCTCCGGCAAGTGTTCCTCCAAATTGCGCGTGGCACACTCGGGCCCAATCTCCTTGCGTCCGACCTGTGGACTCGAGTACACGCAGCAGCTATTCTTGTTCCCCATGTTGCCATGTAAGATTTCAACTCGACAACTCGGCCCTTCTTCTTCGCGAGGTCTCGCACTCTCAAGTCACTTGTTAATAATGCATACGGGAGGAATCAGGCCGCGAATAATAACAATAATGATAATCGAAATCGGTGATGCGTACGTGTTCGACTAGAGAAGAATTAGCTCGCTCTCTCGCTACCTCACATCTCGTTGTTTAATAACGATCAGCTGACGGGGCCGCTCGTACGAATGACAGTTGCGCGATTCGTCCGCCCGCTCGTCTGACTCATCTCTGTCGGCGCGAACGAAGATGCTCGCGGTCCTCCGTTTCGAGCCGAGAACAAGGGAGCACCCTGCTCTCTCTCTTCCGCGGAGAGACGACGATCGTTTATTATCCAGGGACGATCGTCAGAGAACGAGGCGCCTCGGAAAAGTGCCGGCCGATCTCGCCGTTCCCGGTGTTGCTGCTGCTGCTATGGTTAACAACCCTGGTGAAGTGGCGCACGTTCGTTCACAGCCGCGATTCGTAACGCGGTTCATTGTCGCCGCGCGATAATTCCATTCTCGTCCGAAAGCGCGTTTCACCCCCCTTTGTTTCGCCCTCCCTTCGCGTTCACTTGCTCTCGCGTGAAAGCGCTCCGAGAAGTCGCACACAACCGAATTTCTCGCCTCTTCACCGACTTCCACCACGATGTATAGTGTCATTTCACAATAGATTGGAAATGACAACTGCCGTTTCACAACTACGGACCAATCGGAACGAGGCGACCTGTCAGCTGATCGACCAATCGGAGCGAGGCGACCTGTCAGCTGATCGACTAATCGGAGCGAGGCGAGCTGTCAGCTGATTGGTCGATCCGCAACTGTCAAACTGGCAACCTATTTGTAGAATGAGCCTTATAGTTATGTACAGGGTGTCCCGTTGTAATTGACCAGCTCTAAAAATCTTTTTTATCTCATAACTCAAAAAGTAATTAACACACATATATTTTATTATAGTGTTTTGGAAAGCTCTCGAAATATTATCTTGAATTTTCTAATGTTACAGTTGTTGAGGATGGTCAATTAAAATGGATTCCCTATATATAGTCATCGAAGGAATTAAATGCCTTCTAGAAAGAAATAGTTCGGGGCCAAAAGAGAGGCTCGACTTGGGGGTCCAGTGACGTTTACAACAATCGCAAAGATGGCGAGATACATGGTATGTTGACATTTACTTGAATCGCTCCTCGAAACTGGGGGTGTAGGGAGGCCTTTTAAAAAAATCCGTCAACATACATATTACATAATAATTCATCAAGTGACGTCATTGACTGACACTTCGTGATGCACTCAATCGGTGCCGGTTTGTCGAGTTCCTCCACGGACGGAGACGACGTCGCGATCCCGTTGGTTAAACGCGATCAGAGTTGCCAGGCGATCGACGAGGGCACCGGGGAACCGTGCGGCGAAACCGAGGGTCTGCGCATCCTCGACGAGTTTCGTAAATTGTACGAAGGCCGCATCGAGAAGATCGAAAGGGAAACCGGCGGCGAGTCTGATCGAGTCTCCGTAAGCAGCATTTCTTATGGAATTGCCTTGCATGACGTTTCATTCGATTCTCTCTTCGCGTCTTTTGTACGACATGTCAAGTTTCAAGCGCCTCGATAACTGCTGCAGCTCCTTGGAGACTCCTTGACCTCGTTCGTAATTTGAAATAATTTTGTGTTCTTTTTTTTGCAGATAAAACTGCAGATAATGAGCGATTGGATTAAGGATTTGGGAGAGCAAAATACGATGCTAGTGCATACCGTTGAAGATTTGGAGCAGGCTGCGTGTAATAGAGTTAAGTTATTAGAAGAGAAGCTAAAACAATCGTCTCAAATAGTTGTAGATAATTTAGCAAGATCGAGTCACTCCGAAAAGGTAAAAGAGACAGAGAAAGAATTTAATTTTGTTATTTTTGATAAATATGTATAACTATGTATTTTCTCGGTAGGCTTTAAATACACTTTCAAATCGTGTCAATCAATTGGAGAAGGATGAGGAATATTTGCAACAGAAAATAGAATATCTACAAAATGACATTAGAGGATTGTTAGAAGTAATTCGTCGTGCACGTCAGCAAAATGTTTGGAATCTTGACGGTATTACATTCCTCGAGATTCAACCTGAGGATATTCCAATTCCAGAGTAAGTCCTTTAATGCATTTGGTCAGTCAAATGATTATTTCATACTTTTACAAAGAATTTACTAATACAACATTGTTTTACCATTACAGCTGTATTTGCAGTCAGGTAAATATGTGTGTAAATGCAGCCAAAAAGCTCAGATTTATTTTAGATATAGAGCATGCTGGTAAATTTCAAAAAGCAAATTATCTGTGCAAAAGCATGTGATACAATATTGGTGCTATACATTTAACGTGCAAGCTAAAAGCTTTTCTTTGGCCCTCCCTACACTCTTTATATTAAATTCAATTATTTCATATACACATATATCTGTATTCAATAAATTGCCAGTTGTTTCACTTAATAGAGTACTATATTTTCAAGAAATTTTATTTACATACAATATATAATTTATCTAGTATATTACATAATATTTTAATATAATATTATTAAGTATAATAATCTTTCTCTATATGATATTTAATAATATATCTTTAAATTAGGAACTGATAGACACTGAACATATAAAATCCTTGAATTTACAAGTAGAACAACTTCAAGAAAATGAGAAAAAAATGATCAGGTAAGATATGTATGAAATTCTTAATATTATGTTAAAAAATATTTGTCATTAGGAAATATTATTATCTAACTCTTTGGAATGTAATTGTCATTTATTTTTATTTGTTTTTTTTATCAGATAGCAAACTAATATCAATACTTTGTTTTCATTCTAAATATGTATGTTTAGAGATTATGTTTGACATTTTTAATTATTTATACAAGAAGAAATATAGCTTTATATTTTTGCATTCTCTATTATAAATTCTCGTATATGCTATATATTCTTGAACTCGAGATAAAAGAATATTTTCTTTTCAGATCTCAATTAGAATTAGAAGGAAAAGTAGCAGAGCTCATGACAGAATTATCAGTGAAAGATGAAACTATAAATAAATATGTTTCTAGACTTCAGTGTTTTTGCGAGAAGCTCAAGGAACATGCTAAACAAGCAAATGAAGTTATTAGTCATCCAATGATAAATGATGATGTAAGTATACTTTTTATATTTCTTATATACAGATAGAAACTCATTCTGAATCTCTTTCAATATTCTAAGTATTGAGTTATTTTATAGAATTTAATATGGAGGCAATCATGTTGTAATAGTACAATTGTAGGAAAAGAAAGGAACAACTATTACAGAGTTAAAAATAATCATTTTTGTTATCTATTTAATATATTCTGAATTTTACATTTTGCAAGCAAGATAATTTACGTTTACCAATATTTTGGGAGCAAGAGACTCTTATTTTAAATTTATATTGCTGTTCAGATTAGCTTAACACCTGACATTCTGGAAAGTGTATTAGATGTAAAAGATTCGGAAAACAGAAACTTACGCAGACAACTCCAGGATGTTGAGGCCAAGCTTATGGTGTACACTTATGAAAACAATATGGATACATCTAATCTGCAAATACAACTAGAAGAAAAATCTAAAAGAATACAGCAACTGGAGGACAAAGTGGCTCGCCTCGAAAAAGTAGATTTTTTATATTAAAATATATATTTTATAATTTATGTTATTAATATATTATGTTTTATTAGATTTTTTTTTAATTTTTAATATTATTTATAAAATAGAATTTTTAATTATTTTAAACTTATCTAATTATAATGTGTATTCTTATTGATTTCAGGAAGCTGTGGAAACACGGGATACACTGACGGCGGAAATCACTGCATTGGAGAAACAAAATTATCACGCGAATATAGGGAATCTTTTGAAGGATGAATTAATCAAAGAGATGCGTAAAGAACTGAAGGAAACGACTTTAGAGGTACAATATAAATCCATAAAATTTTAAATGTAAACTCACATTTTTTTTACGTATTTGTAGAAAGGTTTTTCTACTTTTACTCACGATCGTACCACTGCTATCACTAAGATGAGTTCCCACGAATCCTCCGAGCAATTTCCAGTATCAAAACATATAACCGCGCAACGAAAGAACGATGTATCATTTCTGCATGATTCTAAAGACCTGTCAAATGAGAGACAACACGTATCAATAATCAATACAAAGTTACAAAATAGATTGCTTAATCTACAGAACTATTCTCGACACCGCATAGATACTCAAGCTGCTCGATGCAAATATTTGAAGAATATTGACAGAAAAATTTTACAGACTGCTAGAAAATTATCACCTCCTTGTAAAGACAGTAATTGGCAAGATAAAACCACGACGAATACTTATGTTTGTTCGGCCATATTGCATTTTCCAGATAAGATTAATAATATCCCGAAGTAAACTAAATTGGATTTTAAATGTAAATTACTAAATTAAGACATCCTTAATATGATTTTAATAAATTTTGTATTTTTGTCTTAAAAATTTTTATCTTTTGACGAATATTGACATTCTCTGATGAGAATTTTTTAGAATTAATCTAAAAAACTAAATTTCTTTTTTACAACTTTATTTGTAAAAAGAAAAAATATATATCAACATGATTGCCTCACTTATAAAATTAACAAAGAGTGATGGCAAATTTCGCCCATTTTTGGGACTTCGAATTTCAAACTTTTTTCATGGTAAATAGTACTATATGATAAGACATTAATCCCAATAAAATTTCAAGATGAGCATAGTCACGGTTCCGGAAGTACAAGGGGGTGGAAGTGATGATTTCTAGTTAGGTTGTATGAGAAACTATCACTTTCACTTCTTCATATCTCCGGAACCTTATCATATAATACTATTTGGCATAAAAAAAGTTTGAAATTTTAGGTCCCAAAGTACGACTCTATAAAATAAAACAAGTTTTTTGCCATCACTCTTTAAAAAAATTATAACATTTATAACAGATACATTTTTATTCTTAAGAGTTACTAGACAAAATAAAAGTTGAGAAACAATGCAATTACTCTCATGAATTACTTAATATATTTATTATATGCAATTGACAGAAACTGAAATGTAGTTTTTACTACGAATTTTTTGTACTATTATTTATACATATTTAACAATTTATGAGTAAATTTTATGTTTCTTAACTTTTATTGCAATAGGCGTAAATAATACAATATATATTTATATGTTCGAGAGTTTTGCTAATGCTTATTCATATTTTTGTAATTTCAGGATGCGACTTCTCGGAAAGTCCGTATCGATACAAATAGTTTTCCAGAAGTGAGTAAAATCAAATGTAATCGTCATAGATAACATAATTTTGAAATGACAATATTGTTTCGTTTTCAGAAATGTTCTTTGTCTGCAATAGATATTTCACATTCTAAGAAGGTTTGTCTAAATAGTGTTGTGTATCACTTTTTGCATGTATATTTAAAAAAGAATATCTTTATCTGTGTATAAATAAAAATTTATATATTATTATTTTTAATTCTATTTCAGGATGAATTTATATCATTTTTGAATGGTACAAAGGCACATGTGCAAAAAGAATGTGAAATTTTGTTGGATTTAAAGTTTGAACTAGGGAAATTTGTAGAAAAATTAACTGTTGAAGATAACGAGGTAAAAAAATAAGATATTTTTAAAAATATTTTTACTTATTTATTAAGAAAGCTTATATTTATAATTATTTTCCATTTTCCTTTAACTTTAAAGAATATATTTTTCTCAGGTGAATGATTGTATTATATCTAACAATTGTATGAACAAAAGCAAATTTTTTGCAAGTGGCATGTCGGACAAGTTGGTCAATTGTATTGAAATTATTACCAGAATGTACTCAGAAAGAGAAAAAGAAATCACCCTCTTTGATTGTATGGTATGTATATGTATATATGATACATTTTATTCTAATAAAAAAGAAATTATTTTATTCTTTGATTATTTCATAAAAATAATTATACTGTTATTTTTATTTTAATCACATTATGTCTTTCTGTAGATAAAGAAAGAAGATAATCATTGTGTATGTATTGATTCTAAAGATATTAAGGTAAAATTATATATGTTTCAATATTTCTTTTTATCATATTGTATTTTGTATATATGCATATGTTATACTATAAAATAATTATATATTAATTTTTCAGTCAAATATAAATAATGCACGACAATTCAAGTTGATGGAAGAATTCAGAGTATGTACTGTAGAAGCTCAAGCAGCAACAGAAGATATTCGTGAAGAGATAAATACTGTTATTTCCACATTTAATTCACGACATCAAAACGTACGTTTATGTATTAATACAATAAAAGTACATAAATATTTGTGATTTAGCAATTAATGTTAATTTAATATGTTTTTAGTATGAAGAATTAAGCAAGATGGTTACTAGCGCACAAACTTCCTTAACAAGAACGCGAGAAGGATTAATAGAAGCTGTTGATAGATTAGAATTACAAGTAATGAATATAAATTTATATATATGAATATATATATATAATCAAAATATACAATAGATATAATTAAAATATAGTAGTTATATTTCCAATGAAGTATAAATTGATTTTAAAGTTTCGTTATATATGTTATTTTTGTATATAATCGAAAAATGTATTTTTATTATTAGGAGGAAGAGAGATTGAGACACAATGAAAGAATTGCGAACGGCAAGCTTAAACTGAAAGATATAAAAAATGAAATTAATCAGGTTCAATCAGAGTTATCCCGTTGTATTAACGGTATGCAGACGAATATACAGGTTCGGAACATTTGCTTTAAATAATTATTACAATAGATTTTTCATCAATTTTATTTTGTTATATATAAAATTTAAATTTGAATTGTTGTGCATTATTTCAAATAAATTTTTTAGGAATATCATGAATCCGGATACACAGAAGCATGCGTTAGTAATGATTTATTGACTGTTGTAATGGAAGAGGTTGAGCAGATTCTCATTAATATGCAATTATTTCAAACTCAGGTTAGTTTGAAAAGAAATCCATCATTAGACATATATATATATATATATATATATATATATATATATATACACATATATATTAAATTATTTCCATTAAAATTTGAATATCTAAATTATATTTTTATTATAAACGCAATTGTTTGAAAGAATTAATGTTGAATGAAATAGTCTTATTAATATATAGTTGTAATATAGAGGAGATTTTGACGTTTTATGTACTCTGATATTTATTATAATTCTCTTTTGAATGTAACAAATCTTTTAGGGTGGTTGTACAACGTCAATACTAAAGGGATTAAAAAGCCAGCTAAGTACTATAGATAGTTCTCTAAAAGATTTACAGAGAAAAACTGGTGAAGTGGTGAGTATTCTAAGAGAAATGTAAGAAAAATTGATGATGAAAAATGTTATATTCTTCTAATTACACATACAATTATGTATGCAGCTCTTAAACAACGAAATTGCAAAAACGACATTCTGTGAAAGGGAATGTAGATTGGCTAAACTCGAAGAAGAGGTTGACTATGCACATACAAAAATGCAAGATGTATTGGAAACTTTTCTTTCCACAAAGCAGGAAGAAAAGGTTATTTATATATTAGATACATTTATTAATATTTATATATTTGATTGATCAAAAGGTTCGTTTTTTTATTTTATGAATGTTTTTCTTTGTCAAAGACAGATTTTCTTTTTCAAATTTAATTTTTCTCGAATTAAATTTATTTTAAATCTCAGTTATAAATCAAATTATTTTTACATTGCAAATTATTATTTTTTAATTAATATATTTACTTCTTCTCTTTCTTCCGTTTTTATTTATATTAAATAAGAAATAATTTTTTATCAAGAGAAAATAGTTTATTATATAATAAAAATAAATAAATGATTTTTTTTATTTAGTATAAAGAAATATATATTAAATTTATAATTAATATCAATTTCAATAAATTCAAATATTGTTTTTTCAGGAACAATTTCTTTACTATACCTTTGACACTCAGGTATTAAAGCAAGTGTAATTACTGTAAATAAATGTAATCTTTTTACTTTATAATTATATATAAATATATATATTGTCTTATAGGAGGTGAATGACATCATAAAAACGAAAGAAGAGTTACATAAATTAAGAAAGGAATATGACGATCTAAAGCTCAATATGGTCCAGGTATACAAGTGTATAAGTTCTTTAATTCATTTATATTAGAGCTTAATTAGAGTTTAATTAGAGCTTAACTGCTTAATTATATATATATATATATATATATATATATATATATATATATAATTGATGTTCTATACATTAAATATATGTATATGTTCTAGCAATCATGTCAGATAAAATATGATGAAAAATTAAATAAGTGGAAAAATCATATAACTGATCTAGAAGATCAAATTAGAGTGTTGCAACATGAGGTAAACTTGTAGCTTATTTATTTACGAGAAAAAGCTGTTTTTTAGCTTGAGCTATTTAATATTATTCTGTGACAGATAAAATGTAAACAAGAAGCAAATAGTTTTTTAAAGAATGGTATTCAATCCATGGAAAAAGAATTGAGCACTGTACGAACAAAGACAGAAAATTACAGACAATGTCACAGCAAAGATAGTATTGAATTAAAAAAGAAGATAATAGAGTTAGAAAATATTGTAAGTATTAGTTAGAAAATTTAAACAATTTTTTATAAATTTAAAATCACTTATCAACATTAATCATTTAACATCATAATCAATTTCTAGATCAAAATGCAAAAAGAAATAGAGAATGATCTTCGAAAAAGTTTAAATAACGTAACAAATATTAAGAAATCTACAGAAATCTCAAATACTTTTGTAAGTAAATTCTTTAATTATATATGCACGTATATATTTCTATATTTTCTTCTTGTTTTATAAAAATTCAATCTTATTACAAAGCACATGGATTGTGGCACAGAAGCAACACTCTTACGCTGTGACTATCCATCTAAACATGAAGTAATTATCATAACTATTATAAATTTAATAAATATTATTTAATTTATAATTGCTGCAGTTATGTATTAAATGTATACAGTATATAAACTTTATACTATAATATAAAAATTGCTTATAATATTTCTTAATAAAATTATGTAATATAATTTTTTAATACAGAATATATCTGACATGTTTAAAACTGTGCAAGATGAGGTGCAATCTGCAAAACTAGCAGTCCAAGAGCTTGAAAGTGAATTTAAAAAGTCGGTTTGTATCTTTTTATTTTATATATTACATCAAGCTCAAATACAAAATATGTTTAAAAAAAGTTATTATAAAAATCGGTTTACAGATACGCGAAGAATCATCTCTCTCTTCTGTTTCGGCAAGATCTGTTGTGTCATTGACAGACTCGTTGGGGAAATGTAAAGAAAAATTGGACGTTTGTTCCCACGAGTTAAGCAAATTGAAAAGTGCTATATATTCCAAAGAGAAACTGGTAAGTTATGTGTGTATGTTTCTTATTAAGTTTCATTCTCTTTAGAATAATACATGCATTACAATACAGTATATTTAAACAATGCATATTTATTATATAAGTAATATACACTATCTATTTTAAATTTTAATATTTTTTATAATCATTATAAATATCAAATTGAGTGTTCTATCTTTTCAATTTGGAAAAAATGCGACATATAATTTTTTTACTTTTGAATCTGTTTCTGCATAGATAGATCTATATTTATTATAATTATATTACACACAATTAAATGTAAATTTAATTATCAAAATTATTTTAGCTACAAAATATGGAAGAAGTCATACGAATACAACGAGATTCCTTAACAATAAGTCAAACAGAAGTAAAAGATTTGCATCAGAAACTGCAAGACAAGGTAAACTGAGAAGTCAATAGTGTATATTTCAATTGATAAGCGATCTTATATTATATGATAATAATTTTTTAAAAACGTCATATAATATTGTTTTTTAAATTGAAAGTTTAAAATTATTACTCACAATATGATTATTTACATTTTTTCTGTATGATATATTTTTATACACATTACGTATTAATAGACGACATGTGTTAATGTACAATATTAGAAATACAAAATTTATCTACTTGTCAAGAATGAAGTTTGAAGGTATGTATTGACAAAATATTATAATGTACAAAATAAATCTTTTTATAGATTGATAAGCAAAGTCTTACTATCACGCAATATGAGAAAGAGAAGAACGAATTGCTGAAGCAGGTTTGTTGTTTTTTTTTTATCGTTTATTTAACGCCAATAAGATTTGCGTTTCCTAACATTATATGTTATGTTTCATAGAATGAACTCCAGATTCAAACTATCGGGCATTTACAAAATGCCGTTGTTGAAGCTAAAAGAAATTTGGATCAAATGGGTCATAAAACGATGAGCGATGTGAGTGAGCTGAGATCTGCGATATCGTCTTCGGCCTTTAATCACAGAAACGTGCATGATGTTTAAACGTGTAAAATTATGAATAGTTGAAATTGCTATTTAGCTTTTGCGCTAAAATGTATTTATTACAATTGTAAATAATGATTGATGATTATTAAAAGTATGATCTCTCTAAAGATGATGGATTATTTTTCTCTTTGTTTTTAATGTGTTTTTATGTCATCGTAACAATGCGAATGTAATATAAGCATGATATATTGCTTGTTTAATTAAAATGTTTGAAGCTTTGTGATATATGCCGGTCACATTTAAATATTCTATTTTTAAAAATATCAAGAAATTATGTGTGTGTGTGTGTTTATATACAAGCTATCTAGATTAACAAGTATTTCCTGGATAATTCAGTTATAAAGCTGTTATACTGTGCAATTAACAAATAACACAAACCACGTAAGTGTCTTCTGTTTTTAGATCTAAAAAAAAAGAAATTGTATGAAAGAAAAATGCATCGTGTTTTTACAGCTTTGCAAGAAAGATGAAACTATTCGTGAATTAACGATGGTCATTGATGAAACGCAGCATCAATATAATGAATGTTTTACAGAGGTAAAGAATATATATTATTATGTATTTATATCGGCTAAAAATTTCTTTAGCTTAATCGATACATTATCAAATATTTTTAATTCAATTTGTATATACTCATAAAGGCAACTAATCAAGACTTATTATTGGATTTGCAACGAGATGCTATTGACAGTCTGCACAAGAGAATTCATTGTCTGGAGTATGATAAATGTTTAATTATTACTACTTTGCATACAATGTATTCTTCAATCTTAAGTGTAGTGCAGGTACGGAGACTTTATATCTTTCAATAATTTATATAGAGAATAATTAAAATAATAAAAAATCTTGTACACTATCAATAAAGAAATATGCACATACTGAATAAGTGTCATATTTTTCATGATATGAAATATAATAGTTTGTAACGAAAAATAAGAAAAAGATATGAGATGTGATTCAAAGAATTAAAATTATTTTTTACAGAAGTAATATCATTTGAATTTTTCAGGAACAAATACACGATCATGTAAAGGATCTCCGGGAATTGAAATGGAAGGTACAGTTTATACTTCTGTTTTATAATGAAATTTGTATCTTTATACCGTAATATATTTATTTCGAAATATATTTTGTCACAGATGGATAATTTTATATGGATGAAGACGTACTCTAAATCATCTAGAGACAAAAATTGCGATACTCAAGATCTGGAATATTTTTCGAATAGGATTGTATGTAAAAGGCCACAGCACCTGGAAGGACATTCAGGTAATTTCTTGTGTAAGATAAAATCTAAGACAAAATTTATACAAAAATAAATATATTAATATCTTAGATAAAGATGTGGAAAATGCCAATCAAATACAACAACTAGCTGAATTACAAAAAGTGAAAGATACAGAATGCAATTTAAGATGTGAAAATCAACGGCTTAAGACCGATTTACAGTGTCGCAAATCAGAAATTGACAATTTGATGAAACAAATAGAGCATGCTAAACAAAAGGAAAATGATTATGAAAAACTTTTATCAAAGGTAGAAGAAAGAGAAAAAGAGGTAACTATATTTAAATCTTTCGTCCTTGTGTATTTTCAATTATTTTATATCATCTTAGCCTCTTAATAAATTTGATTGCATGACAATATATTATAGTAACATCAAGAATGTAAAAATAAATCCCTTTTAACAATTTAAATCTTATAATTAAATAAAATTCATTTAAATGTAGAGATGGAAATATTAGTAAGATTCCAGTATGAAAAAAAAACTAAAAAAAGATCGTATCTATTTTTGTTATCCATAATTAATAAGTATATCTAATTGATCTAATAACACTGGTTGACAAACAAGTTCGGAGATTTCCAAAGCGTATTCTTGTAGATTACATGCTGATTACGAATCCGCATGTAATCTACGCGATTTTCGCGGCTGGATTCATAATCAGCATGAAAAAATCTACAAGAATACGCTTTAAAACTCTCTGAACCTTTTTGTTTGTCGAACAGTGTAATTAATACGTTTTGTTTTTGCAAGATCGTTTACTAATTCTATTAAAAATTTTGTAGATTGACATTTTAAATGGTACAATCATTAATAATGAAGAGATCATTAAGAATCAATCTGATGAACTTGAAGTACTTCGGAAGAGATTACTCACGAAGAATCAAGAGATGGAAGAAGATTTATCTGAATTAAATATATCGGAACGTGAGATGTTGAATACTATATGTGATCGAATATATTCTTTGAAAGTTCTACTTCAGGAGAAATCGGATAATATGGTTAAATTGCAAGCTGATTACGAGTTACTTAAAGTATACATAAATAATCAATATAATAAATATATAGAATACAAAGAGTGATTTACGTCTATTTGCTCTATTAATCACATTTTGTTCCAGAATGAGAATTCTATATTAAAAAGGCAGAACGATATTACTGAAACTCGAGCTCAAGATGATATCTTTCAATTAAAGAAAAAGGTCATATATAAAAGTAGTATTTTGCATTTATCAAAAATGGCGAAACTTTTATGTGATTATTTTTTAAATTTTTTAGCTCAAAGAAACACGTATAAAATTGCATCAGACAGAAAATGACTATCAGGGATTGAGTGAAGATTTCAATGAAGCTCAAAAACAGTTAATGTCATCAAAAAAACGCGAAGCAGATTCGCAAGAATCATTAATAAATATGGTAATATGTTATTATGAAATAGATAGCATTTTCACATTATTGTATTATACACATATATATATTACAAATTTATATAAAGTTTATATTTTACTATATATTTATATAATTACTAAAATTGTATGTATTACATTTTAGGAAAAAGATTATTGTTCTAAAATCGAAAAAATAGAAAATGAAGCGGCCAGTTTGCGTGACTTGATGGACAAATTGAGTAAAGAATTAGAAGAAACCAAAAAAGAACTTGCGTCGAAAAATATTGAGCTTTGCCAAGCGCAAGATAAATGCAAAAGTTACACTGATCATTTGAGTGTCATACGTCAAGATGTATGTGTATATATATATTTATAATTTTATCTCACAAATAAAATAGAAATAAATTTCTTGTGTTCAACACATTTTTACAATATTTTAGCTCAAGACGGAAAAGGATGAATTAACGAAGGCTGAGAATGTGAATCGCGACTTGATTCAACAGTTGCAGGAATACATGAACGAAAATTATCATCTTGGTCAACAAAAAATTTCACTTGAGCAAAATAATTCCACTTATATAACCGAGGTACAATAATGCTCCTGCCTGTAATAATGGCTCAAGTCAAAATTTGTCGAATTTTACATAAACGTGTGAGGAGTCAAATGTTAGCCTTTTTCATGTAGAATTAAATGCCATTTTTGAAAAACTTCAACAAAGCCATTTTTTGAGAATAACATTTTTTAAATACCCATATATTTATTATTATAATTTAATATCATTTATTTTTATTTTAGTTAAAGGACATGCGCAAATCTTTGTTTGAATTGAAAAAAGAATGCCATTTAAAGGATCAATCTCTAACATACATGTCGGTTGATTTGACTGAAGCAGCTATGAGCAGATCGGAACTCTGTAAGGAATCTCAATATATAATTTCATGCGTCCGTGATTGCATGGAACAACAAAAAAATACAATGAAACTTTGACAAACAATTTGGAAAATAAGCAACAACTTTTGATGCAACTTGTATTTGAAAAAAAGTAAGTGTATGTATGTATAATAATTTCAAATGTTTTTTTATTTTTTTTTATTTATCCTCAAAATTAATAGTATTTTTTTCTGTATTATGTATCTATTTATTTAAATAAAAATTATTTTTGTAGAGCGCTATTAAGTAAAATCAAGAAGTTGAAACGAATTAATTTATTGGCACAGAAACTGAAACGAACGCACAGACAATTAACTAGTAGGAGTAAAAAGGCGCATATGAATGACATCTCGATTAAAACACGTCAAAATGTAAAAACAGATTTATACAAGGTTAGTATTTATTGAAAAGATAATCTTTGAAAGTAAAAAAATCACAAAATTCTTTGATTACTCTATATATATCTTCTCTTGGTTTTAGAAATATTTCACAGAACCCATAAAAACTAGTCAATGTATGTCAACACGCGGTGACTCTTGGTGGTTTCCTAAAATGGAATATTTAATAAATGAGATGCAGAGAAGTAATCAATGGTGGAATGATAATTTTAATCACGCGACGGAATCCGATACTTCATTGGAAGAGAACCGTGATTACGGTTATCAGTCTTCTTCTGCAAGCAAATGAAGAGAAGAGAGAAATTTTCTACGTGATAAAGACTGATGAAATAATATGCTAAAGAAACACATCGACGTATTGTGTGTCGTGATGGTGTGTGAAAATTAATAACGTAATTTATATTTGTGCTGTCTTTTTTTTGCGTGAAAGTTTCTCTCTCTCTCTCTCTCTCTCTCTCTCTCTCTCTCTCTCTCTCTATATATATATATATATATATATATATATACACATACATATATATACATATATATATCGTAATTATAAAATGTATCCTTTTTTTAAAATAAATAGAAGTGTCTTGTAACACGTATGAATTTATTTATCACTGCCGCACAACAGTACAGTAATGAGTCATATAAACAAGCTGTAATAACATGATATTTTCCATATATATTTTGTGAAAAAATTCAAGTATTAGTTCAGCTTGGTTTGGTGTCAATACTTCTGTACAGTTTGATGGATTCTAAAATTGTTGAGAATACTGAATAAATATATATTATATACAATATATAAATTAATATGTATATAATATTAAATTATTCGATTATAAAACAATTACCATAATGATATATGAAAGAAGACGTTCGAAAAAATATTTATATGTTTCTTCAGCTGTGTTCCAATAGTTTGCGAGATAAAAATTATGAGTTGAAAATATTAATTCTATAACTATAGAAATTTGTCTATCAGTGAATAATTTTTCCCTAAAATATAAAAAAACAATATCATCCCTTTGCACTTTAAAACTATTATATCAATTGTAAAAAAGGAAAAAATTAAATACTATAAAATATTTTGCGTGTGTTCATACTTAAAAATTTGAAAATTTGCCATAGAAGTTTTACAAGTATCTCTTTGTTTTTATCCTTGCATAATACGTCACATAAAATTTTTTCTTCTGAAAATAATGAAAAAAACAGTAGATGTAATTAATTAGAATGTATATTTCTTAAGTTATGCATTATTGACGATTCTAATAATTTTAAGCAAAAAATGCGCATTTTTACCGAGAAATAATAAAACTAATTTTTTGTCCTTTCGTTTTCTCATGCAAGCTATATCTTCAAATGTTATTAATTTGGAAGATGGACAACTATACGGACGATGCAACGATATATTATGAAATTGCCAACTTCCATATATATTGTCACAATTTGTAACACTTTTCAACTCGGGCGCAGAATGTACTTTCCTAAGTACAATTTTCTTATCATCATTTAGTGTGGTGCACTCGGATAGAAACCTGCATTTTACTTCTATTGTCGCATTTGATTTACTGTTACATGTATTCATATTTATACCATATTTTGATGTCACGATAAAAGCGAGTATACAAATAATACTAGCAATGTATTTACTGAAGTATATTAATATTTGACATAACAAATGTATGAATATATAAATAAATTCATTAACAAAAGAATCATAAAAAAGAGATCATTTGTAAATTGATAAATGCATATAGATATTCAATTAAAACAATAAATTATTGTATTTGTCTGTGTAATAAATTCACGCCTTCTAACAAACAATATTCTGGTCGAATGAATAGACAATTATAAAGAACCATCGTAATATTCACAAGTTTATTTTTTTTTACCGTGTAATTCATTTATAATTCATTATGAGTTGTCAATAAAATTAATATACAATATGTTTTTAGAGCAAGAAATTGTTATATGTGTTACAAACTAAGAAAGGAAATACATAGTATAATAGCAGCAGGAATAGCCTCTCCTATCTTACAAGATCTTCGCGTGCCAAAAATTCATTAGACGTTGCATATTTTAAATGTATTATTATTATCAATATTTACGGTGTAATTATTAACGGTATATTATATATATATTTTTATTAATAATTATTATTAATATTATTTATTATTATTAGCATTACTTATTACATATATAAATCATATTTATCTATATGATTTATATAATATATATATATATAATTGTATTTATATATATATTTATATATTTATAACGAACACCGCCCATTACACTACTAGAATTACAAATGGGAGCTTTCTTTACCACCTCTTAATAGATCTGATACTCAAAATAGATGATATATCGTCGATTACATTGAGACGCAGGCTCTTAGTCAATCACTCAAGCAAAATGTTTGCGAATGTCCCACACAGTTCACTTCCCACTCTGTATTTTTCCCAAGTTGTGTGCGTCCTCCCTTCAAATTCATCGTAGCACACTTGTAGTGTACTTATCTTTGTAGATTATAGTACATATCTGTAATCAGAAATAGATAGCGCGTCTACACTGCAATATTATTCTAAGATATGCATATAAACGCGAGTTTAGTCAACATAATAAGAAATAGGTATCGAATAGTTTAGCTTAATTAGAACCTTTTTTAGATCAACAATATAAAACTAAGTGTATTGATGTGTTAACATATAAATTTTCTCAATTAATATACTAACAACTTACCTAATTTAATAAACATTTCTGAAAAATAACTAATTTTCTCAATAGAAATAAAAGCTATAAATGATTGTTCAAATATATATCAACATTATTCAAGTATAATGCAAAGTATAGATTTTTCAAATATATATATATATATATATATATATATATATATGTATATATATAAAGATTGTTTCTTTTCTATGTACATAAATAATGAGGAAAATGAGAATCACATGTATAATTCCATAATGTACTGTATTACAGTTATCGAATATCTACAATGCATAAGAGAGACTAACTATACTATAAAAACAATTTATTTGCCTGACGAATATTAAAAACTTCTCTACACAAGGATGAAACCTACCTGTGATTTTAACAGAATGTATCTAGATAATCTCGTATCTCATAAAAAGAAAGAAAAAGAGAGAGAGAGAGAGAGAGAGAGAGAAAGAAAGAGAGAGAGAGAGAGAAAGAGAGCGGAAATAAATATATAATTAAGATTACAAGGATATTAGAGATTGTGAAGAGAAAGATTGCACCCTGAGAATTTCTTTTTTGGTAACAATTTTAAATAGTTTTACCTATATATCATATTATTACAAAAAATAATATATTTCAAACATACATTCCAATGATACGAATCATTGCACAGATGATGGGAGTATTATTATAAATCGCAAGAAACATTTTCGCAAGCTTGCACAATATCATGCACATATATATTCTTGTAACACCTTTATCAGTCAGAAACTAGAGTCCACCAAAGAAAGAAACGTTTATAAATTTTTAATATCTATAAATATCTATATAGTGTTTTATGTAAACACTACTATGTGTGCCTATACAATAAAGACATATCTATGGTGCCTTATTAGACAATGTTTTTGCAAAATTTTGCAAATATTATACACCTAAATTAATCATGAATAAGTAATAAATCAGGGAAACTAATAGAAAAATAATATTATGCTTGTAGACATTGCATAACACATAAATTACAATGTCACGCAAAGAATAATCCCGATGTTAATAAAGCTGTTACAATAATGTAAATGTTCCTTAAGAAGTAAAGAGGCGAAACATCGCATAATATTATTCAGTGTTAGTTATTCAAAGAAATAACACTGAAAAAGATTTCGATTATGTGGAATTGTTATATTAGATATTTTGAATTAGATATATTGAAAAGATTGAACAGAGATATATTGCAATAATATTAAAAAGAAATTTCACCAACAGATAAGCACAGATACGTCATTAGGATAGAAACATCATAGAATTTAAAAGTGTTTTCTTCGCATATACTTTGTGTAAACCAACTTTTAATTACAAGAAACTGTCAATATCAGCTAAATATCGTACATCAATAGTTACACATTTAATCTTGCAGATTATAAATTTGATGATCATATAATGGATCTTACTTTCACAATCCGCGCTTTTCCTTCTTATCTAATTATTTTAATCCGCCGTGTTTGTTTACTGTTTCAATAAATATAAAGAAGGCAAAAGTCGCGAGAGAATATACACTATAAAAAATATTAAACATATAACAAGAAATATACTCTATGAAACTGCATGTGTGTGACTACTCAGAGATACCTCCCGTATTGTATAATACTAATACAAAAAATCTGCTAAAAGCATTTTGAAGTGCAAATGTCTATTCTACACAATATCAAATTGATATATTTTCCCGTTTCCCTTTTCTTTCCTTTTTTTTTGATCGCGCTTTCATTTCATTATATATTCTAGTATTATAAAAATATGTGAACAGGTTGTTATACACCGAATATGCATTTGATTCGTAACATATTCATTAGGCATATCAAATATTTTTTCTTTCTCATTAATGGAATATCTCTTTTGTGGATTTTTTTCCAATTAATTTTTAAAGACAGTATATATATTCAAATAATGTAAAAATATATATAGATACGAATATATATTGTGAGACACATACGGATTTAGATAATCACTTGCAGCAATTGCCGGTTGCTGCCTTTTGCCCATCCGACTCGACTAGTCGACGACCTTGACCACTCGTACTTGCGCTTCCTGACTGTTCGTTCTTAGGAAGCTTTTTAGCTATTGAAAAAAAAAAGAAAATTATTTTTTTTCACACGTTCTATAATAAAAATGTGTGTGTCAATGTGTTTTAATATTATATTCTCTCTTTCTAAAAATGTTTTTTACTGTTCAACACGATGTATTATCAACAGGTACAGAGTCATCACATACTTTGATTAGTGATAATGTGTAATACAACATGGAATAATATTTCTGCGTATACATTATCAAATAAAATGGAAATTTCATACAAACACACGTTATCGCTTCATAATACTAACGTTACTTTTTACAGTTTAATTTTCTTGTTATAATATTTATGTCATTTATAATAATATAACGTATAATTCCATCTTGACAAGAGAGAAATAAAGATAAGCATAGCTCACCAATTGCAAGGAATATGTCGTTGACATTCATCGCTGTCTTAGCAGATGTTTCCATGAAAAGAAGGCCATTTTCATCTGCATATGTTTGAGCTTCGTCATATTCGACAACTCTTTTATTTGCCAAATCTGCCTTGTTTCCAGCTAATGCTATTACTATACTTGGACTGGCTTGACGCTGCAATTCCTTTACCCATGTTTGGGCACGTGAGAATGTATCCTAATAAAATAAGTAAACATATTAGTTCTATACATGCTAATTTATCTTTATTAGGAGTAAATATCTTTATATAGGAATAAATAAATGTCTTTTAAGCAGACTCATTAAAAGAATTGGCAGTTTTGCTTACCTGGTTTGTTATATCGTACACAACAATGGCTGCTTGAGCACCACGATAATACATAGGCGCAAGACTGTGATAACGTTCTTGCCCCGCAGTATCCCAAATCTCAAACTTTACAGTTGTGTCATCCAAACATACAGTTTGTGTTAGAAATGCAGCTGGAAATAATAACATTTGCAATAGTGACAAGTAATCAATAAAAATAAGTATATAAAAATAAATTATTTTTGTCATATAAAAAGTATAATACTTTTGTCATAACAGTATTGTAATATTATAAGTTTCAGTTTTGAAAACTGGCAAATATTTCTTTAAATATATAATTGCAGTTAAAAAAATTTATAATTAAACAGTTTTATATCTAATCTAGCTTTAAAGAAATAAATTATTTTTTGATAAATTTTTACAAAATTGAGTATCAATTATTTATTAATTATATATTATATTCTTACCACCAATCGTACTCTCTTGGTACTCATGGAACTGTCCTTTGACAAACCTTAAAACAAGGCTTGATTTTCCAACTGCCGATTCACCAAGTAAAACTAACTTAAACTGACAGATTTTCCCTTGTGTCGATCCATTTGGCCTTTGAGCCGTACCCCGATTCGCCATGATCACCTGAAAAGAGAATTGATTTCTTAGTTTTGACAAATCTTACAATTTTATTAGCTTTGAACAATATCGTTAAGTCTTGGATACATTTGTAAAGTATTGTATCAAACTTTGGAGAAGCTTCTATTACATTCTAAAAAATAAGATGAATATATAAATAAGAGTATATCTGAGAATTATACATATTCTAACAATAATGCAATATCACGATAGAAATTTAAAAATTATTTAGTATTTAAATCGTAATGAAGCATTTCTCTCAACAATTATACATGACATAAAGTAAAAAGTTTTAATATTATAAAATATAGATGCTTTTCAGAGATGCTGTTCCGTCAAAGAAATTTTGTACAAAAATAATTTGTTTCAGATTAATAATTTATTGTCATTGCTCGCTAAAGTTCAATTTCATAGATAAAATGTCTATTTATACTGAAACTTTATATGCGTGACAGATAAGATGTCATTTCATGCATGCAATAATTATGTTTTTAAATTGTGTAGAATCTACGTACCTAATTATTTTCAATTAAGATTAGAAGACAAACACAAACAAAAGATTGGATACAATTTTAGGGAACAAAGTGACTTGTGAGAATAATTTTGAAGGACGCAGAAGAGACAGAAAATCGTTTTGAGAAACACGAAAGTGCACGCGATAAGATAAGAATGTTAAAAAAAAAAACAAAGATTGTAGAATGAAAACGGCATTAAAATAAAAGTATCATTAAGACAACAAGTCGAGTCTGTCTGAGGAATCTCTTTCAAACTGTGGAGCGACTCGAATGAATCACTCGATGTAGCTCATCATCTGCTTCAATTAATTTTCGATTAACGCGATACCATTAGAATGGAGAATTCGAAATACGTGAATAATTACTTACAAGCACAAGATGATAAAAACTCGGAGGTAGCTAACTTATTCGAAAAATGAACAAATATAGGTTCTCTTTAACCCATTAAGAGGGATCCGGCAATCCTGTTAATTATATTATCCAATTAACTCTTCGTGCGATCAACGTCATTGAGAATGACTTTTCCTGCATTACTTTCTTTTCTTATATATATGTGTATTTTTTTTTTCAATTACGAGGAGGCTAATAATGCAAAAGAGGCCGAAATACGGGACGTTACTGACTTTTACGACAATCACGAGATTCGTACAATGCTTGTAAAAAGGGTTTCCGCTCGCTCGCTCGCTCTCCCTCTCTCTCTCTCTCTCTCTCTTTCTTTCTTTCTTTCTACGAGCCGCCTTTCTTACCGCGACATTCGTGTCAAGAATGAAAATTCACCGAGGCTTACTTTACGTCAACCTACAATCTCGAGCAGACACTATCGAAAAATCATGGGAAACCGTTAAAACGACGCGTCGACGAAGAAGAAGGAAAAGGAGAAAGACGGGAAGAGCTGTGTCACGTACACATCCATGTATGTGTGTGTGTTTGTACATGTGATGCGTGCGCAAGCGCCGTATGTGTAAGTGCAAACAAGAGGGAGAGATAGATGCGAGATAGCGAAAAAAAAGATCGACGAAGGAGAGACAGAGAGAGAGAGAAAGAGGAGGAGAGACGAATAAAGGGAGTGAACGACTGCGCCACGATTATTGTTACAGCCCTGAGTACTTGTCACCGCCCGAGCGTGTAACGTCAGCAACACATTCGAAATATCGAAATTTTTTTAATTCTGTATATTTTCTTGAACTCCGTCATTATTATCTAATTTAGCTTTCTCTCTCTCTCTCTTTCTTTCTTTTATGTCTCTCCTCAAGACGTAGCACGCTACGTAAACATCCTCCGGGGTAGAGAGGGAGGAGGGTATTAATTAAATTCGTCTCTCAGGATGACACGGACACCTGCCAAATCAGAGACGATCTTAACCTGTTTGCGTTGACGAGGTTCGCCGTTTAGACAGACGAGGCGCCGCGCTGGCTAGCTGGCTTCTTCCACCAGGAGGCGACGACGACGACGATGACAATGTCGACGACGGCGAGCAACGCCTGAAGCCCGAGGACGACCGACGTCGGATTCGAGCCGAGTCAGTCAGTACTTGCCACCGAGAGATCGGCCCGTCGTAGACCGAGCATAGATCGCGCAATCTACGTAGAACGTGGACATTTATGACAGCTTCCGCCCGGCGAGGAGGAGAGCGTTCGTTACGAGTGTAATTCACGGCTGGACAAAATATGTACACAACAAAAGCACGAGCACGCGAAACTCCGGGAGCCAACTCCTTCTCCTTCTCTCTTTCTTGCGCGCGCGCGCGAACCGAACCGATCCCGTCAACTGTGGATGTATATTCGCACTTTTGTCCTCTCTCGCTTCTTCTCTTTCTCGCTCGCTTCCTCTCGCTCACTCGTACGTTCGTCGCGCACAATAATAAGGATGATTAAATTCCTCGGGTCTCTTCTCGTAACCTACATCGACATATGTACGCCGACGACGAGTAATCGCGGAACTTTGACACACTGTGCGTTTTGGGTGGGAGAGAAGAGAAAGAGAGAGAAAAAAAAAGGGAAGATTACCGACACGCGCGATGCATACGGTGCTGCGTCACTTTTTGCCGATCCGTTCCGCTCCGTTTCCGTAATAAAGGTCGCGACGACGTAGCGGGACCGTGGAACAAAAATCGCGGAATCTCTCGAGACGAGCCTCTCTCTTTCTCTCTCTCTTCTTCCGTCTCTCGCGACTCCGTTTTTCCTTCTCCGCGATTCACGAATGTATACGTACCGACTACTATGAACAAGTAGGAAGCAGTGTGGACCATAGACATGTCAAATGCATAGAGCGAATTTTAGTTGCCGATGTCATCGAAAAAGGGGGAGAGGGATTTAATGACAAGTGCGCGGGGGGTGCGTCGGAATGTCAAAATGTCATTCCGTCTATGGATTTTATGTATCTATGGTAGAAGACGCGACGCCACGTGACGTTTCCATGTGCGCGGTTGACAGCTGCGGATCGACCAATCAGAGCGAAGCAGCTTATCAGCTGATTGGTTGACAGCTGCGGATTGAACAATCAGAGCGAAGCAGCTTGTCAGCCGATTGGTTGAGAACCGGAGCATTTGTGGAATAATCCACATGTATGATAAAATCCCCTAAAATCTATAGAAATTAACTAGCTAGTTGAAAAAAAAAATTTCATCTGATTGGCCCGCGCGACAACAATTGATCGCGATTGGTGAATTTGAATTATACGGAGATCTTTAAAAATGGACGTTCACGATTTTTGAACCGATGCATCTGTTGGCTTTGTTCACGAGACGAAAATACGCCCGACGAACAAAATGCTCAAGCTATGTCAAACTAGGAGTCGTAGTATCTTTGGAATCAGTGTCTCTGTTGCACGTTGATCTTTGACACGTCTGATCGCGCGTGTAATTTGTGTTGTTTGACACAACGCGGTGATTAGCGGTGATATAAATTTTTGAGAATTGTGTATATACTCGACGCATTAGCTGGACGAAACAAATCTTGTGAAATCTGTCTGCAAAATATTCGAATAATGGAGAAGTATCAACATTTGCGAGGATTTATATCAGCGGCCTTGGATTACACCAAACATCCCAACGAAAGTGCTACGTCTGCTATACAAAGAAATCTTGGAGTAAGCATTATAATTTATATTGCAATTACATATATATTTTATTTAATTTAATTATGTTTTGAAGAGTACAAAATTGCAAATGCAAGATATATTTCGTATTATATAAATTTGTGTTATTAAGGTAATAAGTGCGTCACTGGATCTAAGTGTATTTGATCCTGAAACCAGCATAGCTGCAGAATTCTATGTGAGCCTATACGAACTGATGAATTCTTTAGGATCCCGATCCACTTTGATCTGGAGTGCTGTAGATGTTTTACAAAATGCTTGCAGAAATATCCCTGCTAGACAATCGCTTATTCATACATATAAGTTTGCACCAATATTAGCGAGATTATTAGAGGTATAAGAACTATTAATATTATATTATAATTTTTAAAAATAATTAACATTCTTTTTTTATTTAATATATAGGCAAATTTGACGACCGAGAAAAGGATACGAGTATTAAAATTACTTCAGGAATTAACATATGGAATCAAGATATCATGGCAAGAAGCTCATCTTCCATATTTAATTTCTGTATTAACTCAATGGGTAGTACAATCAAAGGAAGAAGAGATTATTGCACTTTCTTTAGGAGTGCTGGTAAATCTGTGTTATAAAAATCTCCCAGCTGTTTATACATTGATGCGTACCGTCAATACCAAGGCATTCATCAGAACATTATTAAAGTTGCAAGAGAATGTTAATACTAGTGTGCAATGTTGCAAGTTATTGATTATATTGGAGCCAACTAATACAAATATTTCTGAGAAATATATCATGGACTTTGCATCATTAACTTTCATAAATCTTAAAACAGCAGTGAAACAGAAAGACGTTTTGTTATTGCGGCATATTATTGATTTCTTCAACGACGTCGGACAAAATGAGCATTCGCGAAATGTATTACTTACATATTCAAAGTAAGTCAAATCATATATTGGTAATATAATATACAAGAATACTATATTTTTTGCTGTCTACAGTTACAGCAAAGATGTAGAAAATATACTAGCCACTTTGGAAGAAAATACAGATCCAGAATGCATCGCTCTTATGATGGAATTTTTACTGTCGTTGGTGAAACTAAAATTAGCTGCCTTGACTCCTTTATATCCTGCTTGTATAAAATCGGCTATGACTTGGGTACCTGTGGAACAAGTAGGAAACTTATTAATTCTTATTAATGGAGTAATATTTGATAATTGAAGATGACGAAAAAGAGAAAAGAATTGATCCAAATTTTTGTCGAAAAATTGTAGGTGTGCTCTAAAGCTTTAGCACTCATACGAAGCATCATCATCGATTCACGACGCACTAAAACTTCCGCCGAAGTTTTAACAGAGGTAGATCCGTCTGTTCTTATGCTCATAACGAATCCAGAAGATGAAACTGATGAGAAAAATGGATGTCAAAATGTAGAAATGGAAACAAAACAAGCTGAATTAATGCAACTGTTTCAAGAAATGATTAAAACTCCTGCACTTAAGAAAAAAATTATGCAATCATTTAGCGAACACGCAATGCGCAAATTATTTAGTCGCATATTAGATAATGAATTTTGCGCTGCTGGAGATTGGACCGGAAATTTCATTCAAGTATGTACTATAGAATGTGTAAACAATATTGAAGTCATAGTTGTATTAAATACATGTTTTCGATTTTGCAGAATGCTTCTATCAATCTTTACATTCATGCATTAGCTTTGACAGCAGACTTAGCAACAAGTCATTCCAATTGGTTGACATTATATTCTGAATTACTTAGTAGAAAGCAAATGCAAATGATAATGGCATTAGCATTATTTACTGGTGATGGGGAAGTGAAGCAAAAGGTGTTACAGTTAACATCATCAATTGGATTTCCACAGGAATGGTATTTCACGCAATAAAAACGTTTACTTATTTCATATAACATATTAGTACAGTTATATATATGGAATTTCTGTTTGACAAGTGTTTCCGCAGTGGCAGTTTGCATGAAAGAATTAGAACCATTAATGTTAGTTCAGAGTACAAACAGCAATGTGTTGGAAGTCACGAATAAGGCATCTCTGAATTATTCTGGGATTGAATTAGCACCATTATTTTCCATCGCACAAGAAGAGCGCCTCGATGTATTCTTAGCCAAACTTGAATCAGCTTTTGAATCGAATCAGATAAACGATATTCCGACGTCTGCGGTAATGGAACTATACGAATATAAGGTACAATGTTTTTTTGTTTCATATTTTTATAACATAACTTATTATATAGTGCATCTATATGCATATCGTATATTTAATTTTACTATGTATAATTAATTTTACTAAAGTTAGCGACAATGAGACATTCCGAAAGGGCGATGCAATCGAGTTTAGAAGCGGCAAATAATCATGGTACTAGTCTTCAACATAGATTAGCGCAAGTGGTAGCCGAATCCAGTAGATTACATCAGTTATTATTTGACACTCAGCAGTGCTTGGAAGGAATAAAAGCTGAAAAATCTGTATTAATAGAAAAGTTTAATGAGATGGAAGAGCAATCTAAAAAAGCAATTTTGATAAAGAAACAAGTTAGTTAACTTTCTACAATTATGTAAAATATGTGTGCTGCACAAATGTTTCTTTTTATAATATAAAACTTTTACATTTTTGTCACGTTTCTAGGAAATTGAATCACTGAAAAAAATTGTGGTAGAAAAATCAACACATTTGGAACATCTGAATGAGAAGTTAATGCAATGTACAAATGAATTAGAGGCTAGCAACAATAAAATTGATATATTAACTAAACAAGTTCAAGAATCAAAAAATGAACATTTAATTACAGAAAAAAAAGTTATAGATATGAGCAACAAAAATCATGAATTAAGTAAACTTTTACAAAAGATGAAAGATTCTCTTAGCAAAAAGGAACAGGTGCAATTAAATTTTCTTTTATATTAAGAATATTTTGATTAATTAATTAATTATACTTTTTTCGTATGTTGTGTAGCTTTTAGAGAAAAAGGATGCAGAAATTGAAACAAATCAAGGCGATATATCTGCGCTTAAGCAAGAAATTCAACAAATGGTACAAATGTTACGGACACATGAACAAACCATATCAGAGAAAGAAAAGAATATTCAAAGAATGAAAACGGAATTGGTAGATTTGAGCCGTATGCGAGATATGATATTTGAGCTTACTGCAAAAAACAAAGATGATCTAAATTCAAGTTAACATTTCTTTCTTCTCAAAATAATAAACGCGGAAAATATGAACGGATACATTGGTCAATATAATTTTTCCGTATCTAACATTCACAATATAGTTGCGTCTAATAATTTTATTTTTTATATTTAATTGTACGTTAATTCCTGTCAATATATAGAATAAATAAGTGTAATATTTTTACCTTAAAAAAATTTAAACAGAGCGAATTAACAAAATAAAATAATAGAAAAATTTTACTAAAAACGATATAATTTGTATATACATTTATATTTTAACATTAAAATTTATTGGCTGAATAAAGAGAACATGATTAAAAAATTTGTGTATAAATAATCGATATTATCGTATGCTTATTCGAACATGATCAATACATTCAAAATAAAATTTTGTATGTTTATCCATATAGAGGACTATTTTTAATATAAAACTATTCTAATATTTCTCTCGTAAATTAAAATACGATTAGGATTATTTTACATACACGCATTGTTATACTAACTTTTGCATTCTTAAAAATATCAATCAAATTAAAGCTGTATAATATCCATTCAATATATGCAATATATTCTATATGAATACTTGTCTATCGTGTTAAATACAATTGATGATGATTTCTATTTCATCTCAATATATTTGAAATAAAATTTCTATGAATTATATATGTACCTCTTTGTTTTTAACGACAAAATCGTTTATTTGTTTCCATATATTATTTTGTTATCTTTCATTCAGAAATATACATACGACATATATTAATATTGAATAGAGTAAATTCTATTTATGTAATTTTTATACAAACTATTTATAGAAACTATTTTATCTTACTTATTCCCTTTGGTATTATAATACCTTCATTTTTAAAACAATAAATTAACAATATTTAAATAGTTAGAAATTAGATATATATTTTTAAATTGTAAATAAAAATATATAATTTTTAATAATATCTACGTCGCTAATCATTTCAATTGCTTCTATCACTCATACCATGATTTTCCTATATTAGATAATAAAACATGTTATATAGCGAATTTCAAATGTGTTTTCGCACGTTTTTAAAAGTTTTGATCTATTGTATTATGTCTTATATGTATTGTCGTGTACATGTGTACGTGAGATATACATATATTTAATATATACGCGAAATTAAATGCCATTATTATATACAGAAAATATGGTAATACAATCGAGAGCTCTATGCAAAAATACATTCAAAAGAAAAAATAGAACAGAATTTTTTTTTATGAGACACTTATTTTAGAAACTTTTTATGAAACAATTTCAGAATTTTTTATGAGGCACTTATTTTACAAATAACTTAAAATTCATCATTTTCTATGGCTTTTTTAAATTATAAAAACTTAATGATTTTGTATCAAATTTCACATTGCCTGAAAAGTTATGCACACATAAAAATATATTGAAAAAAATTAAATAATCTTAATATTTTAATATAACTTTTTTTCAGTAATAATTTATTGTTTTTACCAAATTAAAGTTATTTTTCGAAAATAAAGCTTTGAAAACATTTTAGTCTATTTTTTTCAATTTATTTTTGCACATATCGCTTCTTTTTAAATATTATTAATTGCAAACAAGACACTCTGCTCGTGTCAAACTTAAAATGTATATATTTACTTCATAATTTTCTTCTTATTAACATTTTCGTCTAAGTAATAATTTAATTAATTAATAATTTTTATATATCCAAACTTATGAAATCAGATGTAGATTGAAAGTAAAATTGGAAGTAAAAAAATTAACAATTTCAATTATTTGAAGCAGAGGCCATATGGGCAACGCTTATCTAATTATCACGTTTCAGCACAAATGGATAATACTGAAATACGACCCATCTGTCATTGTAAATGTCACCTAACGATAAATACGATTAGACTATAAAACTTTAGAAAACAAATTAACAAATATTAAATTATTTTACAAAAATATAATATCGGTAATATCTATGCCGAGTTATTATACAAAATTGGCCAGCCAAATTAAAATGTACTGTGTGCAATATGATTGGAGAATATATTATTTTCCACGTTTAATATCGCATTCCTAATGCAATATTGTCATCAACTACCGCCTTTACTCCACGGCTGTTCAGTGGCAGATGCAAACAACAAGTAGAAACAATTAGTAACCATGTTTATTCCTGCTGCCATCCAGAACACTGTATGCCAGCGAGCGAGAGTCTCCTGTAATCCAAAAAGAAAAATACATATATATTCATTTGTATCTCAACGAGCAAATACGAGACAAAGGTATATATGACGAAAATATATATATAATATATAAACATATAAATACTAACGTGTCCCTCTACTATACTGCCGATAACGTAAGGCGCCAAAAAGCCACACGCGTTTGCCGCAGCATTCGTCAATCCGTACAAGGTGCCCGCGTAACGGGGCGCTAATGCGATGTGATTCATCTGATTTCCGGCGTACACGGCGCCCTGGAGCGAGCCCAGCCCCGCGAGCATCAGCATCACAGTCATACGATCACATCCGGCCCAGATAGCACCCACGAAACTAAGACTAGGTCCTAAGGAAGCGACCGTGTTCCACAGTTTGAACGAAGCCAAGGGCGAGATTAAACGACGAGCGAGAAGCGCGTCTGCAAAGCTCGAGATACCGAGCCCCACCAGCCAAGCGCTCAAGTAAGGTAACGCCGAGAGAAATGCGTTTTGTTGTACATTCAAATGCAAAATCTTGTCCATATACGTCGGCAGTTCGGTTAGGAGAGTATAAAATGCCCAGGATTGACCACATTGCGTTATAGTAATGGCCCATATAGGTAAAGATGTGAAGACAGACAGCCACGGTACTCCCGGATCGTCATTCTATCAGAATTATTTGCTTACTAAGCAAAACTCATTGATAAGATATATATATATATATATATATCTTATCAATGATATATATATATATATATATATATATATATATATATCTTATCAATGAGTATATATATATATTTATATATATATATATATATATCTTATCAATGAGTATATATATATATATATATATATATATATATATATATATATGCGCGCATGAATATAAAACGTAATACCGACCTCGTCTTTCTTCTCGACGCTAGCTTCAATATATGCCTTCTCGGAAGGATCAATCGTCTTATGTTGCGAAGGAGTATCGTATATGAATATCAACCAGAATATGTACCATATGAGACCAAGTCCTCCAAATAAATAAAATGCAAGTGGCCAACCACGCCATAATTCTAGTGAACATAGCCAGCCGCTCACCGGTAATGAAACGACGGTTCCAAAATTCGCACCTGAATGAAAAAGGTATTATATAAATATTTTCAGAGCAATTTATATTTATTCATAAAGGAGAAGAGACAAAAGAATTATACCTGCGTATACTATAGCAGCAAATTTACTTCTCTCCAATGGCGGAACCCAATGCGCCAGCATACTATGCATTGCAGGAAATGTTACTCCCTGTATTATGACAAAAATATTAATTGCCAGTCGTATGCACGTATACAGCTTTATAAGGAGCAAAATATTTACCTCGGTAAATCCTTCTGCGACTCGTACAACTAAGAACGGTACTAGACCCCAATACGCAGCAAATGGACTTATCACTGTCAGAATAGAAGTTAGAAATATTCCCAGACCATAAATTAGCTTGCCGCCCATTTTTCGGCTAATCTACCACCAGGGACGTTTGTTGTTACATAGCCAAGGAAGAAAGCTCCCAGTATAATACCTTGAGTCTTCTCAGTCCAGACAAATTCTCCCTCACTCTAAAAATATATATATCACATTTTTAAAAGTTATATACACAATAAAATAATAAAAATATTAAAATAAATGAAAAAATAGAAAGTAAATTCAATAACATGAAATATTTTAAAAACTTTTGTTGCAAACTATAAAAATATAATTACTAATAATTTATTAAGAAATTTATATAAATAGCTTTGTTTTTCAGATAATAACAAAATGTATATTTGAATGATGATATGACATTTTGCATAAAAATTTCATAAAATGACTGAAAATAAGAAATTTAAAAAAATCCAACAAAACAATAAGAATTTTTAACTATAAAATTATAATAAACATTGAAAACTTAATAAAAGAAACAAATTTTTTGAATTCTGTTATAAAGAATAATATTATAATAAAATATAATGTATGTGTAAGTTGTTATATAGCTCAATTGTGTATAAAATGAGATAAAAGCTTGGATGACTAATATTATGATAATTAATATGACCTAAAGCAATTACTCATTCAAAATATATGTAAAAGTAATAATACAGTAAGCTATCCATACAATTGCTACTTGGAAAAATGACAATAAATTTACCGGTATAAAAGTTCCATTTATTGGCTTGATTTTGGGACAAACATCACTGGTATCATTCTCCTCGGTATGTGGTATCGCTGTCTGATTAACCATGGAGACAATGGCTACTGATAAATTGACCCTCATAGCATACACAAGGGCAAAACCGAGAAAACCCAGGAAACCCAAAGTATGACGTGCCTTTACACATGATTTAGTGTCTGCTGGAATGTGGCATGTGTTAGCTGAAAAAAAAAAATATAATTGTTAATAAAATAGCTAAAATATATTATATATAAGCAATAAATAATCATAAAAGAGATAGTTTTCATTACATCTATGCATAACAAGTTTTACATTATGCACAATTTGTATTAATTTATGCCTTATTAAAAAATATTAATCTGTATTTTAAATATGGTAGTACCAAAAATTACTTTAGTCAATTTGTTTAATTAATTTGTTGATTAACTTGCAAAATAAAATTTGAATTGCATATATGTATCATAATTATGTCATTGGAAATTTTAGTGTTGCAAATTATCATCCTGTGCAAGTTATTCAATGATTAAATTGATTAGAATTTGCTTCCAAATATAGTTATTTTTTCAAAACGGCTTCAATTGAAAACAGTCTGTTGCGTTCCAAAACATCCTTTTCAAGAAAAATTTTACTTAAAAAACTATAGTACATGTTACAAACACTATAGATTATCAGTAAAATTTTTCTCGAAGACGACGTTTTGGAACGCAATCTAAGAAATCATTCAAAATTTTAACAATATGGTATATCTCACATAATTACACTATACTAATATTGTCAAAACAATGATTATTGATTAGTTTTGCTTCTTCAAAAAATGACATCGATTAAAGAAAAGTAGACTTGATAAGTAATTATAAAACAAATTGTGCACATCTAAATGAATTTAAAGTACAAATTCGCGAGCATTGATAGAAAAATACAATAAATTTTGACGTGACATTTGAATATTATCTGACGTTACAAAAATTATTCTTATTATCTGCAATATATGTATAAGAACATAATAGCGTTTCCTCGTATCGTTATTAACGTCATTATGTCATTATCATCTCTTTGTTTCCAAACACACGATAACTCTCTCTCTCTCTCTCTCTTTCTCTCTGAGTCATTTATGAAACCGCGATATGCAATTACATAAATGCAGATAAAACTACGGACGTTATTAAAAAAAAAATAAATAACTAAATAAATAAATAAACGAACCTCGCTCCAGAGAATCGTTGATGCAAAGGGGCTGATCGTCTCTAGAGACGCTGGGATCCAGCACTTCCATGATGCCTGTCAACGTTCGCGTCGTTGTACGGTCGTATCCACTCTCTATGGTAAGTTCACGCTTTCACGATGATTCACCACCGTTCTAGGCATCGAAATTATGTTTTTGTTATGCTCCCTCCAGTGCACCCGTACACGCAATGACAGGTCATTACAGCTGTGTTGTTACGGTCGAGATTGGACTTCCTGGCACTCGTCCGTGCGATTTGTACATATGTATTGCGAATGGTGGGGCACATTCGCGCATGAGCAGTGAAGCAGCGTGCTCGCGATCTGTCAATCTCTTGAGTCATAGATAGAAAATATATAGATTGGAAACAAGCACTAGCTGCAAGCACTTACATCGACTTATTGGGGATTTTTAAAGTCACTAGATGGATATCTAGTTTTCATTACACTAGTGCGATTGACCAATCAGAAAGTTTTGTGAGTTCTCTTGCGTTCATGATGAAGATAAGCAATCTATATATTTTATGCCTGTGCTGTTAAATAGAGAGATGAGACTTTGGATGTGACAGGTGCTGGATTTTAGACTTATCGTTTTATAAATTGTAAAAGGCTCGAAGAAAAAAATGAATCGTCATCCAAATACCGACTACAAAAGTCGCAATGAACCGCAAGTTGAATTGGAGAGTCAATTTATTTTGCGACTGCCACCGGTATATTTTTTGTATTTAATATAACTTGCTTTTTGTTTAGATGATTGAAAATCTTGTTAAATAATTAATTTTTGTTTAAGGATCCCGCTCGAATACTAAGAGAAGCATTACGTAGCAGTTTACCTTTAAAAGACAGGTTGATGATAAAATTAGAAAATGATATGCGTTATGGTGAAGTCAGGTTTGATCACTGGCTGCTTCATGCTAAGGTTAATATTGTTATAATGCATTATTTGATTGAAATCATTAAAATATAATTTATGCGTAAATATAGATTTATTCATATACTAACATTTTTGTTTAGGTTGTGGATTTACCGACAATAGTAGAATCTTTAAAAACAATTGATAACAAAAGTTTTTATAAAACTGCCGATGTGTGCCAGGTAAGCTGAAAGAATATTACAGTACAACATGAAAGTAAAGTTTTTTTATGTACTTTATAATATTTTTTTCTGATATTTTTCAGCTTCTGATATGTAAAGAAGAGGACGATCATACTGCAACAGATGAAGAATCTCCTGTTAAGCAGAAAAAGAAAGATCCAAATAAGGTTGATAAAAAATTTCTTTGGCCTCACGGTATAACACCGCCTACTAAAAATGTAAGACGTAGAAGATTTAGAAAAACTTTGAAGAAGAAATATGTGGAAGCACCAGAAATCGAGAAGGAAGTTAAACGTTTATTGCGAGAAGACAATGATGCTGTTAATGTTAAGTGGGAAGTAATATGCGAGGATGAAGATCAGTCAAAACCTAGTAAAGTATCATCATCTGGCACAGTTAAAACTAAACGGGAAAATATTAATGGAAATACATCTCAAAGTCTGGATGTTGGTAAGTGATGTTTCAAACATTATTTATAAGAAATGTAGGAATTGGTTTTCTACTTTATAACTTATATTCCAGCTGAACATGACATATTTGGTGAAGCTGTGAGCGATAGCGAAGACGATGATGAAGAGGCAAACATAAATGTGATGGAATTAGATGAGAATAGTCATCTTACGGCAGATAGTAGAGTTTCAGATTCAAATTCTATGCAAGCTGCATATTCTGAAAGATCAAGTAATAATGCGACGACGAGTAGCGGATTAGTTACTGAATTTAGTAAAGAAATGTTTCAAAATGACAATGGCGATATGGAAACTGAAAAGCAACAGGATGATCCTACTTCAACAAAAGTTTCAAAATTGGAGCCATTTCACGAGGAATATATTATTCCAGATAATTTTGCAGACTTACCAGTATCTATATCTAAAGGTAATTTTAAATAAGTACTTTTAATTACTTGTATCTATAAAAACAATATTTTTAACTTTTATTTGTCTAAAAAAAATCTAGACGCACGTCTTGCTGCTCTTCACGCGGAATTGGCGCAACTACGGCAAAGAAGACAACAGCAAGAGATTGAAATAGCTAATATTGAAAATGTCAAACTGAGACAGCGTTTCCAAGAGATCTTAGATAATTTGTTAACTCAAGAAATGCAGAAAGTACAAGAGGTATAATGAAAATTATATATGTATATATATTTCTCTCTCTCTCTCACAATTTGTATTTAACACCTATTCTGATTTATAAATATATATATTTGTTTTTACATTTCAGATACAAGATCTAGAACTGGAATAGAAAATGTGTAGTATAAAGTTTCATATATAAATTGTCACAAATTTATGTGCTTAAAATAGAAATTATTTTGTTATTCTCTTACTCAATAATTATACAATTACATATTAATTGTATATATAATTGAAATACATAAACATAATTATAATTTATACTTTTTTAATTGTGTATATATTGTGTGAAAATAATGAAAAGAATTGTAATCATTTTATCTATTTAATGATACATATTCTTTCAAATGTACATATTTAGGACTCTTATTGATAATATATTTTATAATATCATAATTTTTAAAATAAAATACAGTGAAGAATAAGTTATAAACACCTTTCTATAAAATTAGTTTTCAATATCAATTGCTGTTTACGAAGATAAATATTTTCTACCATACAACTGTGCCTTTTTTTCAAATCCCACAGATTTAATAGGAGTATTTAACTTATAGAATGGATTCATAGAGTACTGAAACAAAAAAAAACGTACAAATGTATGCAATCTTTCCATAATCTTACAATACATGTATACGCATAATCATTAAATGGAACTGAATAAATTTTCAATATCGTAGAAGAGATATTCACCTTGATATATGTTTCGTACATTTCGTTGAAGAAATTTTTAATCCCATCCTCGTTCTTGCTATCGTGCACCATGACAAATCGAATGTGAGTCGCTGTCACGAAAGCACTAACGAACCATTGATTAAACTTATCTACGACCTTCAGATGCATGTTGGTGGTTTTCCACGTGTGCTCGTCCACAAGATCGAGCGCCGCATGAGCGATAAACTGATTCAAGTGCGAATGATCCTCTTTCTGAAGAAAAAAAACAAAGGTAAACAAATATACGAATCAATGAAAATCGTAGCATAGTTTTCAAAGTAAACTAACCTTCGCGTCCTCTCTCTTCCCAGCATTATTGAATTCTATCTCGAACAGCGGATTGTCGGCGTGGCCGACGATCGCGAAATAATAATTAGCTGTCATCGTGTCATTCACACCGCAAATGTCAATCTTCGATCACTGCGACACATATGTATATTATTGCTGACGCATTTGACATTTCGTCGCTTTTGACAGGTCCTGTACTTACGCGCGAGTCGCACGTGAGTACACAAGGAACTCCCTTGTCATCGAACCACCTTGTCGCGGGACAGCGTTGACGTACATATATGTATGTGTGACGTGTAATTAGCCCGATCCGCGGAAAATAACGGAGTACTAGTGAGAAGGATATGCAATGACAGTTCTCGCGCGCGCGGGCGACGAAGGAGAGGAATATGATACCGAGGGTGTATAATCTCCGTGTATAATGAAGAGATTGCGCGTCGCGTCACGTCGCGCGATACGACACGCACACACGCATCATCTGGGACGCCGCGGCCGTATCGCCGTCACCACCTCCTTGGACGCTTCCTCTCTCGAACGAGCGATAAGGCATGTTATCGGTCGCGCATTACCAGTAACTCGCGAGTCGGAATGGAGACGTCGGCCTCGGTAATCGGACACCTTTGAACTGGTATGTATACATACACATACACACATATATATATATATATACCTCGGTGCATCGTCGATCCTTATCTACCGAATGCATTCCAGAGTGCCTTTGTGTGTTTTGTTCGTGCATTCTTGCTCGTGGGGAAAAAAATGTTCGCTGCGTTGAATCCTTCCGCGAATAGTATACAACAATCGGTAGATATGTTTGACGGATCTGCGAATCACATATGTTAATTTCTTAATCTGTAATTGATCTCCGTGCTGATGATACTCAGTTTCAACGTATCCGGCACATTTGATCGAGTAAACACGATTGAATGCGGTTTCATAATACGTGTAGAAGAAGATTTTATGGTAGAAGGATGCGTCGTGAATGCCGGATGCATCGAAAGTATATATTATTAAGTTTTAATCGCGCGTGATTTTTACACGATAAGCAAACCTGGCATTTATTATTAATTGCGGTAAATAATAGCAGCTTTCTTGGCGAATATGAAATTGTCCAGTGTGCAAAGTTAGCAGGTATATACATTTATATGAACATAAATATACTTATTTTATAACTGAAAACATTATTTATTTTATAACTCAAACTCACAGAATATAAATTGTTGAATTTTATTAAGTATCAGTTATATCATTTTTAACTAGAAGAACAATTTGCAGAGAGTGATAGATAAGATAAGAGCGAACTAAACAAGTGATTATTTTATCACAGAATTAATTCTTTCTTCTTCCTGCGCAACTTAATTTTTGTCATTAATACACGTTTTTATATACTTTTTTAAAATAAATGTAATATTAATAGTATGAGTTATTTTATGATATATTACATATTTGAGTTATCGTATGTACGTACTTGATATAAATCTATTACATAAAATATATACACTTTATTTTGTATGTTTCATAAACAGATAATAACTGCGTTGCGTAACAGTTGCAGGCTACACATTAGACATTTGCAGATTTCCTTAGTTCTATTTGTGTATGCACGTCAATGCTTTCCTTTGTAATAAATTGCTTGTCCACTTGAAGATAATATTTCATATGTCAGCAGTACGCAAACAGTTCAGATGGTGCAGAGAGAGTGCTAACAGTAAAGAAATAAAGAGCAAGATGACAATTGTCATGTTAAAAGTGATTTGTGAGTGGTTGATATGTATATATATTAAAATATAAAAATTAATTTTTTATATTTTTATTGTACACTGAATTAATGTTATCTTCAAGTGGTTTTATTGATTTTTATCAAGCTATTTATTTAACGATATACCTCTCATGTCTTTAATCTGTTTTGATTTCAGATCTCTGAACTCAAAGAGTTTGCAATATATTAGATAATAAAGACTTATTGGTATTATTTACCAATTTCTCTCAACTAAAGATAGAACAAGATAAGGAAGATGTGTACTACAAAGATTATTTATTTTTTGTGATGAACAAGCTTAATATATGAGCTTAAAATATGGCCTTCAAGAGTGTATTATCCTATCAAAACATTCCATTTATTAAGTATGTATGAATATAAATTATAGATTATTGAATAAATTTATCTTATAAATTTCATGAAAAAGTTATAGTGTATGATATTGAATTCACCAATTGATAAAACATTAATATTGTTATATAGTACAATAAACTAAAAAAATGTTAAATAGAATTAAGAATACATTAATAGCATTATTTGTAGATATAATACATTATCAATATATAGACATAATAGTATAATTTTTTAATCTTCATGACTTTTATAGATAAAATAGATCAAGATATAAAACATTGACATTAATAGATAAAGATAATGTAAATGTTGTATCTCAAATATTTTCGATATTTGTTGCATTCTATAAAATTAGTTGAGGTAAGACTCATCAAGTTAATCACGAATACTAATTATATGCTTTTAATATTTTAGGGAGCAGTAATAAAGTATCAGTAATATCATGCATTTTTACAAGTAAAAATGGATGCGAAGGAGACTATAACTCTTATTGAAGTATTTGTAACATTATTGATTGTGAGTTAAATCGCGATTTATATCATATATCATGGTGCAGCAGCGACTTCCCAGTTTTGATGGTAACTACTTTAATGTCTACTTAATTATTTGTAAATAATTTTTTATTCGAGTTTGTTTCCCTATCTCACAACAAAACGTTCAATTTTATTTAAAAGTCAAAACAGGAACCATGCATTTTGTTTATATTATATTGCAAAATTAATCTACATATATTACAATCGCGTTCATTTAATTATTTATAATCTAAAATACAAACATTATACATAATAAATGCCGTACATTTGAATTACAAATATGGAAATTTGATCAAATTTTTTATAAATAAGGCAATTTTTATAATAATTTACATATAGATAGACCTATCCACACATTATTCTTATAGCCTAAATAACAAAAGAAAATTTTTTTGTTTAGAATAAGATAATGCATGTTTAATGAAATTATTAAAAGTAAAAAATGATAGTCCCTTTATTAGATATCCTTCTTAAATTAAAATTTAAATTTTGGAATATTTAAGCATGAAAAATGTTCAGAAATATTGACAATGGACAAATCTATTTATGATTATATTAATTTATAATTTATAAATATGTACATTGAATATAGAAATATTATATTTATAAATAAAATAAGAAGAGCTAGTAAGAGTCAAGCGCAGTAAATGGTGCATGTTTTTGTGATGTAAACTTGATATAGAAACTTGATATAGAACTTTATTTTAAACGTTCCGGGTCAGATTTGGACTCTTCAGTACACTGTCAAACAAACAAAAATATACATGAATTCTTGGCTTATTAGACGAAGATATAAATTAATGTTAATAAGTGACAATTAAATTTAAATAGTATCAAGCGATCACAGATAGTCATAAACAGTAAGAGTCAATTAAGTAAAATAAAATTGAAAATTGGTACATACAGTTAAAAGCCATTATGTAAGTAATTACGCCTTTTATATCGGTTTTGGCCATACAAAAGACAGCCAAGTATGTCAATCGACATTATGTGGTACAAGAACTAATAAGTGGATAAAGTGTGTGTGTGAGGAAGGAAGACATAATTATGTCCAATACATAATTATTATAGTGTTAATACCATTGTAAGAAAGGTCTCATATTAAGGTCACAGACCACAGGCCTAAACTGTTCAGAGATGGTACATACGGGAGACTGAAATAAAAAACACCATCTGCATGGTTGTCGTTAATAGAGTTCAGCATAAAATAAGTTCTCGAGCATCTTAGTGTATTGCTTATTTTATCGCAATGTCAAATAGCGATGTTTTACTTGAGAAATTAACAGTCAGCTCGTGGCTATCAACGGTTGTTCCGGATGGGTTGAGTAAGTCGTCTTCTAATAATTACGCATTGAACATAACATACACTTTATCCATTTATTAGTTCTTGTACCACATAATTGCCGTATGGCTGTTTTTTTTACGACAGGAATCTTTCTCTCTCTCTCTCTCTCTGTGAAAGGCGTAATTACTTGATACACTCTAAAAACAAGTGTGTAATAAAGTACGTCATTTTAACATACAATACATATTTTTCATGTATAATTGCATAAATGTGTTTCAAATGTTTTATACTTGCAACAACACATCATCGCGTGTGATTTGAAAACACTTTATTTTATAACACACTTAGAATAACTGTGTAAAAATAAAATTACACATTTATTTTAATATAAATATGTGCTAAACAAGCAAATTACGTGTTTCGGGAGTATAATACACGAAAAGATTTACATATTAATTCAAAACTCACGAACTTATTCTAAACGCATTATAAGTTTTTTATATACTAATAACATATGAGAGTTGTTAACATAGGATTTAAAAAATTACATATATTTGAAATATATTAATATAAATAGTCTTTTATATAATAAGTACAAGAACTGTATAAAATTCTAAATAATAAAAAAATAATAAAGAAATAATTATAAAAAATCTCAGTAAAAATGTGTGAAATGCTACTACATAATTACATGTATAAAATTTTTAAAAAGTACACGCCTGTTTTTAGAGTGTACATTCCATCACTATATAATATGACAGCCGCGGACACATGCTTATACATATAACTCTGGCTTTTAACTGTATGTACCAATTTTCAATTTTATTTTACCTTACTGACTCTTATTGTTTATGACTATCTGATCGCTTGATGCTATTTAAATTTAATTATAACTTATTAACATTAATTTATATCTTTGTCTAATAAACTAAGAATTCATGTATATTTATGTGTTTGTTTGGCAGTGTACTGAAGAGGGTCCAAATCTGAACCGAAACATTTAAAATAATAAGTTTTATATCAAGTTTATATCACAAAAACGTGCATCATTTACTGCGCTTGGCTCTTACTAGCCCTTATTTTATTTAGTTTTTTTTCACAAATTATATTTATAGTTTTATAATTTACAATCTTTCAATTTTATATACAGGCGGTCGAAGTGGACGGCGTTTTATACTGACACTCGCTGCTGGAATGGCTTTTGGCTTTTTATCGGCATGTCTGCTTATTACATCCACAAGAGATGTACCACACATTTTTAGGTGGATGCCGGGTAGTTCTGGTCTTTCTAGAGATCCTCATCATTATTCGGAATTGGAGTCAGAGGTCAGTATACAATGCATGCAGAATATTCTATTTCATTTTAAATAAAACTTTTAAGAATTTATTATGAAGGTCACTTAATATGAAATCATTTAATAAACAATTAATTTATTGCACAACATACTTTGTTGAAAACTTGATTTTTGCAATATGACAAATATTAATTTTCACATATTTTAATAATCATTAATTTGAATATTTACAAAATTTAAAAAAAAGCATTACATGTTATTACATTTTGATGATACTTATTAAAAAAAATTTCGACATAGTTAATATTGCACCTACTTCTTCATTTTATTATTAACTTGATTGCTATTTAAATTTTTTTATATTTAATATATTAAAAAGAGCCTATTCATTTTTTTATTTATATTTCTTAAAAATCTTCAATCTTTAAATCTAGAGATATTCAAATTTCTTGTAAAAATTAGCATAAACCATTTATGTTTATACCAATTTTTAAAAACTGCTAAATCGAAAAACTAAATGAGGAAAAATGTTTAAAATTTTTTTTAAACTGTAGAAACATCTGCGAAAAAGTAAAATTTATCATAGAATCATCATTTAGTGATTGCATATGGAATGATTTTTATGTATTGAAAAATTTCTTAATTATCTTTTTGACGATCCAATAGATTGGTCCTGAAACAGAAGTAAAATTTCATGGTGAAGATGAAGATTTTCACAAAGGAGAAGATAGGATAGCTCAGGATATGGCGAAGAAAGTGCGTGTCCTTTGTTGGATTATGACTGGTCCAAAGAATCATCAGAGTAAGGCTCGTCATGTGAAAGCGACGTGGGGAAAACGCTGTAACATACTTTTATTCATGAGTTCTGCGGAAGGTATAACATTTTAGAAAATTGTAGACAAAAAAATTTGTAATACAAGCAAGAAGCTTACACAGTAATATGTATCGTTTATTTTCAGACGCTAGCTTACCTACTGTAGTTCTGCCAGTAAAGGAAGGTAGAGATAATCTGTGGGCGAAAACCAAAGAAGCGTTTAAATACGCTTATGAAAAGTACAAAGACCAAGTGGATTGGTTCATGAAAGCTGACGATGACACGTAAGTGTTGCTTGCGCACGCAATATATGTATATGCATGCATGTGAATTTTATCTCTAATTTATAATCACAAATGTACAATAACAATTCTTTTTATTGGCATCTTTGATATTAATATTCAAATGGATATGGAACGTATGCTGAAAAATTTGGAAAAACATAAATTAGAAAAAAAGGAAAATTGTATAAACTCCCGCTTCATTAATTTAAAGTATATATTACAACTTATTTCTTTATAATTTTTCTTTGAGATTTTTACATTTATATTGATTATTTTAAATACATTAACGAACTAAAGAAACAAAAAGAGAGAAAGCTAACATGAAGAGAGAGAGAGAGAGAGAGAGAGGGGGAGGAGAGCTACTGTGCATCTATCTTATCTGCGCATATTACATTTTACCCGCACAATTACGAGATAAAATTAAAGAAGTTATACTACTATACATTATGATACATATGTATGCAATCGCAAATTAATTTTTAAATCTGTTTGCAGATATGTAGTAGTGGAAAATCTGCGATACATGTTATCATCTTACAATCCAAATTCGTCACTATATTTTGGCTGCAGATTTAAGCCTTTTGTAAAACAAGGCTACATGAGCGGTGGTGCAGGATACGTACTTAGTAAGGAAGGTTTACGTAAATTCGTGGAGATGGGCTTACCCGATAAAACCAAGTGCCGACCGGATAATGGTGGCGCGGAGGATGTGGAGATGGGAAAATGTCTTGAAAAGATCGGCGTACGAGCGATGGACACTAGAGATCCTCACGGACGGGGTAGATTCTTTCCATTCGTGCCGGAGCACCACTTGATACCCAATCATGTGGACAAGAATTTCTGGTATTGGAAGTATATCTATTACGATACCAAGGATGGCTTAAATTGCTGTTCGGACAGCGCGGTTTCGTTTCACTACGTGTCACCGAACATGATGTACGTTCTCGAGTATCTGATTTATCACTTGAGGCCATACGGCATCAATCACGGCCTGGAAAAACCATCTGCGGATCGACCGTTAACGTTGACCGAATACTAGTCCGTAAATTCTCGTAAATAGATAGTAAGATTCTGATTCTTTCTTTTATACACGATACTAGTCCATTCGAGCCAACGATACGAATGTAATATGTTCTCAGAGGAAAAAAGTGTGATATATCGTACTTCTTAGATAAATGAACTCTTTATATACGTATCTATGTTAGAGAGTCGAGGATGTTGTAAAGCCATAATGGATATAATGATAGTGCAGAGTGAAAGGAGGAGGAAATATATATTGCAAGCACAAAAGAAATCATAATTGTGTCGCATTTCTTAATAACATTGTTATTTTTTAAATTTATAAGATATGATAATAATTTCCTAGATAAGTGCATCTCATGTTAAATGATTTTTATATATATATATATATTATATATATATATATATATATACACACACACATAGTTTATCTGCACAGAAAAAGAATAAGTTTTATTTTATTATCCATTTATACGTTTTTGAAATTGCGGGATTTTATTTTCTGTTCTTAAATTAAATATATTTCCTATAATAATATTGCAAATGTATATATATACATATATACAGGATGAGTTTTTTTAAAAATCTTAACAGGTAAATATTTCAAAAATATGCAATTTTACTAAAGAAAACCTTTTTAAATAAAAGTTTTAAATTAAAGTCAAACCATAGTCACTATTGCACATTTCCCTCTAGAAATACAACTTTTATTTGAAGTTTTTTGTAAAATTATATTTTCAAAATAAATTTTCTGTCAAGATTAAAAACTCACTTTGTATATATATGAGAATTAAAAAGTATAGATATATATGGTCCAGAAAGTCTAAGTGATACAAGCAATCTCACATCATGCGAGATATGAAAAATCTTCAATCAGTTTTAAATTCTCAGTCTACTTATACACGTTTTATGTTTTTCTTGCTTATACAGGAGACAAAATTTTACAAATTTCTATTGTGCTTGCAACGTACGTAAGTTTTTTCGGGCGCTGCAAATACAAAAAAATCACGTATATAATTATATATATATACACATAAAACTGTATTTCGTAATATTAATATAATAATGGTAATAATAATTTTAATAATAATAATAATAATAATAATCCCAATAATGACGTACTACCCAGTAATAAATACTATAGATACAGAGTGAGTGTGGGTGTGTGAGTAAATTAATGAATTAATTAGGGAGTTAGGGATTCTATGTACAAGTCATATTTGTACTATGCGACTGACGCAATTGGCCACCGTGGCTCCACTCAGACGCGCCCCACATTTCTCTCTTTCTCCATGTCTTTTCTTTTTTTTCATTCAGAATTAAATTGGAGGAAAAAACAATCACTACATAATTGGCTCGTTCTCTCTCTTTCTCTCTCATTCTCTCGCTCACTCTCTTCTCACTCTCGCTCGTTATCTCCTTCTTTCACTCTCAATTATCTAATCTCGGCGATGTCTCACTTCATAAATTATTTAAAAACAATATTTTACACTATAATGTATGTATAATATATAGAGGTCACCTAATCCGAATAAAATTTGTCAAACAGCATCGAAAAATTGCGCTAACGGGTCCAGGAAACATGATAACAGCGACCCAGTACCGCGCGAGCATAATATAATATTATAATCATTATACTTATATCTCACATCGGGGGCTTATACGAGGCATCGCTTATAAAAAGAAGTCCACCTTTTTCTTTTTTTTTTTATATCATCTATATAAAATTAAAAAACAACGTAATATCATTTATATTACTTCATCGTCATTAATAATAAAAGCTTTGTACAAAATTTAATTTACAATTAAAAACTTTTGGTTACGTAATTTTTTCTAGAGATTCTGATTTGTAAATTCAACTATCTATCGATAGAGAGGCAATCGAAAATCATTTTCTTATTATGCACTCTCTTTTTCAACTTCGTTCTCTCTTTCCCTTTCTCTCCCTCTCTTTCATACTTTCGTTCTTTTCTCTCTCTCACCCACTTTCATTCCCATTCTCTCTCCTGTCCTATCTCCCTTTCTCGCAATATCACTCATCACTTGCATTCTCATTTTTCTGTAATACATTCGTTTCTGTCATTCAAGTTTTCATTGGCAATAGTCGTACTGAATACGCATTTCTCTTATGAAATACGAGATACGATCATAAACACAAAGTACAATCTATTTCGCCTGTTATATAATAGAAAAATGGTAAAGAGAGTCGCGCGTAGGCGCGTTGTATTTCGTTCCCATCGGGTTTTCAAATTTTTTTTTCAACCATTGCAGCATTCATCACTGTGTTATCTTGTGTGTATGTGTGTGTCGTGTTAATTATAATTTTCCGAGTAAAAAAGATTCTCGGTTCTCTTTACATATGGTCGAGAAGGATCGTACTCTGTACCTAGACACAATCTCTTTCTCTCTAAATACCTAACTAACGTAGTATAGGTATAGGTAAAAGGGCATAGGAAATCAGTTGCTCTCGTAAAGCCCCGAGTGACGGTATAATAAGGAGTGCGTGAGAGAGGTGCACATACTGCACTACAACGGGAGAGGGTGTGGGTCAGACGAGAGCTGCCGCCGCATGGTAGAGATGCATGAGCGCCTGCACGTGCACAGGTAAGCAGGATAATCGGTCCTTGGTGTTTGCATCCAACGCGAGCCACGACAGTGCGTTATATCCTTCCAACACGTACCTGTCGATCATGAGAAATTACTCAGTAATAACAATTCGAGGTGTAAATTCTTCTAACAATAGGTCTGTTATTTTCAGCTGAACTTGTCGCACTAGTTCAGAGTTTGTCCTTTTCCTTCCAATGAGGTGTATAAAAAAGATCTTCGTTTTAGCTGAACTCTAGTTCACTAGTTCAAGAGTTTATCTCTTTTACTCGACATTAGAAGAAAAAAGATAAACTCTGAACTAGTGCGGGCAGTTCAGCTAAAACAAACAGATAAACTCTGAACTTGTGCAACTAAGTTCAATTGAAAAGAACAGACTTAATGTACTATATAATCGCGAATACAAACCTAAGAACGTCGGTGGTATATTGCGAGTCTAACGGATGAGCAGTGGGTGCGCTTTGCTGCTGAAGTATATCATCGCTATTCTGTTGTATCGTGGAACTGTGCAGATGTAACGCGTTCTTCAAAAATACCGGACAGACATTTTCAAGATGAGGACAAGCTGCCCAGAACCACGGTGGCATTCGTCCCGTTGGCGCAGTCGATACTAAATAGCCGAGAGCGAGTGGTTGTTGCAGAAGCGTACCGACCTCTTCCGTCTGTTCAGCTATCGCTATCTACAGATGACCAAAGTTTGTACATGATTTCACATCACATAATAGATTTTATCAAAAGAAACAAATTACTGATTTCTTCGTGTCTTTTTTTACATTTTTTATATGATTACTAATATGGAAAAGAGAATATTAACATAAATTGAAAATAAAGAATAAAAGAATTAATAAAAATATTTTATTGTTTATAAATATATAATTCTAAAACTCAAATTTTAAAGTTTGATATTATGAGTCTTCCTTTTTTTAATATTATAGTATAATTCGCGTTTTTCCTTTTCTATTTGACTTACTCTTGGCGTATTACTGCATGGAAAGGGACTTCCAGGTCCATCGTGGTTGCCTAAGCCCGATCCTCCGCCGTCCCCTCCGTGTGGTGATCCTTCGGGACGATGCGGACTTCCACTCGGGCTTTGTCCACCGCCTGCACCCGATTCAGGCCATACATTGAATATATCGTTAAAATCTCCCATTCCTTCCATTCCCTCTGGCATATCGTCGTTTAGAGCGGAGAATAATTCGTCATCTCCTAATTCTGGTACGTTATGTTGTTCTTGAAATGCTGTCTGCGATGACTGAAACAATAACATCAAATGTAATTTTCAACATATCTTTTTTTATAATTCAGTTTTAAATTACAATTGTATCTAAAATTTATATTCGAAATTAAATATGTTTTTATCACTTATTTAATTCTCTGAAACTTGGTTTCCAAAAAGTCATCTATTTTCAATCATTTCGTGCGAAATTTTTATAAAAGAAGTATTAATTTAAATATTAAAGATTTTGTAATTCTCAAAATAAATATTCTTAGCGAGAATATTTTATAATAAACACATATGATACAATTGAACTTGTTTACCTGGGTGGTAGCGGATGTAGGGAAAACAAGTATATGAGTGCACGTGACATCTTGTGGTGTAGATAATTGGCAGTTTACAGATGCCTGACTGAATCTCTCGTCGGGAGTGAATTGATCAGCCATCAATCTGAGAGTAGAGTCCGGTTCGAGCGAGACTAAGCATGCGCTGAGTACGCAAGGTGCCGCTGAAGGATACAAGAGACTACATTGTCCGCATATCTCTTTCAGATGCTTCGAGGCTTTTAAGAGTGCTTTTCTGGAAAGTAACCAACTCCATCCTTTTAATTCGCCATGTCCAATACGTCCGACTCGACCTACGACCAATCTCCATGGTTGTACCTGACATACATAAAAAATATAATTAATACAAAAGAACAGTCAAATAACAAAAGAAAATACATTTTTAACAAGTGTAAAAAGTGTGTCAATGGTTTTATCGAGCAGACTTTTGTATATTTGGAATAATAAGAGTGGTGATAAATAAGTAGACATCCTTTGTATTGTAAATTTTGTACTTACGCCTTGCGACATTACGCTTAATATAAAGTCCATAAGTTTTTGAAGGCCGATGCGCCTAGCTGAAGCTCGCTTTCTTCTCTTCCTATTGGGTATGTCAATGTTAATGGTAGCGGTTTCAAAAATTTCACCCCTGTCGTCGGTCGCGGCTGCCAATAGCCAAGACTGATCCTCGCTCAAGCAATAGCTGAGATAGAGCACCCCGCACTCTTCGGGTCTGGCCATGCCAAATGATTCGGGAGCTTCGCTCTTCGCCCGTAGCGGTGCCAACACGAAGGCCGGTGCGTAGAGCCGATAAGGTGCCTTGTTCCGTTCCTGATGTAGAGTTGCAAGAGTATTACTAAATGACTGAAAACGATTGATACATCATGGGTCTTTAATTTTATGCTACTATCGCGGCGCAAATTGAATAGAAATGCGGATTATCTTCTCAATCACGTCGTGACAAGCGATTTGAGCAATGAAGCTTACGTCTTTACTCTTGAGGAAGATATCTGCAGCGGCGGCAGTACCAAAACCAGTAAGACTTTTTACTGTAGAATTGTGATTCAACAATCGACGCCCTTGCAGGAAGACATTCAACGCTAAGGCTCGCATTTCGTCTTGAATCTTTCGCCTCTC